TTTTTTAGACTACTTCATATAAGCAAATATTTCTTTTTCTAATAGTATAAGAAACCTGACGTGAAAATATCTTTATAAATAACGAAGATACAGGACGTACAAAAAGCTACAATTTATGGGAATATTTACGTTACAATACTGAATTTCAATTAAAACAATAATAAATATTACCAAATTTAACAAGTCACTTAGCCCCAAACGTTAAATTTACTTTTCTTGTAATTTTCTTACTTTATATCTATTGGTTTAATTCGAGTTATAAACTTTTATACAATTAAAAAACGAATTTATTATGTCAGAAAATCTTATTAATAAAATGTAAAAAAATGTAAGATCCTTTCACAGCAAATGGTTTCTCTTCCATATTACATGAAAATAGACGAAAGTCAAATTGGAACTATTTTCACAGGATAAGGATAAGATTTGATGGTTTGTTTATAAATAAACTCAAAAACTACAGAATCTATTTAAAAAAAAACTAATATGATTTTTTTAAAGTAAATTACATTCTCAAAAAATAAATTTTTGGAAGTTCTATGCTGTCTACACCTATAAAGTCGATCTGAATCACTAGTCATCTAATAAAATCACAATTTTTTTAATAAAATTAGTACATAGTTTCGCCTCCTGTAGTGATTTTAAATTATATCCTTAGTCACCTAAGGTACAGAAATATGCTTACGAGAAAATTGAATATATCTATTTTCTAATTAGATATAAGTGAACTATATGACGCTCGTAACGTTTAATAAATTACGTTGATTTTTAATTAACTAATTAGACGCCTTCCAATTCCATTAAAACCACTGCCAAGAAACAAACCATAAAATGGCTCTAATTTAACTCCCTTATTTTCCACAGTGCACTATTACAGACATAAAAATGAGAGTTAACGAAGTGGTAAACGTTTGAAAGCTTTCAGTATCTGCAGGTGACATCTTCGAGAACAAGAAATGGTTAGAGACACGCTAGCTCGAGATAAATGCTAACGAGCGATCTAGATGTCTAGGTACGTACAGAAACCATTTTATAGGTTTTTTTTTATAAAACATAGAATGGCAACAAAGCAGACGGCCTCCCTGATGGAAAGTGATAACCGACACCTATAAACATGAACAGTACCATGGACATCATAGAAAATACACTGTGTTGCCTTTCAATGCGTTGTCACTTTTGGGTATGTCTCCAAAGTCCTACAATTTCACTGCCTATCTCACCTTGCAAACCGAAAGACAGACATACAAACACAGCTACTTTACGGCCGAAACTTGATTGGGACAAAAGTACTCAAACAGACGACTTTTGTACAAAGTCTCCCTTTGGTGAAATGTAAATGTACATCATATAATCAGCGACTTTGACTAGATCTCTCTCTTTCTCTCTCTCTTCAGTCGTATACTCTTGACAGAGTGATCGTGGTTTTTACAATGACAGTGGATCGTCGATGAGGCCCTCCTTCGCAATTGAGGTCCTCACAATATGTTTCCATCTACTTCTATTCACAGCCGAGCGAGCTGTTGACTAGATACGATTTACCTAATTTTTGTTCATAGGAAATTTTGTGATTATTGTTGACTAAGTGGTAGAATCTATTCTTACTGTCAGATATTTATCTAGTGAGAAACGCTATAATTCAATATAGGAACTTTTAAGGAAAGCAGAAAAAATATTTTTTTTATTCTAGCGCTTTTATTTTTGATTTGAAAACTTTATTTACTATATTACTTTTGATAATTGAAAACAATAGATTGGGAAAATGGACATAACCTATGTCAATCAATGTACCCTGATCACATGAACAAAGTCACAAATAAAAACTAATATAATATAATGTTTTAAAAAAAAAGATGGTAAGTCAATATACGTTAAAATCTTGTTTGCTTGATTTCTATCATTCTTGATATAAATAAATTCTTGGAATAAGATGCCAAAGTCTACAAAATACATCGGAAACACTTTTCAATAGTTGAAATGACTACACTTTTACTTTAGTCACTATCACCCCCTATATTACTATATTTTTTGTAAATTAACTGAAAGAAATTACTATTACGGAAGTGAAAGACTACGAATACTCAAAAGAAAGTGTTTGTGTGTGTGAAAAGAAAGCAAAAAAACTGAAACTATGGTAAAGAGTTTGCAAATTTTCAGTAAGTCGAGAAAGCCAGTCGATATGAGCTGGAGTACAAGAGATGCAACAGCATACTGATAAATGTAACTTATCCTCAAATATAAGGATAATGAAGAAGATAGAGAGATCAAGAGCAAGGGTAAACAATCAAAACAACGTACAGGGTATAATGCTTACATCAATCAATATATGATTAATAATATTACAAAAAATATTGGAAATGAGGGCACTTGTAAAAGGATTACTTATTTCGTTACATTAATTAACAAATAAAAACATTAAATAAAGACGGTTCTACATCAAGTCGAAGAATGGCAAAAATATTAAACTTATTAATATTATTAAACTTATTAAGCTAAATATAAGCCTCCACATCTCCAAAACCTCCCTTGGTTTTGCCAGTAGTTGTCACGCTTGACAAGTGGGTTGGCAACCGCAGTTAGGCTTTTGGTTATTTGGAGTAGGCACTGCTACCTATTCCTCAACCATTAAGTACCTTTAATTACCTCTCACGACACCCAAGCGAAAAGAAAAGGATCTATTAGATATATTTACTGGTAAATCTTATAATACTTCAACCATTTGTGTTGCAAGCAGGTTGGTCACTCCAGGAATAAAATAATTTTACTAGCGTGCAGGCATGATATATTTTTTCAGGAAACTTGCAAATCTAGAATAAAGTACCTTCCATGTGCTATCCTATTCTTTACATCTACATAAAGAGAAAATTTTTATGTTGTTTAAAACTTGTAACAATGGTTATAGAAGTCACTAAATTTTGATATAAATATATAAATTTAAGTCGTTATTTGTTGTATATTATTTGTTAGGGATATAAAGGTCTAAAGTAAATTAGTAGAATTAAACTAAATATCTTTTCTGTGATTTTGGGGGTGTCCATGGTTTGATACCTATCTTTTTTAAAATGTGAATTTAGGGGTTTGAATCATAAAACAAATAGTGAATAAATACAAATGGCGAACAAATTTAAAAAAATTTAAACCACCTTCTCAACCTATGGTGGAAATAATAACATATAAAAATATTATGAGCCCTATATTGTCTTGTATGAATCTGAATGTTGAACCATAATGGCGATGCATAAATGAAGGTAATATACGATTGACATGCGAATATTAAGATGTAGTGTGGGGTGATAAAAATGACAATAAAGAACGAGTGTACAGGGAAGTCTGAAAATCAAATAACCGATTTTATTGATATATCATTCTGAGGATTAAAAATCATAATTTATTTTTATCAGATATTGAGTATGAACTAATGTCACTGTTTAAAAAAATGTGCTCTAAATAATATACAGACACCAAAAAAAGATTGTTTTCTGGTTGGACAAATAGAGATCAGCAGAAAAGCAAAATATTGCACCTACCTCAAAAGGGTGAAAATAAAAATTAGTTTAAATACCTTATTGCCAATCATTTAATGAATATTTCAAAGTAAGGATTAAAAACATATTATTACCCAATTAAAATTTTTATCAACATATAAAATAAATTCAATGCTTGCTCATGAACGTCATTGCCTTAAAATAAAACTAAAGTGATTCAGATTCTCAGATTGTTTTAAATGTAAAAATTATATATTCGTACAATATATTATACTGTACATATAATATATTGTATATATTTGCTACATATAGGTATATTTGCAAATATTTTCAAATTGAAGAGGTTACTTCAACATACGGTTTACTTAGTACCTTTTCAAATTAAATACCTACATGGCAATGTTATTTTTATAAAACAAATACCTACCAAGTTACTAATTATAACAATACCGATCTAGACAGAGACAAAGAGAGAACTATACCTAATGCTAAAGTGCTGACACTTTCAACATAAATTGGTCTCATGTCTGCGCAGTGCAGATTATGTGTAGAGTCAATCTGACCAGAGATTAAAGCATTGCATTTGTATTGCAGAGGAAAAAACAAGTTAGATATCAACTTACTACACCATAATAATATCGTTACCGTTATCTAAAAAAAAGATCTACAAAAATTTATGCTGGGAACTCGAATTTTTAATTCAGTATTGTTGAAAATGCGAAATCTAGAGGACATTAAAAAATTTCCCTTTGATATCAACTATTTTTTCCCCATAAAGAAAATATAGTCTCTAAATACACAATCTTTGCAATTGAATTGTATGCTGAAAAATATTTCTCTTCATAATTAACATAGATAAATCCAAGCAAATCGCAACTTCATGTTTGTGTAGTTTCACGTAACATCAATTAGTATAATTTAGTATGATTTCAAAATAATTTCCTTATCCACATACTGAATATTTATTGGATTGCTGAAATAATAGCATACTAAAGCTAAGTATACAACGTTCCAACCGCAATCTACTGTCATTCACACTCGTCTATGACAATGACGCATCAATCATACATCACCCATGGTCTGACACTCTGACTTCCTAGCAGGATCCTGTGCTAACCCTCGCTTTACTTAGATTAAGAAACGTGACTTGTCCAAGTGGATCAATACACGCATATAATCCTATAACCAGTGAAACGGGTCACACGGTATACTCCTAGACGCCCTAACGATGTACGCAATCTCTCACATCTTTTTCTCAACTCTGGTTCATTTGGCTAAATTGGAATTCAAACTTTAATCAATTGACCTAATAATTCCTCTATTAAACAAGTTTGAATAACAAAACAAACACTATCACGTCTCCGCAATGAAAATCTATTTAATTTTTTTATATGTCATGTCTCAATCCTTGGCGATCGATTTTCTACGATTCTATTGCTGCTGCAACCACTAAAACTACACATACAATGTAAACTTAGATATTATGTTGCGTCGCCGGCTCGTGATGTGACTGCCACTCACCTGGCACTGTTCACACGTGTGTACGGAGTAGGACTGGTCGCAGTCGTAGCGACTGAGGATGTCGACAAAGTCGCAGTGCACGCGCGCGACCATCGCGTCGAGGCCGAGGAGGTCGTGCAGCGTGCGCTCGCAGCGTTCCCCGCCGGCTTGTACTTCGGCGCGCGCGCCTTGGTCCAGTGCGGAGGCGGGCGAGCGCTCGCAGCAGGCGCGCAGCCGCAGGTCGGCGAGGCGTCGTGCGCGTGCAACAGCCCCCAGCGCGCACAGGTGCGGCACGTCGCGCACCGTCAGCGACTCGGCCGCGCCGCCGCCGCCGCCGCACGCCGCGCCCCCGCACTCGCGCACGCCGCTCGCGCCCTCCTCCTCCAGGTCGCACGCGCTCAGCCAGGGGTTGAGGCGCGCGAGCGGACTCACGGCCAGGCCCGCGGCCGCCATCAGCAGCAGCAGCAGCAGCGGCGGCGCTCGCATGGCGGGGGCGGCGCCGCTAGCGGGGGCCGGCCCGCCGGGCGCGGCGCTGCCTCATACCGCATCGCGCATGGCGACCTACTCGCGCGGCCCGGGCCGCGGGGCCGCCGCGCGGGGTGGGCGCGCCGCCATGTCGCTCGCTCGCCGCTCGACTGACTCCCCCCGGGCGCGCATCGATCGCCCCGCGCCCCGCTCATACCGCGGCGCGCGCTCCCAAAACCTCCACCGTCGTTATGTAACCGTGCGCGCGCACCCCTGAGCCCCGCCCGCCGTTGCAATCTCCATCTCGCGAACGAGATGATAACCGCCCGCCCAATTCCGCATAAGAAAACTGATGGGATGTAATTCTTTGATTTATACACAGATGTCTCTTTGTCATAGCCATATACATGATAGAAGTATTTACCGGAATAACATGAAAAGCAAGTGGCAATGTGCTGACATCTACGTAATTAAAAAAATATATAACTAAGTTAAAAAATTACTTATAGTAGTCCTAGATGGCTAATAGCACTACATAAGGCAGTAACAGCACACTGTTCACACCGTCGACGCCACGTGGTCCCGGCATAGAATAAGCCACGTCTTCCTTTTCCGTGAGTATTGTAAGAGACGACTAAGAAAACTTAGTGGTGGAGGGATGGGCAGCAGCGTTCCTCTTAAAATCATCACTAAAAGCCTGACTATGGTTGCCAACCCGCCTGTCAAGCTTGGTAACTACTGGAAAAACTCCTCTTATGGAGAGTTCAACAGTGGACAGTTAATGCCTGATATGATAATATAGTGAAGGTAGTAAGAACGGCGTTCTGGATTCGATTTCTGGGTTAGTCTCTTGAATGATGATATCTCAATGCATACTATATTGCTCGTGTTACATTCCAGACATACATTCTGTGTTTAACTCACTGTTAGTTGCTATCTCAGCTAGTTTCAAGACGAGTGGCAATATACCTAATATAGTATACTGCCTCATGTCAATGTTTTAATATAAGTTAAAAGATACTTATATGTAGTTAGTAGAATTAGTTACCTACTACTCCTACCGCTAACCGTGAATACATAAAAAAAAATGGATTCATTAAATGTTTTATATATTTCTCTTAATTTTTCTGTTCATTCCTGTTTTTGTTGCTTCATGTGTAGTGCTTCTAATCTATTTTGTTACTATTGATGAGAACCTATTAGTGGCTTAGTTTGTAATCCTAGACTATTTCTTTTTACACTAGAGTAGCCCTGGTTTTCCTGTAAATAAATAAATAATATTTCGTTGCATTTATGCTTAGATATATGAACAATTCTGGTATAAACTAGTAGTTTACAGAACGATGTATTTTTATCGCAAATTATTAAAAAAATTTAGTTTTCGATATTGAAATAAGCTGAATAAGTTGGAGAAAAATTAAATGAATGCGGAGGAATATGAATATTTTTTTACGACATTTTTTATTTTTAGATAGGTATTTGGATAAAAATAGAAAATCACATCTGGCAATCTGGCATCTGGCAAAAATAAAAAAAAAATCACATCAAACCTACTCAAGAGATGAACAAGATCTTAAATTCTAATCATGATTGCATAATACTCTGATAATACTGAAGTAAAAAACAAAAGGGAAGAACTAATAATAAAACAGGCCACATTAGATGTGTTTCTTTGCATTTGAACAGTTAAGTTATAACAACAAACTGCGGAAATAAAAAACAGAAAACAATGATATATCATCCATAAGGAAGATCCTATCACCGTATTATGAATAGGTAGAATTATGGTCGAAAAAATACTTTTTCTGTATTTACTGTATTTTTTCGTCCATAAATAGAAAAAGGAATCTCTATTATAATAAGCTTGAATGGATTTAAAAATGTTTTTAATTTTCAACCGACTTCAAAAAGAAATAGGTTCTCAATTCAGTTGTATTTTTTTATGTATGTTGCCTTGATAACTCCCTCTGTTGTAAATCGATATAGAAAATTCTTTTTTTTTTATCTAAAAGGATCTACCCACATATTAGTCTCATAGAAATTTTATAGAAGTAGGTTCAGTAATTTAGTTATTATATAATAATAGCTGGTTTTGCCACAATTGAAGACAGATTTTTTTTTGTGGAACACCATCTTGATTATATTACTTCTTTTATAAATTGTACCTAATGCAATTTTGATGTTCTGGCTCTCTTTGGGTGGTCTACGTATTCCTAATTGAGATTGCAAGTACATTGATAATATGTTACTCATACATTTGCAGCTCGCAATGTTATCTACTTAAAGAAGTTTAACGATCCATTCTACAAAAGGAGACCTAAACAATAACAATACCCTCGACATGTCGCTTGCAAAATATTGTGTATATACCAAAACATAGCGGAGATATATTGGATACGGATGAATTCCAATCCGAAATCAGTGTAACGTGTATTACACGAAATATCTAATTATTAATGTAATTACGTGGCTATAAAATTTGTGTCGGTAAATAAGTAAAGCGCATGTTACGTGATTATTTTTATCTCTATCGCTCGTAGAGGCGCATCTAGTGATGTCTCTTTTCCTCTTTGCGTGACGTAAGGCGCCCGCGCACTTCGAACCGAACAAACAGTGCTCTCACTCGTCGCGTAAATATCGTGTGATTATAACGCTGCATTTCATCATAACATTACAGTATTGGAACTAAATAAGACATTAATAAAAATTCAATTAATTTGTGATTGTTAAAAGAATTAACAATTATTGTCTGTTCATCTGTTGGTCATTGTTTAACAGTTTAGAAGGGATTAAGAAATTGGCACGAAGGTTACGGTTTCCTCACAATGGACGCAACAAGTAAGTAAACTGGTTTGAGTTTTATTTTAAACAGCTAATTTTATTCTATAAAATTATTTTGTCAAGTTTATTAAAAAAAAACATGTTTTTTAGCTTACTTGATTATTATTTACACTTACGGTTTAGACTTAAAGCAGTGTGATTTATGTAAGTATGATATTACTTAATTTGATTATTTTTCAATTAAAAATCTAATATTATTTCTGTTTATAGAAATAAATGTAGGAAAAATGTTCTTGAATAATTTTCCTAGTAAATTCGTTGATAACAAAGTTACTTTGAAAACTTTTTACAACTTAAGAATTAAGATAAGCTGAGCTAAACTACTTAATCTGCTCTCGGCAGATACATTAGTCACGTTCCTTATTTTCTCTTGTTTTGAGAATGATTATAAATTCCAAAACAAAAATTCAATTTTAAAACTTAGAATTTTTACGAAATTTTGTCGTTTTTTACCTCTCTATACAATGAGTTTACTGATGACATTTCAATTCGCGATTCGCATTCGAAAGTTGGCATTGGGGTCGTTAAATAAGACATATTTTTATTTAGAACTAAATTTGCACGGTAGAAAAATATCTACTATATTTTTCTACTGGCACATAGTGCCTCACGTCCTGTCGTCGTTTTCCATTGTTTTACGCCATCCCTTTGAGCTTGTTTTAATCTAATCCAATTCTCGTGATGGTTACTAACGAATTTTAATAACAGTCCCTTCTGTTTCTTTCTTATCTCGTAGTATCAAAGTACTTGGGTTTTAAAATAACTCTCTTAGTTCTCTAAAATTTTGCTTTGTATACAATGTGATAAAGAATCTGTATGTGTATGTGTGTATATCTACACTGATATACATAAGCGAGGCTTATTTTTTGCGCAGCACGTTTGTCCTAAATTGAAGTAACAAATTTTAATGAATCATACCAACGACTATAACATATACGATAATCGATGAAGTTCTACAGTAATCCTTGAGTATTAAGATCTCCCTTTTATTTATCTCCCTATATCGAAATACATATTACAAAAATACTAGATTTTTTATTTATTTATTTATTTTTATTTTTTGTTAAGAAAAACCAGTGGCTAGAAAACTTCAGTTTGAAGAAACATTAAAGACAAAAATTCAGTTACAGGTTTTCACAAATAAAAACAAGATTTAACTAATACACAAGGCATTTAACACTTACAGTTAACTAAATTAAACTTAGAATAACAACATTATAGTTATACAAACAGTATAGGTAGGCAGTTATGCAAAATAAAAAGATGAAATCACACGCTGAAAGGTGAACCATCAAAGAACCACTGACTTACGTGTATTAGCACACGTCTTGCGGACTCCATCTTAAAATTAAATAAATCTAAATCGAGATCTCTAGATATTTTATTAAAATTATTGCTTGCATGCCAGAGAAAGGTTTTTTTTTCTGTAGTTAGTGGAAACAAATGGAATAAGGTGGCACTCAATGGTTTGGTTGGGTCATGTAGAGAGAGTTGATATAGCAGATCAGGACAATCTATTGAACCATTGCCAATTTTCATCAAGAATAATCAAGATATGCAAGATTAATCAAAATACATAGCTAAAGTTTCAGCAGAACACGGAAAAAAATCGTAAATAATATATTAGGTGTGCCTGCAACTTCTTTTATTTATTTATTTTTATTGTTAGCAAGACAGTCTATCTAATGGAAAGCGGTTATCTTCGCTCATAAACACCTGCAACATGAGAAGAGTTGCTTGTACGTTACCGGCCTTTTATAGCGATAGTAGGCTCATACAATACCAAAATAAAATCACTTCATGTGTCCTTCCTAATGAAAAATACTACATGCATAATAAATACCATAATGATTGGTTGAATCGAAAAAAGATATAAAATTAAGAAAAACTTTCGATTTAATATTACGTTATTGAGTAGACAAAGTAAGGATTTTGTTTGTTTATGAAAAGCAATGCATTAATGCCGAATCATGACTGATGTCAAAATAATCCAAACCAGATAACTCTTAGTTAGTTTCTTGTATGCCCATTACGTGGTTCTAGCTTAGCTAAAAAACCTTTTTTTCTATATTACATTAACGCCAATTCAAAATATTTGCTTCCCAAAGATTTCAGAAATAAGAATAATGAATATTTGGTAATTTATACTTATAATTTAAGCGTACTTTTGTGTATTGATATAATTCAGATAGTTAAAAATGTTTTTTGCCATTCAGCTTTTAAAACCTCATCAAAGTCTGTATTGTATTGTATTTATAATACCAGTTTTTTTTTTTTTTTTTATAATGACATGAATTTCGGTCATAAAAAAATATAGTGTATTATAAGTATTCTAGGGTTATCTTGTAAAGTCGTCGTACTATATTATGAATATAGTTTTTTTTTTTTATTCTTAATGAGTAAAAATATGCAATAAATTGCAAACAATAAGTATTAAATATGTTAGCATGTTGAAATAGCTTCTACGCAATAAAGCGCCTTTTACAGTTGATGAATATTTAAAGGAAAAATTAGAATAAATGTCTGCTTCACTTTCCAGGTTACGATACCTAACAAGGTGCATATTGTCTTATAATACAATTGTATTAAATAAATAAATATTTTTACTTACTGTCAGTGTACCATTTTTAAATTATTACCTACTCGTATAGATGTTGCGATGTAACATTCTTTGTTTTCCCATATTCATCAATCTATGGCATTAATTTCATTAATTGAAATATCATTGATTTTTAATGGAAAATTAATGAAAGTAATTTCATTTTCAAACCTTATATATGTAAAAATCATAGAATAGAGAACTTTATAAGGGTTCTAAAAATGTATAATTACATACGTAATCAGATAAATGTATTACGACCTTGCAATGTCATGTACATTATAAATGACATCTCTAAACAAAAGTCTGAATATTCAAAGATTTCTATCACTATACAAATTTTAATTATTATCATTATGAGAAAATTATCACGTAATATAATGAAATAAATAAATATAAATAGTAACTTAATTCAATATTCGTATTACTTTCAACTGTGGTCACTGTACCACAGTTGGAAAAAATATAGGTCTACATAATTCGTCCAAACACATCTCTTATTATGTCTTCATACATCTCAAGATATCAAATTCAATATTTATTATTACTTATGTTTGTCCAATGTTGAACGTGCTTATATACCATAACACTGGACTGACCTTGTTTTGGATTTAGGTTTGATCACAAATTACCACTTATATTTTATCCATATTTTCCACATGTGCATGCAATTTATTTATTACCTAAATTTTGTTTCAACAATATCATTATTATTATTAAATAATATAACTGTAATAGTCCACAAATACCCAATCCGAGACATACACTTCATCATCACCATCATCATTTTTTCATCATTCACATTTTAGCCGTTATTTGTCCTCATGGGCCTCCCCCAATAACTATCTCTCATTGATAAACTGCCATAAAAAACGGGGCAGTTCTTTATGGCAGCTCTTGCCACTAGTTGCCACGCTTGGCAGGTGGGTTGGCAACCATAATTAGGTTTTGATGGTGTTTTAAGAGGAACGCTGCTGGCTATTCCTCGACTATGTGATATCCTTAGTCGCCTCTTAGAACAAAAGTATACACACGGGAAAGAAAAGTGTTTTAATGGTTGAAAATGGAATGGTAATTGGTACACGCACGGATGAAGGCAGATGAATTGACCCATCGTGAAGAATTCGGCCAAAATTTATCACGATGCTTTTCAGAGGGAACCGCTCGAAGGTCGACATGATAGAGAATATTGCTTGCAATTAGGCTGTTAGAACCCATTATTAACAATGCCTTCCCCGAAAAGGGGTAGCTCATTTTATGCTGAGGCCACATGGCAACGTATTTCTCAGTAAATAAACCATGTACGATCATTTGTCCTGTATCTCAAGCAAATTCTGGTAATCACTTTCCGTTCGCATCAAACCTTGTACGTCACGGCCTAATTACGACGTGATTATTTCGACAACGTTGTTAATTTAACTCGTTTCTGAAGTAGATTATAATAGTGTTATGACGTAATATTTGTGCGTTTTGATTGTCTAACAATAATAGAAATCTAACTATAACTAGATATCTATCGTTATCTACCTAATATCGGTTATTTTATCGTTAAAAATATCTACTATTGCAATATAGGCAGTGGCGTAAGGCTGGAGCTCATGGCAAATTCATCGAATAAAATGTCATTAACGTAATATAAAAAAAAAATTAAGAATTATTGATGAATAGAACAGCCAAGTTACATACCTTTTCTTCATCTTGACAGTTTATTTGTATAATTCGTGAAGGTTGTTCTTGAAGAATCAAATTTTTATTTATATACATAAATTACTAACAAAAATAGTTATATATAATATATAAAATAGATTCTTCCTGTAGTTACAATCTCTTTTTTATATCTACCACTGAGATGGTAGACAAGCATACGGCCCGCCCGATGGTAAGCGGTTACCGTAATCCATGTACCAATAATCTAATATTCAATATAATAATCATCTAATATTCCATGTACCATGCAATATTAGAGCCATAACGCGCGCATTGCTGACCTTGAAGAAACTTCTTTACTTCTCGAACTACGGGCCCTCTCACATCAGGGGTCGTAGCATTTTGCTCGCTTTGCCACCCTAATCAATTTGTAGTAACTATGTACCTCAAAATCTCTGTATAAGAAAATTACTATTTTATAAAGCACTATAAAATTGTATTGTAAACTGGATTTGAAAGAATAATAGTTATTTCGGAAATATTTACAAATGCAATGAGTAATGGAATCACAGATAAAGAATAAACCTTAATAGATAAAAATTAAGTAACGTAGGGAACAAATATTAAGCACTCATTTAACAAAACATGTCAATTAATATTTTCAGCAATGATAAAGTTTTATTATAATAATAAACTTTGCACAGGTCAAACGTATGACGGCATGCTGTAATCCAACGATGAATGACAAAATGTTTACTTATAGCAGATTCGTAATCATTATCAGTATTTTCAAAGAACACAGACAAATAGGCAAGCATTATTTCTGTTTTAGGTAGATACCTATTCGTCAAATAAAAACAAAAAATACAGATGTGCTTAATCAGTATAGGAGAAAGGGTTTGTTAATAATATGGATGTAATTCCTTTGTTATAATACTCTGTCAAATGAACCTCCACACGGTCCCTCCCTGGAAATTATCATTTTTAAATCCTAATGAATTCACCACGATAGGCTAGCTGACATGGCTTTTTTCTCATCGCTTCATCCTTCACTTGTCCCCCACCATTGTATACCGTTGGCATAGGCGGTTCTACTATTCCATATTTACCTATTGAAAAAAAAATTAGGAACACGTGTTCTACGAATTACTATTATTTACGTGATTAAAAACCTACCATGTTCAGCTTAGGTTCACACACTTAGCATTCCGGATTCAAATAAATTTGGAAATATTTTTTGATTACCTTTTTTTTTTGTCAGTTTACTTATAGATTATACATTAATGTACAATACAAATATAGTTATTTACTGGAATATATGTCTGATAATAAAATATCATATGTAACTGTCGAAATTCCCAAAATTTTCTTATGAAAAAAAAACCTATTTTAATTGTAACTAAACCAGTTCTTTTGGTTTTAGCATTAAAGTACTAAACTTATTTTGATAATTTTTTTATGGAAACAATCTGTTAATATATCCTTTCAAGTAAAAGAAGAATTTTTAAAATCAGTTTAAAACTAACGGAATTTTGAGATAATTGCGAGCCTAGTGTAGTAATCACTGTATAAGAAATTGTGTACCCGACTTTTAGCTACAATAAAGTTATTATTATTATAAAAAAAAATACAACCGAATTGAAAATCTCCTGTTTGGAGTTGGCGGAAAAAGTATTGAATTTTGAAGATTTTAAATTGATATAGACTTGTTAATAATTTCATTTTGTCATATAGAAAAATTAACACTAAATTATTTTTTCAGTGGAAAACAAAATGGGTTTGCCGCCTCCATACGAATCGACGACGACGTTCCCGGCACCGCCTCCGTCATACTTCGGCAGCAATCCACCACCACCCGGCATGAATGTTCCTACTGCGCCACCCAGGACTACAGTCATCACCTCTCCACCTACAGTCACAGTGGTACAGCCAGGAAAATTAGGGCCGGGCCCTACGGGTACCACGTGCGCCACATGTAACAAGTCCGTAGTAACGAGAGTTGAATACGTAGCAAACAATCGGACACACATCGCTTCCGCAGCTCTTTGCATTCTAGCTGGGTAAGTCATAACTGTATCATTATTCATCATTTGTTTATCAAACCTTTTGTCATTTAATACAATTAACAAACCCGTGTTGCATCATCGAAATTGATAATTGTATGATTACAATAACAAATTACCTGTGGTCTTGAATATCTCACGTATTTAATTGCACGACGTATTATGATATAAATTACGTATGTTCATGACAATATAATTTTTAGATTCTTCAATTGTACTGTTCATTTAAATATTTCATTAATAATTGCATTTATAAACTTTTTAATAATAATAATAATTTATTTGCTAAAATATGGTAGAACAAGATGACAGTAACAAATAAATTCCCATCATATTCTGCTGTTTCCAGCGTACAAATATTTAAAAGCATATAAATTATTAGCCGTGTGGTCCCGGTATAAAATAGGCTACTCCTTCCTTTCCCGTAGGTGTCGTAAGAGGCGACGAAGGTAGGACGAGGAATGGCCAATAGCATCTCTCTTAAAACATCTCCAAAGCCTAACTGCGGTTACCAATCCGCCTACCAAGCATAGTAAAACCCCCCAAGGGGTAGGCTTATGTTCAGCGGTGGACAGTTAAAGGCTGATATAATAATGATATGAATTATTAAAATTAGCACATCACAATTTTCCAGTCAATTACATAATTTTAGATTTCAATTATAGAATTGAATTATATAACTCAAGATTTAGTAAATATTTTAATAAATGCCTAAATTAAAATTTAATGGAAATAGATCACAATCACATTGATATATCTACTCGTATATATTTTGATGATCTTTGGGCCTTTCCAGGTGCTGCTGTGGATGCCTCATACCTTACTGCATGAGGTCATGCAAGACCACCAATCATTACTGTCCTTCATGCAAAGCTTTCATAGGCACTCATATGCCATCGTAAATGAAGACTGCCTATCAAAACATATCAGGGTCAAATATCTCGAAAGTATTAAAAATATATATTGAATCTTTTATGCAAATACTGTGGTGCGTAATAATAAGTCTAAATGTTATTTATACATATAGATATAATACTATAAGAAAAGATATAGATACTTAAGTATTGACAATAGGTCTTGCCTTATTTTTATGTCGCTTTTGTATCATATTACATGGTGGAAAACGTAAACGCGGTATAATTTGTCTGTTCTGTATTGCAAAACCTAATGTATAATTTTATTATTATACATTGAGTTTTACAAGACTTGATTGATTAGGCAAAAAAGTGTATATTATTCTAGTGTAATACCTTTCAGATCTAGGCATACAAAACTGCTACACTTGTTAACGAATACGTACATACCTATTTACATTTTTATCAGATGTACACGCTTGGAATGATGAATCTCTATAATTGAAATGCATATTGTTTATGTATGCTCCGTACATAAACGACACTTCCCTTATATTTAAATCATCTACTGTATATCGAATCTACATAATGTGCCGATTATCTATCCTATTTTCTGCCAACGCAATGTGTGTGATTTAATTATGGATCCTATTTCAAAAGACATTTAAATGAATTTCAATGGTAAGAAGAAAACAGATTGTAATTAGAATGTAAAATCACAAAGACTGCACTACTATAGCTTCTCATATCAAGCGCATATTGTGCCAAAGATGAAGTACTTGGCCTCGGCGGCAAATTTTATAAAATATCTGGAATCAATCCTACTAATGTTATAAATATTTGAATGTTTGTTAGTTAACCCTTCTTTGCATGATTTTTTTTTATTAGTGAAATAATTCAAAGTGATATAATTCATATTAAAAATTAAAGGAAAAATTGTTAAAAAATAAATTTGACAGCTATGTTTTTTTTCTGCAATGGACATCCAGGACAAAGGGTATCCAGACACGATCAATTTAAGGTGAACTTGTTCTTTTATATAATTATTGGGCATTCAATGTTATGATCGAAATTTCCACCATTATGCAAAGAAGGGTTAATCACATGTAAAGTACTGAAAAAAATATAATTGTATTTAGTAGACAAATTGACTATATTTTATATCTGCTTACTGTCGGAAAATTAGGAGACCCAATTATATTTCATGTGGAAATGAGCTAAGAAAAAAAATATCAACAAATAAAGACAATAGAACAAAGTTATATGATAATCTATATATACAATAAAAATATTTCAATATATCCTAAATCATGTATTTTTCTAAATTATACTATTTGTCATGACTATTACATGGATGCGAAATTAACAAGCGATGTTATTCCCTACATATTGTATACTTACTTAATTTTTAATGCATAAATGATAAAGATAAAATAAAAATCGTGTTCTGTGATATGTTTATTTTTTATAAAAGTTAAATATAGGCTATCACAATATAAACTCCAAATTAAAATAATTTTAAAAAAATATTAAAGTACCATCTTTTATTTATACTTATTTACTAATATATCTAAACAACAAAAGTAGACTGTTTTAATTAAGTCTGTGCTTATTTTACATTCCATATGAATATTACTGTATATATATATTTACTGTATTGTAACTGTTTTCAAAATTCAATTAAATTTATATTTATTTTTTTCTAGTATGTACTGTGATCAAAATTATATTATACAAAGCCAGTTCTTATACAATAATATTTTTAATAAAATACATGTATTTCAATTAATAGAATGTTTCATTTTAATTGCGATTAAAACAAAATAGGAATACCTAAAAATATAAGAGGATTTTTTAGTTATTATATAAATTAACCCATATTTTATATTGATACCTATATAAAAACCTAAATTTACTAGGTAGATACAATTACAAGTAATAATTTAACAGATTTATATATATAAAATACACACTACGAATTCTATTAACAATTTAAATAAATATGAATCTTCATAATATTCTATAATAATATTATTAATCAATCATGCCAAAACGCTTAACGGATTTGAATGAGTGGATGGGAAGTGAGTGTCCCAGCGCAATGTGAACAGCTGCACAGCATTGGTTGTCAGCCTGTCCCTCTCTTAACAAAATACAAAACGCAGGGTACCACTGTAATTGCTTCTTATAAGAATTATTTCTCAAACAATATAGTAAATAAAAAGGAAAGAAGTTTTCATTTGTGCTTACATTTTGTACATGCCTAATACACCTTATAATACAGATGTTCTTGCATGAACGCCCAAAAACTTATGACAGTTTGGACAGTAGTGTTCCACATTTTTCCATCTTTTCACCACATATGGTATTACACAACAGCACATCCACCTGTAATAGGAAAATAAAATAGATTCATAGTAATTTGTCATTTGATCCCTACTAACAATGTACAATATATCAAGTAGAACGCCACGCATTTCACTTTGGAAACCATCGCAGTGAATTCATGACAATGGGCCAACTAATCTTAGATTATCTTGACCTATCATCTCTCACTGGACCCCCCCCCCCCCCGGTATTAACCAATAGTGCAGGCGGGATTATTATTCCGTTTTTGTCAATAAAGATAAATCTATGTATCTGATGCATCTGATCATTAAGTTTCCTTGGTCGACTCTTACGACACCTACGACAAAGGAAAGGGTGGCCCATTCTATGCTAAGACTATACGAAAATATAAATTATTAATAACTTATTAACATGAAACTAAAGTATATAACGAATATAAATAGCAAATTTCGCTACTAGCTAACGAGAACAATTATGTCAAAACAATATACAAGAAAAAATTTATTTTTTTTATAACACTAAGGTGGCTATCAAGCATACGGTCCACCTGATAGTAAGCAGTTACCTTAGCCTATGAATGGCTGCAGTACCAAGAGCATTACGCACCACTTGCCGACTGTTAGATTAAAAAATGTGAGTACTTACGTTGTACTACTTCTATAATAAAAATACTAACCAAAAGAATATAGCTAACACTGCTGCAATTATATGTGTCAAGCTTGTATTCTTGTAACTGGCTCGGGTCATTATATCTTCGTGGCAGAACATGCATCGCATTCCCATCGGCTCAGAACCAGCTTGCATTAACTCCATCTCGATGCTGACTCCATGAGATATCTGTCCTATGGGCTGGTACTGGTTGGACTCCACTGCCAAGGTCATAAATAGGTTTTAATTATAAACACAGTGATCATTGACATCATAGAATAAGGATAGTAACTACAGTGGCATTCTCTTTCTATGGTTTTTTTTGACGGGTGAAAATGGAATGGTAACCCCGCCTGCGCTAACGGGATACGCTGGCGGAACACCAGTGAAGATATATAGATACATAGATGAGAATGAAAACAGGCCAGTTAGCCCATCATGATGAATTCATCAGGAATTAACCATGAGAGTTTCCAGGGGGAACTGCGAGGAGGTCGACCTGGTTGAGTATATTGCTGGCAATGAGATTCGCAGTATCCGTCACTAACAATCACTTTCCCCCCTCTTACTATGGTTTGACTTTAATTGATAACAAATAACTGTGGATAGGTTACTCAACGTCATCTAGTTCCAAATTAAGCAAAAGTTACACTTTAAATACTAAACAACTGAAAACATACAAATATATATTTATAAATATATCATAATCATATCAGCCGTAAACTGTCCATTGCTGAACATAGACCTCCCCTAATTGGAGGATTTTGCCAGTAGTCACCACGCTTGGCAGGCGGGTTGACAACCGCAGTTAGGCTTGTAAAGATGTTTTTAAAGGAACGCAGCTACCCATCTCTCGACCATTAAGTTCCCCTAGTCGCCTGTCACGATACCCACGAGAAAAGAAGGATTGGTCCATTCTATGACCTTACGTCAAGGTATGTATGTATTTAAAAATATATACCTATAGAGAAGTACATTTAAGAACCTAAAATAATGTAAAGTGCCCAGTCCTAAAGTTAAACAAACACACATAAATCTATTATTCATTGATGTCTTATGTTATGCAGGATCGAAACCACAGCCATCAATTATTTGCATTGCCAATATGATATTTTATATTGGTGTTCTGATTAAAATCTCTCTTTCCATTTAAGAGTTTCCTCATGTCGCTGCAACTAATTCATGCATCTTCTTCCAGCCAGTTCTATCCCAGGCCATATCCTTGACCTCCCTACTAAATACTTCAAAATTAATATTCTTGTTTTAATAACTAAACACACAGTTGATACAAAAGACTATTAGGGATAATATTTTACCTGCCACCCTCACCTCTATATTCCCAAATGTTTCTATGGGCCCCACAATACCTCTAAGTTTCAACTTTGATGAGTGTAAAGGCAGTTGACTAAAGCATTTTATATTTATACCTAATATTTCTTCGAAACTATAGATACCATATACAATGTAGATTTAATTACACTACTAAATGAAAAACTGCACTGCGTATTTTAAATCTTTTTCAACAAAAGAAAACAAATCACTATAGTCAAATGAAAAGTTAAAATATATCGCAATGCAATTTTGTTCAACACTATCTATGAGTATGATTGTAAATTAACTTTGCTATTTACTGTACAAAGCAGTTATGTTAAACTGCTAACTTAACAACTACGCGTACTGTTTATGTTAAAACCTACTGTTTCACGTCTACATCATTACTAGAAATGGAATATCTTTTAAATTAAAAGAGTAATTCTTTTCAAAGAGTAATTCAATCTTTAGTACTTAAATTATTTACGAGTATATCTACTATCTCCCGCAGTACATATTTATAGATATAGTGTTATCATAATGATGTATGTCAATATTACATACATACAGCAGAGTTAAGCTACATTTAGTCCGCGAAACAGAATGTTTTCTGAATTTTATGAACTTCTACCTCTACTATTATGGGACACCACAAAACGTAACAATAAAGTTCAGTTTCGACTTCGTCTGGAAGACTTACAGGTACAGTCGTAAGAATTGTCAGAAACGGCAAAACACAACGAGTTCGTTAATTTCCCATTATAACTATATATGTATACAAACATCAGATTAGAAATGAACATAAGATTTTAAAATAATTAAGGTCAGGTTTGTTGACCCATCATAGTGAATCCAAGGAAAATTGACATGATCAGTTATTCCTGGGGAGAGAGAGAATGGAAGTCAACCTAACTGGGTACTACTATCCCTTGCCGGGGGGAAAAGGATTGTTAGTAATGTGGACTAATGGCCCCATTGCTAGCAAGTCCTATCAGGTCAACCTCCACGCGAATCCCCCTGGAAACTATTGTGATTAATACTTCTTACATTTGTCACAATGGGCTAACTGACCTGCTTTCATCGTCACCTATCATCCCTCACTGGTGCCCCCCCAGTGTATACCGATGTAGCGTGTGGTTCCATTGTCACCCGTTTAAAAAAGTACTATCCCTTGCCTCCAATCATCAGAATAACCTAAGTATTTTAACAAGCTTTTCAAGTCACAATCGTTGATAGAGTTCGTTGTTACTGTAAAAAGGTTGAACAAGAAATGAAATTGCTTAAAACACCATTGTCAGTAATAGAATCCAATAATCGTATCGTAATTGATTCTTAATATTATAATATTACAAATGTTACAGTAAGCTCGTTTATTTGTTACCTCTTGATGCCTTAACGGTTCAATTAAACATTATGAAATTTGGTACATAAGTTGCAATCCTTCTCATCTCTAACATTTCCCGGTGACACAAATGAAGTCGTAACCACGACTTCGTTTGCATACTAATAATATATATTATTTGTTGTTATTAAAGCATATACAAAAAAGCCTTGTATTTTATTGGACGATAATGGAATGGTAACTCCTTCTGTGCTATCGGTATACATTGACGAGGCTCCTATGAAGGGTGATAGATGAGGATGAAACAGATCTGTTGGCCTATAGTGACGAACCTATTCTTAAAGAATTATTTAAAACGATTTCCAGGAAAACAACGAGGAGGTCGACCTGATAGGGTATATTACTAGCATTATATAAAATAAATCCCCTATACCAACAATCCCTTTTTTCCTAAAGTATTGTATTAGGTTTGTACATAAGTTATTAGAATTTCAATACTGATAATGTCTTAAATGTATACCTTATAAATAAAAAAGGTAGTATTATTATTGTATGTATGTATAACTATACTTATATATTACTAAAATACTTAAATGTTACGAATTGCATAATAAAACAATTACTCACTCTTTTATTAAAAGACTGACCAACTATTTAGATAACCACTTAATAAAATCGTATGTACACTAAAATATAAACTAAGAGATATCCTACTTATCACAATCACAATTAAGTTGCAACCACGATTAAATGCACTAAATTCTAATAATAAATATTTAAACAGGATTAATATTAGCAAAAAAAATACTGAATATCCTTTTTCTACAAAACTAACGTCGTGAATGTGGAAAAGATAACAATAAAAACATCGATATTCGCTTGTTATCATGACAGATAACACATATTAATGCGGATCAAGCGGGACATGTTTTAGTACCTTGAAACTCATATCTTACATAGTATATATATAATTAATAATCAATACTAATGCTACAAAATTAATAATAAATGCATTATTAGTACATAGTACAATTCATCAATGTAGTTCCCGGCATAGAATAGGCCACCCCTTCCTTTCCCGTGGGTATTGTAAAAGGCGACTTAGGGACCTTATAGGGGAGAGATAGGCAGCAGCGTCTCTCTTAAAACATCTTAAAAAATTAAACTACGGTTGCCAACCCGCCTAGCAAATGTGGCAATTACTGGCAAAACTTCCTTTAGTTGTTACAACAACAACATACTACAAAACATTACATATTAAAGTAGGCGAGTGAGTCATTAAGAATGACTTGAGTATTACGTTCAAATATCTCCCAGCCTGGTTCATAAGGGAAGTCAAGAAGGTATTTGAACGTAATAAGTCAAGTCACAATTGTATGGACTTTTTGCAAATGAAGGCGCGGGCAAAAGCTGAACCGAAATAAAAGAGAAAAAATTTAGAAAAGAAAAAAAACCATTAAGCAGACTAATTCTAGATGGCATATATAAATAAAGGATACACTAGATCTTAAGTTGATCTTCAAGAACTCAAATGTGAAAACCGCATCCAATTTGATGCAATAGTTTTTGCAAAGCAGTTGTGTTTGCATAGCTGTGTTTCGGTTTGAAGGGTGGAACATACCCCATATCGTGAATTTACAGGGTACAAAGAAATAACACTTGAATCCTCAGGAATGGCAACGTATAGGGGGTATCATGGGCGGAACAGTATACTCTGTTATGTTCATGGTACTGCTCATGTTTATAGGCGACGGTTACCACTTTCTATCAGGTGGGCCGTTAGCTTGTTTTCCATTCTAAGTTGTATAGACAAACAAACAAAAATTGTAAAAATTAATGTTGTTAAGAGTCTTAATAAAAGCAATGAATATCATGCTCTTATTAAGACGCTCATAGCAATCTTTTTTAAATACCTACCTTCTATGTAGACATGTATTTTAATCTACGCATTTAAAACTGTATTACATTTATTTTTATAATATTTAGATAAAATTGTAAGTAATTATTTTACTATAGTTTTAATTTGTTTGTATTTTTTTTTATGTTTGTTAATACATAATTCCATTAGTCATAAACCGATTTCAAAAATCTTTTTCTACTATATCATCATTTCAGCCATGATCCTTCCACTGTTGAATTAGACCTCCCCCATAGACTGTCATAAAGAACGGTTCTGAGCCACCTGTATCCACTAACTCTCTGCAATGCATTTGAAGTCAGCACTCCATCAAGTGGAGGATCGTCCTACACTGCGTTTGCTCGAACGGGGTCGCCACTCAAGAGCCTTTCTTCTCCATCGATTATTGATTCTTCAAGCTACGTGACTAGCCTTAGTCCGGAGGATAAGTAAGCTGACTTTGGTTTTTTACGGATATCCTCATTTCGGATTCTATCACGCAAAGAAACTTCGAGGTAGCCCTCTTCATGGCTCGCTGAGTAATTTGAAGCTTTTGCATACGGGCTACCGTATAGAAACATGTTTCAGTTCCATAAATAATCACTGGAAACACGCACTAGTTAAAGACCTTCTATGTCCCATATAAATTTTATCAAAATCGGCTCAGTAATTTAGTTTGAAAATCGAAATAACTGATAATGCCACAATTGAACACAATCTTAATAACGTTGTATTATTTTTATTTCTATATTTATCGCTTTAGAATTAGTAAAGAAGGATGCTGTGTTATTACATTTAAATAGATATATTATTAGATATTGTTGTTGTTTATGAAATTAGTGGAATGCACAGAGCAAGTACTCTACGTTACAGTAGAACGGATGATAAGGAAGTAGTAGTAGTAGTTCTGACTATAGTCTTTCTAGTCTGTGGTAGTGGTAACCTCAATTGTATTGGCATGTATTCATACCAATGATTTATTTTTTGTTCTGTTTTCCCCCATCGAGAGGAAAGGCAAAAGGATTAAGCCCATACCACCGACGTCGTCAGTTAATTTCTAGTATTAATTTATTTCCGTTTTAGTAAAAGAGGTCTTCAAAAATTTAAATTTCATATTCACATATAGGTTTGTGTATTTATTTACAAACTCTGGATGGAGCGCGGAATATTCATAATTTTGTAGTTGTATTTATTAATAAGTATCAAGCGTTACAGCAACTGCAGGGCGAATTGTTTACAGGCAAAAAACAAATGGTCCAATGGCTGTACAACTACTAAGACTAGGCTGTATGGGCCATGGTCTTTGCCTGTCCATTTTGGAAAAATTTTAAAACAACAAAAACAACCAACAACTTTATTAGCCAAACAAAAATCACATATAGGAAAAATAAATTATCCCTCAGGCGGCATAAAATTGTATAAAATCTTTTATCACTGAATTTTGCTTACACAGACCATGTGGGTTCAATGTCTAATTGAATTTCTCTGTACCTTCAAATATAATTCAATTTTCTCATTGTTGTGATTTTAGTATACAGTTTATTTTAAAGTTAGTCCTATTTTCACGAAAACAATTTAATGTTGACTCTCGTCAACATAACTTTTTAGCGTCAAGAGTGTATTGTCAGTGTCAGCTGTCATAAGTCAGATGTGCATATATCATTTTAGTGGTTGTGGTTATAGTTGTATTTTTTGTTGCTTTTGTCTTCTCTGATTTATAGTTTTATTATTATTGTTATTTTTGTTAATTTTAGCCTTACAATTAACAAGAAATCTAGAACTAATAGTTTTGTACCATCAATGTTTACCTCAATGGTAAAAATAATACCTTATAATAGTGTTTGTTGATTTAAATACTTATAAAAATCATGGATGTGGATCTACTACGGCCGGGCACTGTACCTATATCCCCTGATACTATATTATGGTTCGAATTTCTACTTAACGAAGACCTCCTCAAGAAACATCTTAGTAAACCCAATCCAGGTAAGCTAATGCTATCCACTAACGTAGATTTATTATATTCTTAAAAACCAGTATATAACCTCACTGTTTAGTTCATACTAAACATCATTTGTTCATTCTTAATAATTATATTGTATGATGGTATTGTTTCTGCTAAATATTAATAAAAAAGTTACATGACAATTATACCCTGTGTTAATGGCCAAAAAAATTTACGATACAATCGATGATATTAATACTGTAATGAAAGTGTTATCATTTTGTAGAATTTGTAATATACACTTATTGTAAAAACACTTCTTATATCATTGTTTTCCCAACTGACAGTACATTGGTCTATCTGAATAAAAATTGTTTTCAAAATTAATTCATATATTAACAATGTTACACTATAATATGTAACTAATTTCATAGACATCTAAGAATTTTAAGAAACAAAACCAGCCATTTATAGTATCAAAATAAAATTCTTTTATTATGTTAGTGAATTTACAATGATTATATTATTACAAAGTTAAGTCATAATTATTTATATTTATTATTTGTTTGTAAATAATACATACTACTCATTAGTGAATAATTTACTTTTTGAACTTTGTTATAACAATAAAATAAATAAACTATTATTGTTTATGTGTAAGAGTGTAATTGTCTAAATTAATGGTAATTTTATTTATAGAACCATCACCATGCGATTTAATAGAAGAATTTCTATCCGTGGACACAGACAATGGAAATTCAAAGCCAACAAGTGAGAGAGTGGTGGATGTAGATGCACCACCAAGTCCACCCTCTGAGACTACACTGACTCCTTTGCAATTCAGTCTTAAAGAGCTGGCTCTTAAAATTCTAGCACTTAAAGTGGCAGCAACTCTTCACTGGAATTTAGGTATGTATCATTATAAATAAATTAAGATATACTATACAGCATATATTAAAAATAAATATTTAGTAAGCTTATTACTTAATAGTCCTTTTTTATCCTAAATATATATATGTTTTACCATTACATATTACAACGGTGTACACCATGTATATACAACACATATATATATTTGGGTCTTAAAGGCTCTTAAAACACCAAGAGGTTATAAACAAATTAATTTTTACATTAATAATATTACTAAGAATCTCTTTAACTTATAAATGATATTATGTTAAAATAGTATCATAAACTAGACTTAATAAAAATACTATTATACTTCAACTATAGCTATAAAAGATTTAGGAATAATTCCTAATTTTAGTGATGGAATCGAGAGTACTCTGTTTGATGATAAATATCATAACATTGTATTAATATCATAATAAAAAAATATACAAATTAACTATTATTATTAATACACTATTGAAAAATGCAATATCTGTTGCACACATTTATATTTAAATGTTTTGTTCTGTAGATGTGTTGGAAGCTAAACTACCTCCTCAAATCCAGCAACAGTTAATGCAAGATCTAGTTTACATGGCATCTGATTCAGCATTTATTATACCACCACAGGTATGAAAAATTTTTAACATTGACAAATTGGATAAATAATGCATATTATTTACTCTTTTTTAAAAGTATAAAGTTATTTTTACTGGATGTAAATTAGATTAAATTTTTTTTTAAACTTTGATACAGATGTATTGTCTTATAAATATTGAAGTATGGTTATTTCATTTCAGGAGTTTTCACAGGATTTATTGCATAAACCTCAGGTTCAGTTTGCCTTGACTTTGTACCACAGATGGATACTAAGATTTCCTGTGAAAGCTGCATTATATGCTAAATCCACAAAAATGTCCTATATGCATGTGTAAGTTTTAACAACTATAGATGTTAATTTATAAAAATCAAAAGATGGTAATCAAACTGTGTTAAGTATTTAACTTTATGTAGAAATATAGTCATTAGTCTTTTGTAACAGTGAAATTTACTAAAAATTTTATCACTTTTTTTATGTTCAGACACATCTTCAGTTATATTTGTAATTTTAACTAAACAAATGAAACAACATTATATTATATATAGATGTAATGTATTAACTAAGTTTTATACCTTTAGGCCCGGTATACAAGCAGATAGTGGGTATACACCATTAAATCAAAATTTTGAAAAAATCTTAAGAATGTCAGAGCTATCTCGAATGAACAGTATCAAATACTTAGAAGAAATATTATCATACTATGAACTAACTCCAGAAAGCCGCAGAGAGCCAAAAAAAATTAAAATTCCTGTCATGGATGCATTTGTCCACCTTAATGAGGATTCCACTGATATGAATCATGACTGGAATGCTGGGAAAATTGTCATCAATCAATATGAATTGGCAATGCAAATTCACTTTGACCTCTGTTATAATTACTTTTTCTATGGTCAACATGACATGGCTGCAAAACACATACTTGGTTGCAGAGAAAACTCAAATTTATTGGAAAGAGAGATATCTTTATATGGATATGGTTCCCACAAGGTTATGCCGTGGGGAGATTTCTATTATGCAAGTGTTGCCAAGGAAGATATATTAGGCTATATCAGAGCCTTAAATTTAGGCAGCGAAGTACTTAATGAAGAACCGTCATTATTACAAAAATTGCAAGAATCCATTGCCAATCATTATGCTGGACTTATAGCTGTACTTCAGGCAGATAATTTAACAAAAGAGATTCCCATGGTGCATAGGCAAGTGGTGGAATTGGACATCCAGGGATCTGCATCTAGTGGAGCATTCACTGTGGCTAGAGATCTTCTGAATAGAGTGTCAGCACTCAACGCCGTAAGATATGCTCTTGAAGGAGGCTTACCCTCAACTCATCCTGATTTCCTTAACAAATTCAAAACAGTCGGTATAAAGTTTTTTGATCTCTTATTTTGGGCACTCGCGCCAGTGTTGATGTCTAAATTATCTAATGACGATTGGGCAAATTTGAAAATGTTTTTCCTTCATTTAGCTACGTCTCAATGTAGACTCCCAGTAGAAAGAATAGATGAATATTTAAAGAAACATGTAGGTGAATCTGCTGAACGTATTAGAAAGAAGTTAATATCTGATGAAGAGTTACAGACCATAATCAATGATCCAATAAACAGTGACGATGAGAATATGGAATTACCACGCGAATTACTCACTGATGATTGGGATACACCAGACTTTGAAATAAAAACTGTACCTGAATTAGAAATGGGGAGATTAAAGAAGCAACTTATCGAAGCATCAACAGCTGACGACGTGCGAATGTGTTTAGTGAAACTAGCCAAGACTGCACCTTCGTCTCCGTTGTGGAAATTAAGTCCATCTTGGAAGCCAGCTGGTAGTTTAGGTAATGCTTTGACATCTCTGCCTAGAGGTTTTTTGCAAGATTTCGGTTATATAGTATCAGGGGCTGCACGAGCTCGTGCTGAAGCAGGATGCGCCCGTACCGCTTTATCTTTACTATCAGTATTAGAGGGAGAGGTTCGAAACCAACTAGGCGGAGGGACCGACTCCACATTATACAAACTATGCCGCCAATTGTCTTGGGAAGTGTTATTGTTGCAAGTAAATGTAATGCTCAGCGAATGGCCACACCACCGCATCAATTTGACTGCGCTCGCAAACAAATGCAAAGCTTGTATAGCTGCTGCGAACTCCGGCGATGGAATCGTCCCAAGACCACAGGTAACTCTTATTTTTTTTTCATTATTATTCTATAAATATGTTATATCTATATTGAAATTAGTTGATTGGGGTTTTCTATACATTTTCTTTGATTCACTAGGTCTAACTTGTGTTTGTACTGCTACATATATTTATTTTGTACAAAAGTCGATTGCTTGGGTACCTCTGTCGTATTCGTGTTTCTACCGTGAAGCAGTTGTCTTTACATGGCTGTTTCGGTTTGAAGGATGGGATATGGCGTGAATTTACAGGATACAGAGGAATAACACCTGAGTCCTCAGGAATGGCAACGCATGGGGGGTATCATGGGCGAAACAGTATACTCTGTTATGTCCATGGTACTGCTCATATCAATAGGCGACGGTTACCACTTTCCATCAGGTGGGCTGTTAGCTTCTTTGCCATTCTAAGTTGTATAAAAAAAAAGTTTAATACAAACAACTAAAAATAGTGAAAAATTCTTGAAAATTCTTTATGAATGCATTGTATATTAGCTGTAGTATATATTACGACTTTACCTATAAAAATTATAATGAAATAACTATATATTATGTATGTTTTATATAGTGATAATTCTAACTAGGCAAAATATAGTAAATAACATTGCTGATTGAATGACTTTAATAAAAACTATTATTACAGGTGCTAGAAGCGTGCTGGACTTGCTTAGTGAACGCTTGCGAGTGGGAGGGTGTGGTCGCGACCACCGGTCCCGGAGAGATCGCCGCCGCTCTGTGTGCCGCATGCTTTGAGCTACAGAGGGGTAAAGCCACACGAAAATTCCCAAGACCTCTGTGGGATATAGGTATGTATAAAAATGTATATTGTCAAAGTATTTTATTTTTCTAATTAGCTGATGCGACTGTTGTTCAGTACTAATTTTATTTTTTGTTTTTCCCTAAAAACTGTATTTATTGTTTATATACCATGTAGTCATTTCCGAGTGATGTGCTTACCAATAAACTATATTTAATTTTTATTTATATTGAAGATTAGAAGGTTCATTGAACTTGCAAGTTTATATATAGGTATTTTTTTATAAATTAAAAAAAGAAATAAACTTTGCAGCTTTATCGGTGTACAGTAATGGTTCGAGCGGTCCTATCAAGCGTAACGCGAGCGGTATGCCTTCACACTCTCGAGATGCGCCCAACGCGAGCACAGAGGCGCGAAACGCTTTCAACGCGTTCTTGGCTACACTCCGGGAACCGCTTGCTGTCAGTGTGATGTTCTCCCTCCTGGCGAGGATACACAACCTTCTCATAGATGACAGTTCGCTCGAACTCGTAGTTGAATACACATCACTGTGGCCATCGACCATATCGAATGTCAACAATTACACTAACAACATTAAGTACATTCTTGAATCTCTCACCGAATTGTTGGAAAGGAGTTTGAAGTTATACCCATATAATACATCGTGGTGGGTACCTATGTTTTATTTAAATATCAGTCTTTAATAGTGTTTAAATATTTAGGTAGATAGATAAATACTCTTTATTGTTTCCTCCATAAGATTACAATAGTAAACTTATATACATTATACAAACATTTACAAAAAAACAATGGACGACCTTATCGCTAAGAGCGATCTCTTCCAGGCAACCTTTAGACGAAGAAGAGCAATTATAAACAGTAATATAATAATAATATACAATTATAAGTACTTTGATAATATTACAATGTTTCAATATACATACATAAAACACAGTCTTACATATAAATGTAAGACTGTCTTTTATATATAATATGACTCATTTATATCGGAAGAAGACCTTGTACAAAAATTATCTGCATTGATCTCTGTTCTACTCCTTTTTTTTAACTATGTATTTTATTTAATGTCCATTACAATGTAATCTATCGGTAACAATTCCAACTTTTCGTCAAACGGGCCGCTAGAATATTTTTTTTTTATAATACATATGAACAGCAACCAAACCAGCGGCCACGTCATGGAAAGTGGTAACTGTCGCTTATATTACCATTCCTAAGGTCTTCGGTCTTATGTCTCTGTACCTATTCTAAGTTGCATGCATGATAAAGATGTCATAACTTGATGCTAGATTATATTATTATTATAGATAGAGCCTCCAGCCTCAAAAATGGGTCAACTTTTTGTCAGCTAATTATCAAATTAGCTGACTCGTTATAAGTGTTCTAAGTATATAATTACGCATAAAATGTATCTTGATGTATTATTTAATAAATGAGTGTTTACACATTGAAAAGATGCAGAAATTATAAGATAAAATAAATAAAGAAATTATAAAGGAATCACTCATAACTATTTATCACGCAAAATTGTATGAAAAAGTTGACCCGTTGTTCTCGAAGCATTTCCATGGAGGCATTCTTATCTATATAATGTAAGCATGGATGTTGCGGCGCGTCGCAGGCTGCGGTTATACGGCGACGTGGAGATGTGCGGCGGGCGATGGGGTGCGGCGCTGCGGCGGTACATGTGCGCGTTAGCTGCCGGCTCGTGGCTGTTCGCCAAGCGCGCGCCCGACGAAGGCAGCGTGGCGCGGCGTGCGGCTCGCTGCTGCCAAGCGCTGGCCGCGCCCACGCAGGCCGCCGCGCTCTGCCAGCTGCCCGACGAGCCCGACTACACCACCGCCTTCAAGTGCCTCGCCGAGAAGGTACGTTCCTACTCGTACTTCGTATAGTCACCGATATACGAGAAAACCATTGTTCAGTCAGATACTAAAAAGCATCGTAGCTTGCAATCAAATTACTCACACATTTATATCCGCTTATTTTAACTATAGGCAAGTTGATGAGCCTATCTCTCTTTATATGAACATTAAAAATCTGTACAGCTAAATTTCTAAATTAAAAACAAATTACTTTCTTCATTACCATAGAGATCTATTCAATCAAAGTACATTTCTAATTTTAGAATTGGCAAAAATTATGTGAATTGATAATAATAAGCTTCTATTTCAACTTGTAAACCAACCATAGTTCACTCTATCATCATTATTAGTAACTAAATTCAAAACAGTACATTTAAAAATATTTACTCACAGCTGCGCCCCAAAATGGGGAAGTCAGGAGTATTAGTTAATTAGGTATTACATTGTTATAGTGAATATATACGATATTGGTAACAGCTCAAATTTATTTAATAAATCAACGCATTGAATATCAGACAGGGAATGCAGCGGATGCTATGGACGCGTACTACGGCTGCCTGTGGGACGGTACGCTTTTGGAAGTATGCGTGGCGTTGCACGCTCGACGCGGGGAAGGAGGGAGGCGGGCGCGCGCGGTCGCCGCCGCCGGCGCTCTCGAACTGAACGCCAACAACAGCGAAGATATACAGCGCGAGGCCGCTGCCACGCGTCGCGCCAGGCTGCTGCGGGCACTTACCAACCAGTATGTCGCGTGAACATGACCGCTAGCAGCGACCACATAACCCGCGCCAAGCTGCTGCGAGCGCTTACCAACCGGTACGGCGGATGAACATAGACGCTAGCAGCGAGGTTACACCGAATTACCGTTATCAGAATGCTGCAAACACTTAAGAACTAATGTAGTGTAGCACTACTCCAACAACGACGATACTGTAGTTCCATCGTCGTGTAAAGTATGTATGTATGACCACGAGACAGGATTCAACGATGAGGACTTATAATAACTATAATTGTCTTGTAAACTCAACTTAGACAAGTGAAAATATAGAATTAAACACTTCAGAGACTCGATATCTGTCTGTAAATATATTGACATAAATAAGGTAAAACTAATTCGTATGTTAAAGTGTAAATGTGATACGTCATAAAAGACCTAATGTTAATTAAAACTAGTTATCCAATGGTGTGAGACTACACCTATATGTGTGTAATATCTATAAATAAATTATTATTAAGATTATAATATGTTTTTTTATTTGATACCCTAAAATATGTTAAAAAAAAAAGAAACATGTATAATATTAGCCAAACAAGTTATTGGAGACATAAAGAGGCAAAATCGTCAAAAATATAACGCCTCTTCTATTTAATGCCTATCATTAGGCAGTAAGAATCGCAACATCACAATCTAACTGCCTGGGGCAAAAAGATTATTAGTAACGCGCTCTAACAGCCCCATTGCTTGCAACAGACTCTATCAAGTCAACCTCCACGCAGTTCCCCCTGGAAACTATCGTGGTTAATTTTTGTTGAATTATTCACGATGGGCCAACTGACCTGCCTTCGTCCTCACATTACATCTATCATTGGTGTCCCGCCAGCGTATACCGATAACGTAGACGGGGATGCGATTCCTTATTCACCCATTAAAAAAATCTAACTGTCTAGTATGGACTGTACAAAGCTTAACATTACGATAGCATGCACGTTTACGTCGTCAAACTGTAGTATTGGAAATTTAACTGCACCTCTAATTGTTTTAAAAACTCAGATTTCCATACAAACCTTTATACACAAACTCGATTATAACGAATTCTTTATAATTTTAGTTACTACTTCAAGAAAACATTACTTTCCTACATCGCATTCATTGTTCCTACATACTTAAAGATGGCACAGTCGCTGAAATCTTTTAAAGCAGGTATCATAAAATTTTATTTTGAAAATCCCTCTTCATTGAGCCAATTGTGAATATATGTATTTATTATGTATACATGTATGTGTATGTAGGAGTGTATATATGTATGTGTATGTATGTATATATATGTATATGTATGTATGTATATGTGTATATATGTATGTGTATGTGTATAAGTTTTAATTTATTAATGTTATATTATTATTAATTTACTTTTATTATTTACATATGTAGGTATATAGAGCTGTTTTTATTGTGTTATATATTCAATTTTTTTTTTTTTACTGGGTATTATTTAGTTTATCTTTAATTGTACGGTTATTACCCTTATACATTCTACAGTTTTCTTTCAGCTTCTCAAAGGTTGACTGTAAGAGATCCCTTTATGGGATAAGTCCGCCATTGTATACTAAATCATTTACTAGTATTTAATCTGCCTTATGTACAATAAAGATTTTTACAATTTACAATTTTTACTTTTCTATGGTCATGTAATGTCAATAAAGAAGGAAAACTTGAAAGTGAATATTCTCCTATCAAACAGATAAAAATAACTTGTAACAATTCTTGTCACGAGACACCAGCTCAAAGCTAAATAAATACACCTGTGTATATAGGTATGTGAAATAATTTTGAATATTTTGTCTTTTTAAATGAATAAATAGTGAGAAACTGGTCATTAAATAAAAGGTTTTTGAAAGAAGTAATTTATTTTAATAATCACATAGAAAAATACAGAATATTATGTAATTATTCTAAAATGTAGAATAAAACATTTTAAGTTTATGAACATATATAAATTTTAAAATTATGAACATAGAAAAGTATTAATGTAGTAATACATTTTCTATGCTACAATTACAATATTTTGTGCTCTTATCTATAAAATATTAATATGAATATATTATTCAAAACATTTGATATATCTATCTAAAGGTCTATCTATCTAATATTTCAATTTTTTTATGATAGAATGATAAAAAAGCTGACGGCCCAACTAATGGAAAGTGGTAACCGTCATTCACAAACATGAAGTACTTATTAACTAAGTAGATATAAAAATAAATGCAGTAAGTTATATATTAATGGCACATGTATATTACAGTCGGATTTTGTTACGGTTAAGTTAGAAATAATTATATATAATGACAACAAGCAAATTTACATTGACAGAAAGTCTTATGTTAAAAATGTAAGTTTAACTACAAAGTTCATAAATGGGCACAGTCTTTTTGTATCCTATGTTCAATGAATAACAGGCACAAAAACTGAATGAAGTTAAAACAAAATCAAGGAAGTAGGCTCGAAAACCAAATAGAAGTCAAATTAATGTTCTTACCTACCTACTTGTAATAAAAAAGAAAAAACTAGTTAACATACAAATTGGTAAATAATTGAAAACCTTCAACAGTTACAAAATGAGCTTATTATATTAAAAATATAATAAGATATTATGGTTATTATTTATAAACACAATCGAATAATATAACAACTATAATATTAATATATAACTATAATATTACCTAAGAAAAAGAAAGGTGTATATAATACCAAAACATTATATGAATATTTGCCTTCAAATTTCGAATATTTACTTCTCATACGTGCCAAGATATTTGTGGCAATTAGGGCAATAGTGATCGGCGTTCTTCGCGGACTCTGACAAGTATGGTATGCAGCAACAGCAGCTATAAAAAGAAATAAAATTATGTAGTTTTGTATAAAAAAAAAATACTACTAAGGGGACGTTTAAGTTGATACACGCCAAACGAGACAACTGCTGGCAAGTAGGGTAAAAGAACTTTTTTAGAAACCATAATTAAGTAACTTCGAAAAATCGAATGTGTCTAATTTTTCTGGGGCCCTTGATTTTAAGGTAGGGTATTGGGCCTTTTAAGGTAAAGCACTGCCCCTCAATGTCACCCCAGCTACTACTTACTTACCATATAAGGCCGCAAAGAGCAGCAGCTATGTGAGTTCGTGCAGTAACGGTGTACTTGATTGAAGTTTTTATTGACGCCTGACAAAATTGGCATACTGTTATGCTGTTTTCAGGTCCCAGTAGCGTTGGTGCCTTAAATAAAAAAAATATAACTAATCAGTTTAAATTATATTATCTGTCTTAATCTGATTTAATTTCATTATAAGATAATTAAATGGGAACTCTTGTCCAATTATAGCGTTCAAATATATATGGGACCTTATTTTGTTTACCCAATAACTAAGGACTTAAACCAAATCGAAGCCCTGGAACCGTGAATAATTTCCAGGGGAGCCGTGAATTTACAGGGTACAGAGGAATAACATCTGAATCCTCAGGAATGGCAACGAATGGGAGGTATCATAGGCGAAACAGTATGCTCATACTGTAAGTACATACTGCTGATGTCTATAGACGACGGTTACCACTTTCTATCGGGTGGGCTGTCAGCTTGTTTGCCATTTTAATTTGCAAAAAAAATGTAACTCTTTGCTAGGGAATGATCTAATCCCCATTTGGCTAATGAAAATAGAAATTAAAACATTTAAAATCCAAAAAAAAAAACAAATTAATGACCAAAGAACTCGTACCTATCTATATATCAAACTCTAAATACCTTTAAGCTGCATCTATTTATAAACAACATTATGTTCACGTCAATAGCACAAGGAATGTGAACTAGGTAATTGGTTAAAGTCCCACACCATATTACACACATTTATTGATTCGTTTAAAAATTCCCCGAATGCTGTCTATAAATAAAGGGGTTATTGCAGTGCCTATTTAAATTCGAACAAAGATGCTGTTTTAAATTTACGAGCAGGAAAGGATGTGAAAATCAACATTGTTAGTTGTTAGATTTGAAAATAACTTTGGTTGAAAATTGTCTCCAATTGTTTGGTACAGCAATTTGTTACATAAATTGCATTACTCATACCCACTCAAGACTTCCTATGCCACAGTGTTAGGTTAACTGGAAGATATTTCTTTTAAAGATAAGTTTTTCTTGTGCAACTTAGAATGGCAAACAAGCTGACGGCCCACCTGATGGAAAGTGGTAACCGTCGCCTATAGGCATAAGCAGTACCATGAACATAACAAAGTATAGTTTCGCCGCACTCGGGTATCATTTATCTGTACCCTGTAAATTCACTTCAATATCCTCCCACCCTTCAAACTGAAACACAGCCATGTAAACACAACTGCTTCACGGTAGAAACACGATTGGGACAGAGGTGCCAAGTCCCCTCTGGTAAGTTCACCTTTGCTCACGTTACTTCTAATTGAAAAAAATATTGTATAAATAAATTAATATTATATAAATGTGACATTATTTTATAGAAAACTGACCACAACGAAAGGGAAGAGACTGTTAGTAATGCGGATTAACAGTCCTATTGCTAACAATATACCCTAATAAGTCAACCTCTCCGTAGTCCCCCCTGAAAACCATAGTACTGAATTCCAAGTGTATTCACCACGATAGGCTAACTGACCTGCCGTTCATTCTTACATATCATTCCTCATTGGTGCCCCGCCAGCGAATACCGTAAGCGCAGGCGGGGTGATCATTTCATTATCACCCATTAAAATACCCCACCTGCGCTATCGGTATACACTGGCGGGTGACACCAGTGATAGATGGTAGGTGACGATGAAAGTGGGTTAAATAGCCACGATCGTTTCCAGGGGGAACCACTAGAAGGTCGACCTGATAGGGTTTATTACTAGCAATGGGGTTGTTAATCCCTATTACTAACAATCTCTTTTCTTCCTAGATCCACTTAGTCACCCCTGAAAACCGTCATGATTAATTCTGACCTGACCTGTTTTCATCCTCACTTAACAACCCTCACTGATGTCCCATCAACGTATATCGATCAACGATATCACAGACGGAGCTAACATTTCATCTTCATCTATTAAAAAATCCTGTATATAGAAAGAAACAAAATAATACACGCGATGTGCTTCAACGGAAATAGGTAACACAGTGTTATCTGCAAGTTAAATTCTCACAAAATATACTAAATAATAATAAACACCGAAAAGACACATTTTTTATGATGTCATTGTTTTTCTGGTAATAAAAAATATATTATATAATAAATAAGTGAATGTACAAAAGCATATAAATAAATAAATATTTTAATTTTATCAGTATATCATGTACAGGCCCAAAATAAGTAGGTATTTCTGCCATCAAGTAATATACCAAAATGTATTCTTAATGTAAATTAATAGCTTAGCCCGCGGAAGCGCCCATGATCATATTGAGATGATGAAAAACCTATAATCTTTATCAAGAAATGAGCTATCAAATACAAAAAGAATTATTTTAAATCTGACTAGTAGTTTCAGAGATTAACGCGTTCAAACAGACACACTTTTTATTATATTAGTATTTATTACCACATATTACCAATATCCCAACATAGATAATTTACTCACCATTACTTGATTAAAAGAAGGTTGAGTTGTCAATGGAATAGTGGTGCTATCCATTTTCTTTTGAATCTATAATAGTAATAAAAAAAATATTAATAATTATTAAATAAAAATAAATATAGGATGATATTATAAGAGTGTATAGACTGAATTGTGGTGGTGGTAACCTACTTCAAAATAGGTGATGACTATGTTAATGAAACTAATAGGTACTTATATTTTATTTCAATTATAAGTACTTGGAAACCTTATTTTACAAAATATAATTGCAACGTTCTGAAGTTATAAAGCGAGTATTCAAAAACTAAATATGGGAAAGACATAAATCATAGATAGATAGATATTCAAATAGTGCGTCTAATGTCCAAACTTTATCAAGAAAAGGTATCATAAAACGATTAGCTAATTGCTGGCTGATGCGTATTTCATTTTACAAACTAAACTATACACGCCATGTGATATCCAATAAATGGAAAAATATTATTTGAAGACACAATAAGTTAAATCATTTTACTACAAAGGTATAAAATTTAGATTATAAACTATATAGAATGGCAATGTAAAAGAGAAATAATACTCGTAACTTATATGTTAAAGCAAGATAGAAAAGTAGCATATACACCTACACAATATAAGCTCGAAACTGATTTGGAAGTATGTACAAAATAAATTGTTATTAGTTTTTTAAATTTTGAATTTTAATAGGTTTATAAATGAATATAGTAACTTTATTAAGTGTGCTGTTCTTGGATATAACATAAATAAGGCAAAAAAACATATAACTACACATTTTTTCCGCAATTATGTCTTTAATTACAATATTATAGAACCGTCAGAAATATTTTGTATAAGAATTGGTAAAAAATCTTATTTATTCCAAATAAAGTCCCGAAAGTTCATGAATTAAAATAAAAATTATAACAAATGCGTAAATTTTTGCAACTTGATTCCGTATAAATTTAGACTTGTCACTTGCATACATTTACAAAACACGCACACTAGTGTAACTTTTCTCTTGTCTCGTTTTTATGATTGCATTGTCAATCTGTCAGTATATAAGTACGTTATAGTACGCTATAATATAATAAGAAGACGATCTCTGCAGCTTATTGCAAGTTACCTCACGTAATTTTGATTTGATATGGTAATTTTTAAGCCGGAAGTCAATATTCAATTATTTATTATTTGTATAGGTTTTTTTTTCTATTACTATTAAGAAGGCAAACGAGCAGATATATGATTGCTTTTTATATATTATATAAAAATATTTACCTGAGCCGAGGGATATACTTTAGGATATATGGGCAAAGAGTCGTTCTCCATTTCTTTCCTTAAAAAACAAAAAATAACAAATCCGTTACAAATAATGCCTGTGTGTTAGAAATTAACAATATAAATAAGTACTGTAGAATAAGTAAATAGTAAGTACCTAACATAGACATTATTATAACCTATCAACAATACCTTACAGTACAATTACAATCTAATCATATGCCACTGAATGCTAGAAACCATTGATCAATCACAAAAACAAACCAACGTTAACAAAAATAGTAAATAAATTATCAAATAAACCCTACAACCGGCATTTGTCTCTATCATAAAATTAAAATAAAAAATCAGCGAAGATAAACATGTAGAAACCTATAATTACATAAACATTCAACTATCAAAAATTTTAAATACCAAACTGTATAAAAGTATAAAATGCAATTACATTTAGCAGCCTTAGCAATTATTATTAAACAAAAAAAAATCTCCTACAATACACTGTTATGGAAAAGCTCAAGCAACTAATAGCGAATTAAGCCTCCGCCTATTTAAAACCGATCAAATGTAGTATTTTTCTGTTCTTGACATTCGTGCTTCGGACTATATTTCCCAATAAAAAAAAATCTCGTCAAATCTTACTGAATAAGAATAGATTTAATGAAGGCATCTAGATACAATCAACATAAAAATTGAAATTTAGTACCTACTTATATAGGTACAAGGGTATTCCCTCTTGCAACATGAATTTTGTATTATAATAAAAAGCCGTTTCTATTTTGTTTACATTTATACATCCATGTTCACTCTTCAGTATGGTATCTATAAAGTTGCTATATTAATTGTTTATAATAAATATGAAATAAACTTACTAATTTTAGAATATTAATGTTTAAATTGAACCTTCTCGCTAATATAAGAACTTTTTACAAAAAAAATTGTAAAATCAATTAATTAGTGAATAAAAAATATAGAAACCATGTAGAAAGACAACGTGTTTAATTTCAAATAATATAAAAGTAATAGAAGACGTAAGATAAATAATTATTTATAAAAAATGCCCATCTTGAAAACAAGCATCACATGCATGGTATTCGGTATTGTCTATTAATATTATTAAAGCTACACCCGACCCTCCATGTACCTTGAAACTAAACACTTGTATAAAAATAAAAGTATTAGTAGAAAAATAAGTACATATCTTACCAGTCGTTTATGAAGAAGAGTTTAAACACTTTAAACAAAGAACACAATAAAATGGCTTGTTGTTTTACTCATAAAATAATATATACACATTCGTTACGTACTACTAGCACGATGTCCGACCATGAAATGATATTGTGGCGGCGGCGGGAGGGAACACAGTCTCGAATGTTTAGAGCTTAGAGCGAAACCATAAAGCGTGTTCTACACAGCAAAACTTTATGTTGCTAGCGACTTCAAGTTGCTTCGTAATCAAAATCACTGCCATCTAAAATCAGCATATAGGTATCAAAAAAAGTATCAAAATTATTGATACTTTTTTAATGTATTTACCTACCGTTGGTATATTTAAAATTATTTTCCAGGGATGAGGGAGGGGCTCCCTAAAAAAAGTGATATGTATTATTAGACATGGCCCATAACTGAAAACTCTGCTTCTAATACAGGGGTAGACACCAAACAATTCTGGGGTGGACACCCGGTCCCCTCCTTAAATACTCTTACGATACCTTTTTATTTGTATTACGGGAAATGTACAACCATAATAAGTTATCGGGCATCTATTAAGGTATAAGCATAAGAATTAATATTGTGTTATAGGTACTCGTATATAAGGTGAAATTGAAATTATTATTATGTATTAGCATACATTTAGGGCAGTGTTCAACCAGTAAATCTGCATATTTACAGAGACTGACTTCTAAACTCGATGTTCTGGTTATAATGTTTAAAAATTTGTTTTAGATAAAAACATTCGATTTTACTGCAAGGAGTGATCTGATTTAGACCAATTATTGCTAAGAATAATTCTAGTAGCACAGCAGCACCAAACTTATAACATCCCTTTTTTTACGTTGCAGGTTAAAAACGAGTTCGATTCGTTACGATTGCCAGCAACTTTAAATCGCTAATAATATTTACGTCCAAACAACCGACAGCTAATCGCCATCGAATAAAAGTCACTGATCGCTATGTGTAAACTATGCGTTAGTAGCTGTATAGATGAGACTAACTGGTATTACATATATACAAAAAACATGTTTGTAAAAGATCTTTTCAAATAAGAAAGTACAAAATAACAAAAAAAAAATCAAATTATCTAGAGGTAAAGAAAATAATTTTAAAATTGATTAAGCATTTTTAAAGCTTAAAGTTATTAATAAAAAAATAAAAAAAACTAGATTAGTAGATCTGTTTTTTTTTTTTAAATTAAGTACAGCCCGTATTACTGGTTGATAATATAGTTTTTTAAAATAATATTTTATAAAATCCGTTTTATTTTTTTACTTAGATATGACCTACTTACTACTTTTTAGAAAGTTACAAAATATTATCTCTGATTGCATATTAAATATTCTATAATGGTAATTTTTTACTATTATATTCTATAATAATATCATTAACTGTGTAGCCTTATAGCTATCCCTTCCTTTCCCGTGGGTGTCATAAGAGGCGACTAAGGGAGCTTATGGTCGAGGGAAGGGCAGCAGCGTCCCTCTTAACACAACACCAAAGACCAAACTTTGGTTGCCAACCTGCCTACCAAGTGTAGCGACTACTGGCAAACCCCTTCTTATAGGGAAGGTTATATTTAGTGTTGGAAACTCCAACAAAAATTAATACTAGCATAAAAACTTTTTATTATATTTTTTAATTTCAAATAAAGAATAAATAAAATTGTCATAAAAATGGAGAATAAAAAATTGTATTCCTAATTAACTTTGGCCTTTTATATATTAAATCCATGTATCTATATTGAGTACAATACAAAATTTGGTCCATTTCGAGCATCGTAAGGCAAGAAACAGCGAATTACAAAAAATCTCAGTTCAATATCCGTGGATACGAGAAGCGCCATTGTTTCAAGAATACAACATATATGAAATCTATTCTCCTCCGTGCGTTCGACAGGCGATTGCAATTGTTGAAGTCTACAAGTAAATATTATATATTTCTCCGAGTGGTAACTACAATTTCTTTAGTTGTCAATTAAGAGATTTATATAGACGACGACAAACGATTATCTCAGTTGGCCTGCAAGAAAAATATACATCGAACAACGGCAAATTCATTCATGACACGAGGTGGGAACTACGATTTTTATATTCAATAAATACATTTGAACATTTTCCATTATATCTACATATTTTAATTTTGTGGCAATCGTCGTGCAATGGCCACTGATAGTGAAACTTCACTACGCGCCTCGCGAGGCTATGTTAAAGGGGCGATTACTCGTCTTCACAGTTTTGTTAGTAACGAGTCTGAATTAGAAGAAAGTACCTTACAGGCCCTTACAACGCGTAAAGAAAGACTGCTCACAGCCTTCCGAAAATATGAAGGATTTAATATGCGGATTCTTTCAATGCGACCAGATGATGACGAGAACGTAGCAGCTGTTGAAGATAAATATCTATATACTCTTACCGTTCTTAATGAAGTGATTAGCCGTAAGACTTATAGTGTAGAGGACTCTAAAGGTCATGTTAGTACTATTGCACGATCAAAAACTAAGTTGCCCGCGATTCAAATGTCCATATTTTCTGGTAATTGTGTTGAATATGTAGCGTTTCAATCATTGTTTACTTCATTGATTCATAATGACTTAACATTAGATAATGTTCAGAAGTTGTATTATCTTAGGTCTTATTTAAAAAACGAACCGTATGATCTTATTAAGAACTTACCATTAACAGCCAGTAGCTATGATCAAGCTAGACAATTATTGGAGGAGAGGTATAACAATAGGTATCGTATTGTAAATGAACATATTGGTCAATTACTAGACTTACCTGCGCTTGTCAAATCAACCCCTGAAAACATTCGAGATTTTGTAGCGAGTCTTAAGCAGACTTTGGCTGCTCTGCAAAACTTAGATGTGAAGGTTGAAACTTGGGATCCAATAATTGTTTGTATTCTTAATCGTAAGTTAGATACATACACGGCTCGGTCGTATCAAATGGAGAAAGATACTGCCGAGGAACACAGCGTCAAGCACTTCATCGAGTATCTTGAGAAGAGGGCACTTGCATTGGAGAATGCTGCGCCGTCAACTGAGATGCCATCTACAAAAGCCAAGGGTTTATCAATCAACGTAGCGGCTGCTGGTGAGAAGGCGGTGACGTGTCATTACTGTAAGTCCAACAATCATAAATTATTTTCCTGTAATACATTCAAATTAATAACTTCTGTGGAACGCTATAAATTCTGTAAAGACAATAAGTTATGTCTGATTTGTTTAAATAGGCACAATGGAAAATGCAAATTTCATTTCAAATGCGATCTGTGCAAAAAGGCACACAATTCACTAGTTCATCATGACGAATGTGACGAAGGTCCTGTTTCCTTATTATCCAAGGGCCACGATTCTAATGTTTTGCTTCCCACAGTAAAAGTGAAATTATTCACAAAGGATAAAAAGACGATAATAGTGAAGGCGATTTTAGATACAGGTTCACAAGCCTCCCTCGCTACGAGCAAGTTAATCCAGCAATTAGGTTTAACTCCAACACCCAACAATACAAATATAATAGGTGTAGGCAATGCTCAGAATAATACAAGATATTGTATTCCATTAAACATACACTCTGTTAATTTTTCTTTTAATATGACTGCCAATTTTTATGTAGTCGAAGAAATTACCTGCAAGCATCCACAAACAAAACTTGATATTCGGCAATTGAAGTTACCTCCCAATATAGTGTTGGCAGACGATCAATTTAATGTTCCATCTGAAATAAATCTCTTAATGGGTGCTGACATATTTTTCCATGCCATTGCTATGCTATTGCTATTGTCATGCCCAATGAGTCTGAGCGACCGTGGTCTCGAAATCTGCACCGGCCGCTACCTAGTCAAGATGACATTACGCCCTGCATTATCAATACACGTTTTGGATATATTATTGGTGGTTCAATGCTTGAATATCAGCAAGCTTCAAAACAGGTAACATCACTATTATGTATTAAATGCGATCCTGAAATCAATGATAATATCAAATTATTTTGGGAAGCTGAGAGTATACCACAAACCTTTTCTGAAAATCAAAGTGAACAAGAGTTAGCTGAAACTATCTTTCAGAATTCTGTAGAATTGATTGATAATAGATTCCAGGTGAATTTACCTCTTAAAGTCGAGGATAATGAAATTCATAATTACTTGGGCAATTCTTTTGTTTTAGCTTGGTATCGATTTTTAAGTTTGGAAAGGCGTTTACAAAATAATATTAATCTATTGTCAGAATATAATAAATTTATTCATGAATATGTAGAGCTAGGTCATGGCGATTTTATTAATTTTGATTTCTATGATTTTGACAAAGATGCTGTATATTTTTTACCGCATCATGCGGTCATTAATGAATCGAATAAAACTACTCGCACAAGAGTCGTTTTTGATGCCTCAATGAAGACGGATAAAAAGGTTTCATTAAACGATTTATTACTGAATGGGCCTTCAGTCCAGAAAGAGCTTTTTGATGTAATTTTATTGTTCCGAATTGGTAAATATACGTTTTCCACGGATATAAAGCGTATGTTTAGGAATATTCTGGTGAATCCCAAACACAGGGCTCTTCAAAATATTCTTTGGCGAAATAATCCTGATGAGGCAATAAAATGTATACGTTTAAATACTGTTACGTACGGTATGAAAAGTTCAAGTTATTTATCAACTCGTTGTTTACTCGAACTTACTAAACTATTTGGTCAAGAATTTCCTATAGCTTCATTTATATTGCGAAACTGTACTTATGTCGATGATATCCTCTATTCGTCATCAGATCTTAGTGAAATAAAAGAAGCTAAGCAACAATTACAGTCTTTGCTACAAAAAGGAAGTTTCGAAACACATAAATGGTCAGCTAATGATCCAGAAATTTTGTCTGATATTCCAATTAGTAAACAACATTTTGACGAGCTAGAGTTGCAAAAGGATAATTATAGCATGAAAGTATTAGGTTTAAATCTAGATGTAAATAATGATTGGTTTAATATCACATGCCCAGAAACTATTGATATAAAATCGGTAACAAAAAGTCAATTTTAAGCTGTATTGCTTAGTTTTATGATCCACTTGGCTTTGTGTGTCCAATTATAGTAAAGGCTAAGATTATTATGCAGAAACTGTGGGCTGAAGGTATTGGTTGGGATGCTTCTGCTTCCGATCATGTTAAAGAAGAATGGTTGTTTTTTATTGACGGTCTCAAGGCAATGGAACCTATTCATATTAATAGAAATATACCAATTCCATTAGGTTCTAAGGCTGTGCAATTGATCGGCTTTGCTGATGCCTCAAGTAAAATAGGCTACGGATGCTGTGTATACCTTAGAACGGTAGACTCTGATTGTAATGTACACATGTTTCTTTTAAGTGCGAAGTCCAGAATTAATTCGTTTTCGAAACCAATAACAATACCACGGTTAGAGTTGAATGCGGCCTTATTGCTATCAAGTCTAGTACGGAGGACATATGAAATGTTACAGCTCAAACTTTCAATTGATAATGTTTATCTCTTTACCGATTCTAAGATTGTTTTAGGTTGGTTGAATACTGATATAACGGATTTTAATTATCTATCTCCCGGTCATTTCTTGACTGGTAATGCTATTGTAGCTTATCCTGAAAATGATGTATCAGATTTACCTATTAATAGACTAAGTTTTTGGAAACAATGTGAACATTTAAAACAATGTTTTTGGAAAATATGGCATAAGTACTATTTAAATGCTTTGCAGTTTAGATCCAAATGGCAAAAAAGTTATCCTAATGAAACAGTAGGAATGTTGGTGATACTAAAGGACCCAAACAATCCTCCTTTGCACTGGCCTATGGCTAGAATAAGCAAGGTTTTTCCAGGTAGAGATGGGAAGGTTAGAGCTTTCGAAGTTATAATACCTAATGGTAAAACTTTTAAACGTTCCTTATCTGGTATATGTATTCTTCCTATAAATGATGCCTAGATTTAATTATTATTTGCTCATTTTAAACTACTTTCTTTTTCTTCTTCTTTTAATTTATAATGATAAAAAGAAGTGGGAATATGTTATTTGCAATTGTGTAGTTATTTATACAATTTGTTATTATTGTACTTATTGTAATGTAATTGGGCATCACCCACAATATTGGATTTACTAATATAACCATCAACTGTAATATTTTGTATGGTTTTGTTATGTTTATGTAAGTTGTATTAGTATGAAGTAAAGACATTTTCTGTTATATGTTATATGTTTTGTAGCACATGTTACTGTTCTGGTAATTTATCCACTAATAAACCGCTGGTGTGGCGAGCATGTTGGAAACTCCAACAAAAATTAATACTAGCATAAAAACTTTTTATTATATTTTTTAATTTCAAATAAAGAATAAATAAAATTGTCATAAAAATGGAGAATAAAAAATTGTATTCCTAATTAACTTTGGCCTTTTATATATTAAATCCATGTATCTATATTGAGTACAATACATTTAGCAGTGGATAGTTATCGGCTGATACAAAAATAGTGTTTACTAGGTCTATACTAATTTATTCAGTTAACTAATTTATTCACTTATAACTACAAGGACTGGCTGTATCCTGCATATACATGTTCGCATAAATTAGGTTAAAATCCAACCAAATTCTATGCAATTTTTAAATGTACAAACAGTTAAATGACAAACATACTTTTACAATTATAATAAATTATAATATTTATAATTATATTCCACCGTTAAAAGGTCTCTCTGTGTATTATCATTGAAATCCGTTTAGCTGTTTAAACGTGAATGCGTGATTGAGTAACATATTTGTATCGAAATATCTTTATAAATTTCCACATAATTATACATATATTAACACAGTCTAAAGAACTCTTGTGTCATTGAGAAGATACTGATTATGCTCGCAGTTCGTCCTTCTGACCGGGACATATTATATGTATTGATCGGAATAAAAAATAGCCTAAATATGTAATTCTCTATACTAAATACCAGAGGGAGACTTTGTACAAAAGTCGATTGCTTGGGTACCTCTGTCCCATTCGTGTTTCAACCGTGAAGCAGTTGTGTTTGCATAGCTGTGTTTCGGTTTGAAGGGTGGGATATGGCGTGAATTTACTGGGTACAGAGGAATAACACCTGAGTCCTCAGGAATGGCAACGCATGGGGGGTATCATGGGCGAAACAGTATACTTTGTTATGTCCATGGTACTGCTCATGTCTATAGGCGACGGATACCACTTTCCATCAGGTGGGCCGTCAGCTTGTTTGCCATTCTAAGTTCTATAAAAAAAAAAAAAAAAAAAAAAAAAAAAAAAAAAAAAAAAAAAAAAAACTAAATTGATATTAAGTATATATAATATTTCATTAATAAATCGATAAAGGTAATAAATAAATAAAACTTATTGTAGACTAGGATGAAAAACAGAATACCTGTGAGATCCTGTAAAAAATAATTGCAAAGATTCCTACCCTATTCCTACCCGTATCCCTTTTTGATGGATTCTCCCAAGGACTTAGAAGCGGCTTTTTTTAGCTGCAAATCTGATCAACTAATGGGACAGTGGGTTATTTAGTGGCCCACGGTAAGGGGGTTGTTAGTAATGGGTACTAGCGGTGCCATTGCTGGCTCGGTCTCCGCGCAGATCCTCCTGGAAATCATTATGGTGAATTCTTTTATGTACTCGTCATGACGGATCAACTGACCTGCTTTCGTACCTTACCTATTATCCTCCACTGGTGGCCCGCTAGCGTATACTAATGACTCAGAATGGGTTACCATTCCATTATCATGCATTAAAATAAAACCACGATAACAATGGGTACATCGTACGCCTGAAATAAAACTAATAAATAGTAATTTTATATAGTTTTAGTAAAAAGGAAATAGTACAAAATTCTACAATAATTTTATTAAGATGAGATTTATATTAAAAACACTTTGGATTTTAATATGACAGTACTTGGAGATTTTTTTTTTATACAACTTAGAATGGCAAACAAGCTGAGGGCCCACCTGATGGAAAGTGGTAATCGTCGCCTATAGACATGAGCAGTACCATGGACATAACAGAGTATACTGTTTCGCCCATAATACCCCCCATGCGTTGCCATTCCTGAGGACTCAGGTGTTATTTCTCTGTACCCAGTAAATTCACGCCATATCCCACCCTTCAAACCGAAACACAGCTATGCAAACACAACTGCTTCACGGTTGAAACACGAATGGGACAGAAGTACCCAAGCAATTGACTTTTGTACAAAGTCTCCCTCTGGTATATTGTTGGAGATGAGTTAGTAGAATTTTGTTCGTGTTTATTTTGTCTTTACTTACTTTATTAATAGCTTGTAAATTTGTTTGTAATCAGCTGGATAAAGTTACACTACACATAGAATATTAATAACTTATTGCACAACGGTAGAATTTCATCAGTCTTCCAAATACTTAGATGGAATCTATTTTGATGTTTGTATTAATAAATAATAATACTATTCCATTTATTCGGTGACTAATACCAAATTGAAAAACCAGGCAATTTTGTTATCCAATGTCCTCATTAGTACGTTATCTAGTTTACCTATGTATCTACAAGTCATTTAAAAATTATTCTTTATACGTCCCATCTGCTGAATGCCCGTTGTAGTATCATGCTGTAACCGCATGCAAATAAATACCTAAGTACTGTATATTTCAATTTCGGGTCCTAAATTAAATTAAAAGAACCTGTGTGGAATATTACTATGACAATATTCACAGTGATGATATAATACTCATATATAACTGACATAATTAACAAATAAAAATGATCTTGTATACTAAATAAAATCCGCTACTAGATACGCGTGGATGCAGGAAGTAGAAAAACCAATTAAAGTAACCCGGTTTAACATCAGACGGGCTATATGTTTGCCACCATAGTAGTTAATATTAAAAAAAATTGTCCATATTCACAACTTTGTGTGAAAAAAAGATTTATTTATTTATTTACTGAATTTTTTTATACAATTTACAATGGCAAATAAATTGACGGTCCACCTGATGGAAAGTGGTAACCGTCGCCTATAGACATGAGCAGTACCATGGACATAACAGAGTATACTGTTTCGCCCATGATACCCCCCATGCGTTGCCATTCCTGAGGACTCAGATGTTATTCCTCTGTACCCAGTAAATCCACACCATATCCCACCTTTCAAACCGAAACACAGCCATGCAAACACAACTGCTTCACGGTTGAAGCACGAATGGGACAGAGGTACCCAAGCAATCTACTTTTGTACAAAGTCTCCCTCTGAATGTAAAGAGATTCAAATATGCAAAATGTATTATTTTTATTTATTCTATTTTATGTATTATTTATTGTATAATAAAACTAGCTGACTTATCAAACGTTGTTTTACTATATACATTATTTCGAGAACTATACATGAAAATTTATCCTACTAAAATTATTATATTACACCTTACAACCCTATTGCGGTATATAAAAATCAGGATTAAAAAACAGGGGTTGATCGTAAAAGCGTGAAAATTGGAATTTGTATGTATTTTTCAATGCTAAATCATAATAAAATAAAAATAAAAAAATTTTTCAATAAAATAAAAAAAATATTTAGGGGTGGGTTACCCTTTTCATAAAAATCGATTATGCCGTTTCGGAGGAGTTTGGTAACAAACACCGTGACACTTAATGCTAAGTCACATCGCAATATATGCGGGCTATAAGTAATCCGCATATATTGCATATTGTTAAAGTCGATCAAACACCTCAAGAGATTTTTATTCTCGTAAATAGGTATATATATCTTTAAACTTTTGCCCCAAGATATGTTTCACAGATTTAATAATAATGTATGGGTAAATATATGGGTGTAAAATGAATATATATTTTAAATTTTTGGACTAGATTTATTTAACAATAATGCAATAATAATAGACTGTGCTTCTGCTTAGGTACTTAGATATTTTAAATACATCATAGACAAAAGTCACTTAGATGTTCTAAACAATACTAAGTAGCAATAGCAACCATGTTTTTTTTTCATAACATTATTAACAGTTCCAAAAATAAAAACAGATGATTTGTCGGTAATTTTGAAAATAAACGTAGTATATAAAACAATAATTGTTATCCATTCTTTTTTATTAATTTTGACCATACTTTGGCTAGATTTGACAGATATCCTAATTTCTAAGAGATCATACAGTAAAATTGACGCTGCCAACGATCAATACTTATTTTAATTTTGTAACATCAGAATTATTCTACAGAAATGGAACTTGAAATCATCATAATTAGTAATGATGCAAAATGGTTCAATATTTAATAAATGAGTACCTAAATCATCAATCTGTTTTATTAAATTATTGCATAATCTAGCAACAAAACTGAAACCATTCGCGAATTATATTCTGCGCATGTTACAGCATGCATACTTACGAGTACATACATAAGCATATATCATGGTGCTGTTGAAACTATAGAAGAAAATTCAGAGGTTCAAGAATACATTAAATAATGATTATTAGATTGACTTCGATTACAAAAATTTTTGTTCCTACAATTTTAGAACAAAGAGTAATACAAGTTAAAATTGTGTTTCACAAAAAAAAACCGACTTCTACAACGCACAGAGTCTATTGACATTTGTTAAACTGTTTCTTTTGTTTCTGATTATATGTATACCTTAAATGCTTATATCTACTCACAAGGTAACTAAAACTGTATTATATACTTAATTCTCAGTGATAGTTCAGATTCATGAATCCGAAAAACTATTTTTAACCAGCAAAATAGGTAGATGCAGTGTAGAGTAATTTCTTGAAATACCTAAATTTTCATATTTCCGAACCCCTATCCGATAAACTAAAATTACAGTAAACTAATTTCATGCATTGTGCATGAACTAGTTTCATATTGTAAATTAATTTGATGAGACTAGTTTCAGAGGCCTGTAAAGTGTGAAACTAATATCGTGTAATCGACACTACTTCTAAATTTATGGCCCCATCAGTACCAAAACTTTCACGATACTAGTTTCACATCACATCTTCATGATGAAATTAAATGCATGTTACTATGTACTTTTACTGCGCATTCAGCGTATGAATCTATTTTGGAATTAGCAAATGGAAATAATTATTAAAATGAATCACAAACCATATTTGTTATCAAAAATAAATTCAATAATTTCAATACAAAATAATGGAATCACTGAGAGCGTGACATTAGTCATAAAATGTACCTAATATGCGTCCAACATTACAGAAAGTACAAAGACGATAAGAAATGTGACGACTAGACTATTGGAAACACGATTATTTTTGTCTTATTTATTTTTGCAACTTTATATATACTGGCTTAACATACACATTTATCTGTATGTAATTAAATACAATTGGCATTTAATTAACTTTCATATATTTGTTACAAATGTTGTCAAATCGCCTGCGACGTAAGCACCGTAGTCGTCCTGTAGAATACTTTTAAATTAATTCGAAGAAACTGTTAAAACAAAAAGTTGTATTACATTGTTACTTTTCTCAATTACATATACTTATGTCTTTAAAATTATACTTAATATGTTATAATAAATTCTCTAAGTGCCAACATAGCAAGAGCCGCTATAGCCGCGACGACGGGAAGTGTCACCACCCATGCGAATATGATGTTACTGAAAAATAATTGGTACTTTGATTAAAATGTACTATTTGTCTATATGAAATCGAAACCATTAAAAGATCCTTTGGCGTGTTCTAACCATAAAACTATACATTCTCCCAAAAAAGGGACTAGAATCGAAAAAGATAAAAAGTTTTGTACTAGCTAAGTTACTAACTATAGGAAGTAAAAATTTTTTATCAGTTTTTGATACATATTTCTTTAAAAAAAATTTTAGGTTTCTCTAGTAATACACTTACTTCTTAGGTCAAGTATTCAATATATATAAAAACATTATGTAAAACCCCACACGATTAATGTTTTATAAAACCTCTTTGCACCAGTTAATGGCTGATGATAAAGGTAGTTCGTATGGAATAAGCTCCTTGTCGAGGTTTACCAAAAAGTCGCACGGTTCTTAAAAAAAGGATAGAGGTTACGCGCAAAATTTTACAGGTTACGCTAATCGCATACCATCAGGTGCTGGTTATTTACCATCTTAATAGTATAAAAAATAGACAATTTATTAATTTACTAAACAATATTTAAACAAACAGGAGAATTTTATGTAATACGTCATTATGTATTACCATAATTGATATTATTTCAGAAATAAATGTTACGCCTTTAGGTTGGTATATACAAAAAAATCAAACAAATCGGTATAGAAATCGCGTGTTCAACGAAAAAATAAATACACTCACTACACCCTACCTCCCTCTTTCCTTTAGATATTTCATGTCCAGAACTTATACAAAAATGAAAAAAGAACTATTTAGTAAAAAATCTATTTAGTCTAAAATTAACTTTCTGTAAAATATAGAACCAGGTATTATTAATATCTATTTTGATAATTATTCTCGTAACCTATCACGTTTACTCCCATGTTGTCCCATATTGCGTAGATCATTCATTTAATGGTGTGTTTAGTCACGATTAAAATCGCTGGTTTTTTTGTTGTTTACTCTTTATTGTCTAAGGTTCCTGTTTATGTTCTGTCACATTTTCATTCCAATCTTTCTATGTTTATTTAGGTTTATTTATGTATTACGCAAAAGGATTCTTGTTATGGTATCGCTTAAAATTTGAAATTGGGGCTGTCCATTAATCACGTGATTCTTTTTTACAACTTTTCAAGGTCACGCGCCACTTTTCGGTATAGAAATCGCGTGTTCAACGAAAAAATAAATACTGAGTGTATACTACACCCATCCTCCCTCTTTCCTTTAGATATTTCATGTTTTTTCCATACCCTCTCCCCTCCCCCCTTTCGAGCCACAGATTATTAATGGTGACCCTTGATGCAAAAAGTTATTTGAAAACTTTAGAAGCAAAAGATGAATTAGTTGCAAATAGTTTAGTATGTATGTAGTAACTGACTTTATGGTGAATGTTTTACTTGAGCAGATTTTGAATAATTAATCAGAAATATTTAAAATTGCATAAATTTCTATTAATATTAATTGTATCTATTAATTTCTAACATTAATTATGCCCAAATTCCATTATCGCCACACTTCTGTAAGTTTCAGTGTGAACTGAGTAAAAATTTCTCCTAAAATATACATCTCTGATATTGCATGCTATTTTACTGAACTACCTAAATGAATGCGATAGTATAAAATACTTCAATATGTTTACTATTTATTCTAAAATGAAATAAAAAAGTAAAAAAAAAAATACCGAAACAAACTCCAATCGACGGCCTTCTCCGAAAAGTAGCCGACGCAGACGACGGATCCAACCTTGCAGTGCGTAGTCGACACTGGTAGCCCGACTTTGCTTGCTACCAGTACTGTCAACGCAGCACCCAGCTCGATTGTAAACCCGCTGAACAAAAAATATACGTCATTAATTTCTTCCTTTCCACACGACTGCCCAAAAAAGAAGCTCAATTTTTTAAGTTAATGTATGTATGCATATATAAACTTATTTATAAGCACTTTTAAATAGTATTTTTTCTAAATCTATTACCCACTTCGTAATGCAAATTTAACTAAGGAAAACGGAGAAAAAACTTAACTGTTACTTTTTTATTATATTATATAGAGAATGACTCGCTTCAAAATCCCTGATTTCGTTAAAAATATTGATATCAAATTGAATATAACAATCAGTAAACCCTCTCATAACAAAAATAGAATGTCATATATATTTATATTATTAATTCAATCCATTTTAGTAAATTATCAAAAAATTGCTAATTACTGAAATAAAAAAAAAATGACAATATTTTCATTAACAAATAATGTCAACAATTACAACATTATTTTATCAATCACTCACGTATCAGGCGTGATGCTGGTGAGGTCCTCGCCAACAGTGCGTATAACACGACGTCCCCATAACCACAGACCCAGTGCAATCCCGACGCCCCCAAACACCAGAATAGCGAGTGGAGTCTCGGCTGTAGCGTGTGCTGCGCCCTCCGAGTACAGTAACCACAAGGCTACGAGGGGTCCAATGGCATTACTAAATAAATTGAAAATAATAGACATATTTTTATATGCAACTTGGAATTGCAAACAAGATGACGGTTCACCTTATGGAAAGTGGAAGGTGACGGACCAGTTAGCCCACTATAACAATTTCATCAGGAATTAACTACGAGTTTTCAAGAGGAAACCATGTTTTCGAGGTCATCCCAATAGAGTATATTGCTAGCGGGTTTGGTATTGTTAGTAATGGAACAACTGAACACCATTATCTTCCTCTTCCTCACAAACGAACAGACGGACACATAATAGACGCACCACAAGGGTGTTTATGTACCTTTTTGTTGCAGAACCATATATATATATATATATATATATATATATATATATATATATATATATATATATATATATATATATATATATATATATATATATATATATATATATATATATATATATATATATATATATATATATATATATATATATATATATATATCAAATAATAATCGCATTATGCAAATGTGTACAAACGAGTGGTAGGGAATGATAAAAATTATAAAAAATCATGAGTCTTCATAAAAGTTACGTAATTCTTGGCTGTGTTACGTTGTTCTTGGCCATGTGGCCAGGCGTGTGGTAGAATAAGCAACCCCTTCCCTTACCGTGGGAGTCGTAAGAGCTAAGGCAAGATGAGAGATGGACAGCAGCGTCCCTCTTAAAACATTTCTAAAGCCTGACAGCGATTGCCAATCCACCTGCCAAGCATGGCAACTACTAGCAACCCCCCTCCCCCAGGGGGAGACTTATGTTCAGCAGTGGACAGTTAAAGGCTGATATGATGATAGGTATTCTAGCTAAAACATATGAGACGTTACCTTACGTCATTGCCGCCGTGTGCAAAAGCACCAAATGTGGCAGTGAGGACTTGTAGGAAAGAGAACAGCCTCAACGTATCAGGTGGTGGCGCTGACGGTGCAGGTGGTGGCGGAGTGGCGGCGCAAAGCAGCGGCGCCGCACTCGAGTTCGGCGTTATAGGTGGCAGCTGAGTGTTCCTGCCCTCGCACTCTATACTCCATGCGCTTGCTGTTGGCCCCTATAGGAAACATGACTTATACTACCTCTGCTTATATAGAACATAATTCTTACCTCCAAAACAAGCGAAAAATATATCTTTAGCTTCTTAAAACTAAAACGCTAAAAACGAATGTACAAATGAAATGTGGATATTCAATTATCCTGTTATATTATGTTATTTTTATTTCTGTAAAAGTATCTAGCTTTATCAAAACAAATATTGGATATTCTTCTAAGTAAAAAGTTTAAATTCCAAATTTAAATTTTTACAAAGACCTACATAATTTAAAAATACATATGAACGAAACCGACCGGGATGTCAAACAGAAACATTGACAATGTTCAAATAGTATAAAAAGGTGCATGCATCGCTATGAATAGGTATAGATAATATTAATGGACTACTGAATTGGTTCAGATTGTTTCTTATACAAAATAATATTTAAAGTCAATATTACCTAATCACATCCTTAATAACAGTTTTATTATATCTTTCAAATCTACCACCAGCACAAAAGACATACTTGTAATAATAAAATGGTGGTAATATCAAATGGTTTTGTCATGAAAAAAATAATCTTACCTTATCTTGTCGAGGAGGTGGTGTTTCAAACTCGACTGTATTTGCCTGTATTCTAGTGGCTGCCAATTTATCGAACTCACCACGCGCTATCGTATCACAGGAGTCGCCTAGGAAACCATTTCTCGAGTCGTAACTCTCGCCCATGCCAGCCAATTGAGCGGAGTCTAAGCTCTTACAACAACTTAATGTTTCATCTATATACTTGAGTGTGTTCAATTGTGGGTCAGCATCTATCAACTGCAAACGTGATTTATTTGGAGGGCTCAGGCTACGGGAAAGTATACTGCAATCGTCCATAGTGGCCAATAATGCACGATTTTTAGCGTTCATCTCCCTCACACCTATTGAAACTCTGTCAGCATTACTTAGTGTGACCATTTCGGCACTTTCTGCTATCGCTTCAAGAATTTTCCCATCTTCAGACAAAAGGGAAGTAGGACGCTGCGGCACGTTATTTTTCTTTGCGTGCGTCGGTGTATTCGCTGGCGTGGTTTCTATAAAAAAAAATCGCAATAACATTTAACATGACCAATACAGATATGAATAATATAGACAATACTGAAATATTTAGGGCCAATGTTATATTTTTTATTTACTACTACAATAAATGTGATAGTTTTTTTTTAATTGATGATAATGGAATGGTAATCCCGCCTGCGCTAACAGTATACGCTGACAGAACACTAACGAGAGAGGATGAAAAGGCAGACCAGTTAGTCCATCGTGATGAATACTCGTGGAATTCAGCATGATGGTTTCCAGGGGAGACCACGTGGAGGTCGACCTGACAGAATATAATGCTAATTATATATAATGCTAAATAATGGTATATTGCGAAGCTTCGTAGTCCGCATTACTAACAATCCCCCCCCCCCCAATGCGAATGTTTATGAATATGTTTGTATAGATGGATATTTGTTATTCTTTCATGTAAAACTATTGAATGGATTTGAATGAAGTTTGATATAGGCAAAGGATTATGTACTGATTTACAGCGACAAAACCACGGGATACAGCTAGTCAATAAATATATTCAGAATAACAAACTAGAAAAAAAAATGAAAATGGTCGAAATTAAATCAACATATTATTGATTCTTACTGCTAAGGTGCTGATAACATCAATAAGTTCAATCGTAGATGTTAGTACTTTCAGTCGATAAAAAAATTAAGAATATGTTTTTACTTTTCTTTATACCTTTTCTTAATACTTAAATAAACTGGATAAATTATGATGCAGTACAATACCGTTGGATAATCCTAATGTAAAGTTAACTGGTGGTGAGACGAGTTTTTGACGGTAATGTGGCACAAGAAAAAGACGAACAGCTCCTGCTACCAAAGCTCCCAACGCCAGCGAGCCAACTAATGCAATCCAAAGAGGTATTTTATCCATCGCCAACACTGTAATTAAGAAATGCAATTGATTAAGTTTGTAAACAGTAAAGAAACAATTAAGTAATTTTATTATGGTATCCCCATAAATCATTAGTGACTAAACGATCTACCGTGTACGGTAGAAACAGTATACTCTGTTATGGCCATGCTACTGCTCATATCTATGGGCGACGGTTACCAATTTCTATCAGGTGGGCCGGCTGCTTGTTTGCCATTATAAATTGCTTAAAAGAACTAATAAAAATAATTATCTTATTATCATACCTACGTGTACAACAATTGGTCCATTACCCTAAAGTTGTCTTGAAGAGATTGCTTTCAGCAATAAGACCGCCATACTGTACTTATACCATTGTATCGTTATATTTATTGTCTTGCTTTATTATATAATGCAAATAAAGTATACTCATTCATTCATTCAATCAATAAAAATAAGATAAACGTGATGAATATAATAACAATACTTACATTTGGGACCATCGTGAACAACACTGAGTACATTAACTGCTATAGTGGAACCATAAAAGAACGGCAACGCACGCAAACCCGCCGCCAGCGGCTGGCTAGAACGAAGGATGAACCGGCGTACCAGCCAGTATAATATCGCTGAAACTGTTCCACTTAGCACTGGCGAAATAAACCACGAGAGCACTGAAAATAGATTGTTAATAAATTTAATTGTCTGATTCACAAGTAGATACCGTCCATCTTTATTTTTACCCTTCTTCTAATATAATGAAACGGAAAATCAGTGAAGCGTTTGAAAGTATGTAAAGAATGTGAGATGATTGGTTAACGATACAGAATTTCAATGCAAATAAATAGATGCAGATATCAAAAAAATCAACATATTGTGGTCAATAAAAGTGAAAGAAGCAAGAAATCGAATTATATAAGTACATGATTGGTTAACGATACAGAATTTCAATGCAAATAAATAGATGCAGATATCAAAAAAATCAACATATTGTGGTCAATAAAAGTGAAAGAAGCAAGAAATCGAATTATATAAGTACATGATTGGTTAACGATACAGAATTTCAATGCAAATAAATAGATGCAGATATCAAAAAAATCAACATATTGTGGTCAATAAAAGTGAAAGAAGCAAGAAATCGAATTATATAAGTACAGACGCTTTAGCTCTCGGTCCTCTCTGTCTATCCTGCAGAAGACTTGGTATAAAGATGATATTGATTTCCTCTAGATAGCGTCACATTAGTTTTCAGGAAGTAAGACAATTTATATTTCGCAATTATCCACGCAGATGAAGTCACAAATAGTTAGCTAAGTACTATAAATAAGGTTATTGAGGCTAGAAACTAACCAATAGCACCAAGAGTCGACCAACGCACTCCGACTGGCCCTTTAGCGACGAGAGTGAATCCAACGGTTGCTCCAACTACGGAGTGTGTGCCGGAAACAGGCAGCCGTAATGCCGTCGCGATGATGAGCCACGCCGCTCCAGCGATCAAGGCAGCCAAGCATCCTGCTGCTAGTAACTTCTGTCCACCGTAAGCATACAACGACACATCCAGTATACCCTTGCGCATTGTGTCTGATACTTTGTAACCTATAAAATTTAATATACATACAATTAATAAATCACAATATTTTATCTATATATCAAAGTTAAATAAATAATTAGAATAACATTTCTTTTGTTAATTGATTATATATTATTTCTTGAATAGTAGTATTATAAAAATAACTTAATATAATTTTATTACGTATAAAAATTTCATATGAAGGCCTAATTTTTTTTTATTAAAACAAAATGAAAATAAGAAAAAAAACATTCAACAGATTTTAAAATAGATATAAATATACTTACCAATTAGCACAGCTCCTGCGATCTCAAATATAGTTGCTAATATGCAGGCTTGAGTGAGCGTCAGGACCTTCGATCCTACACTGGTACCAAAAGAATTGGCAACATCATTGGCCCCAATCCCAAACGCCAATATAAAAGCCACTACGAACCCACAAATTACTAACCATAATAAGTCTTCGGAGTAAGGTTCCAATGACAACTGTTGCATTTTCGTATATAAGCACCTATCTCCCCTTATTTTTTAAAACAAATGTCTACAAATTTTTTATTAAATAAAATAAGACGTAAACTTACAGAACAAAAATATAAAAAAAATTTAAATGCCTAAAATTTGACGACAGTAACAGGACATGAAATCAGAACTCGCTACTTCAACTACAGATATCATTTACTAAAGGGAATTCAGTTCCCCAAATGGCAAACCCTTATTAATTAATAAATTTTTTAATCATACTACTCACAGTGTATCTTACAACGTAGAATAAAATCGATTACCGATATCAGAGCTATTAGGTCCACTTAGAGAAATGCTCCTATTGCCTACTTGCAGTTTCTGAAGTTTTACTTCAATAAGAATTTGTTTAGAATGTAATAGAAGAATAACAATACCAATAGCACCTATCCAGATTGTTTCTAAAGCGTAATTTAACAAGAAGCTTAATTAAATAAGTTCCTAATTACTTTTCAATAATTTTCCATAACAATCCTCCCCATTCTCAACTATCCAACAGTTGAATTTCTCGTCATTCCATATAAAAATAATATAAACTAAATACAGAAGTATAGACTAATATCTGAAGCTAAATACGATTCCAAAATTAAATAATCTTATAATTTAAAATAGTATAGTAATTCCAGTTACAATTGCCGTGCGTCACAAAGGTTGATTTTTATATAGCTTTTCAAGAGGGTAATGTGGTCTTGAAGATTTTGGCTTCATCATTTCTGCAAAAAAAAAAACATTACATCTGTTTGTTATACAAATATAAAATTCATTTCATTTGAAAACAACGACAATAATAGTCATGTCTGATAGACTAGTCACATGGCTACTGAAAATATCGATCGGCTGACTGCCGACTCCATAAATTGATGTAAAGACGTGCTATAAATTTATAGGCACATTTTTCCATAAATACATTGCATCGAAAAATTATACTAAAAAAGGCTGAATTTCTATCTTTCACCATATTTGAAATAACTTGCGTCACTATATTTTCTAATTTCGTCAACACCATCTGTATATTTTTAAACCTGTCAATATCTAAATGCGTCGCACTATATTTACAAAGATAAAGCATGACCAAAATTAAATCATATAATTTAACAAGAATAACTAGAATAGAGCCACTTACTTCAAAAAATTATAGGATTTTATATTCCTAACGTGAGGATGCCAAAGCACAAGATCTATCTCCTTAGGCTTCTCAGCTGTAGACTGAAGTTGATGAGGGTCAAGCGAGTTACCGGCTCTAAACTAGGTACTGTGGGGCATGCGCGATACACACATTGCTCTTCAACCCTCTTTATTATGTTGAAGAGCACAATAAAAATGTTTGTTCGTTAGTAAAAGAACCCCAATCACACGTTATAACCGGCTCCAGTGCGTTTCATATAAAGTTATATATGATTTTTTATGTCATACCTTATAGGCAATTAAGTGTTCACTACAATTGGTAATGAATAGGTAGTTGGGTATACTCGATGGAAACAAATACTATATTGTTTGTAGGCTACATCTTTTTGCTAGTTTATTTAATGGGTATGATATTCTCTTAAAGACTTTTACTTAGTAGATATTTGTTAAATAATTAGAAAGGGTTAAAATTAACAACTTACTCTAATTACCCAATTAGAGATTACAATCATAATTTTATTCTTATAATAATAATAATATAAATCATAACATATTATTAAAATACTTTACTAATATTATTAAATACTGTATATGAAGAAATCATCACAATATAAATCCCAGACACAAACCTATCTTTCTAGTAAAAAGGAAAAAAAAATTACATTTCTACAATTTGTTATACGTCACAATTTGATATATACTAAAAAAATCTCCGACATAAAGAATCGTCTCTGGAAATTAACGAAATTAATTCTTTGAATTTCCCAAAATGAACCAACTGACCTGTTTTAACCCTTGCATGTTAATCATATATTCATCTCTAACTGCGGTATTTCAGCAGTGTAGACCGCTATTGTTCTAGTTGCACAAACAAAGTTTTAATTTCTCATTATGTCTTCAAAAGTATCTAGATAAGAGTAAAGTATATATCAGTACTATTTTTTCAATCGACTTCTACAAAGAAGGAAATTCAATTGTATCTTTTTTATGTGTAACACACATAAAAAAGATACTCACTACACTCGTAACTCCTTATATACCGTAAATCATTTATATACCGACTTATTTTTTTTTTTATATGAAAGAATGAACTTTCAGTTTAGACCCATAGAAATGTTATCAAAATCGGTTTAGTAGATTAGTTGTTGAATCAAAATAAGTGGTTTTGCCACTACTGAAGTCGAACTTTTTGTAGAACTAAATCTCAAGTTATTGTATTTTATGTTACGCTATACCTTGGACAATTCTGGACCGATATAAATCATCATTTTGTCGATGAGGTTTATTCCCGTGTTGCTTTCATAATTAGTCCTTTTTAAAGTCTGCTTTTATTAAACAAAATCTTAATTTACTATTTCCAATATGTATTTGCATTAAACTACATGATATTTTTTAATAGACGTTGGTCTATATTTGAATACATACCTTCTTAGCTTAAATTTAAAGAACAAAGATAACACTAAAATTATACTTACTATACACTTAACACTATAGGTACCAAATCCCAGTAGAAAAGCCGATCTTAGGCAAAAGTATAGATCTCTTATTCTGTTGAAGCATTTTTATTCAGAAAGTCTGGTATCGATTCCTGAGAAAATGTACGTTCCAAAAGTTTAATCGATCTTGAAGATCTCGATCTATTGATGTGCTTATTAGCTTCTACACACAGAGCAAGTTATCACTACATTATCTACAAATTTTAATAGGTAATTTCCAAAAAAAAAAGAAAAACTATTTTTTTAAGAAAAAAATGACTAAAGGTTTTAAATAAAAAAATCTATTTTGATCTACTCATCTTTGTATCGATCCTTAATACTATCTTAAAAAATATCGAATGAAAATAAAAAATAGAGGTCCAAAAAATCTAATTTCGATAAAAGTGAATAACAATTGGAACCAGCAGAATGTTGCTTAAATTAAAACATCCTATTGTCGTATAAAATTTCGACAAGTGTAATTTTGTTAATTTACTTTTTGCTTTTAATATAGATAATAAAAGATTTTAATATCACAGCAAAAAATTGGTAGTTAGGTAGTAATACGAAATAATTCTTAATAATGGGATCATATCTAATGGCTCCATTTCTAGCAATATATCTTAGGTCAGGACGACCTCCAAACGGTTCCCCCTGGAAACCATCGTGGCTTCCAGGAGTTCGTCATCATGGACTAAATGACCTGATTCCATCCTCACTTATGATCTCTCACTGATATAACATCCATTACGCCATTGCATTTAACCATTCAAAAAAAATGCCAATAATTTTACAATAAAAACAAACATGCTGAGCATATAATTGTTAATCTTAGTTGTCACTGTCATTGAAAAGTTAGCTATCAATGTCAATTTGTTTAACTGTCATTATATCCTTACCAAAATATCAATGTCATCTGAATTCCCGTTTTTCCTTATATTTTCGTTACCTACATTTAATTTTTTATTTCTTGAAAATTTTGCTAAATTATCCAAACGGAAACTTTATAAAAGAATTTTTAATAATGAAACATATTTAAAAAATACTTATAGAAATTAAAATGTTCTTTAGAAATGTTTGGTGTGCTGCTGAATTAACGAACAGTTGGTAAGAATTACTTTTGCCCTTTCCTCTTTAATAAAGAAGCTATACAATTATTTAACTCAGTAATTAATAATGGATTAAATATTAAACAAATATTAATGAATCAAACATCCATAAAAGAAGTGATTAAACTCTTTATGAATATGTTACACAACTAATAATAGAAAACATCCAGGGCAAAATAGGCATAATAATGTAATTTACTGAAGCATTTATAAGTAAGTACTGCCATTATAATATAACCGTATACCTAATGTTTATTTGATATAGGTAATAGTTACAAGGTGTGAGTGACAGAGCATTAAAATCATAAAAAAAGTAGTACTAAAAAAACTTATTTCATAGATTCAACAAAATATTTGTTTATGAGAAAATTTTTGTGAGTTTTGTTAGGTCAAGCTGGTCTCTTAAAACCTGAAACAATAATTTTATACTAAAAACTGACAATATGTCACCTAACTGTTTATGACCATCATATTTATTTTATACTATTTAATGACACCTCTTTATAGAAGTTCTGTAATACAATGTATGCTCATGTCCGTCTGTCATCACCTTTAAGCTAGTCATAGATACTACATAAATATTTCCTTTTACAGCAGTTGAGAAAAAAAAAACAAAAATAATATTAAATCTATAGCATTTTAACAAATTTTGTTTTAGTAAATCAGTACTCCTGCAGCAGAGCCATAGCCCTAGTTATGCTCGTCTACAACTTCGCAAGTCTTTCCACAACTCACGTCGTGGAACTCGTGGGCAACGCTTAGATCCTGATCCTCTTGACCAACTGCCAATTGAGTCTGGCCCATTGAATGCTAAGGGCTTGTTGAAACCTTTTCTGTTCACTGTTGGAGTAAGAATTTTTAAATCACTTGATAATTACAATACATTAATTATACCTCTATCCACATTATAAATAAAAAATCTTCTATACTCAAACTCTAAAATCTCTTTAAAATATAGATTGTCTTTGCTGTATTACTTACATGTTGAAATGTTCACCGAACTCAAATTGTCTTAGGCTAAAGAAGGCATGCCATTAGTTATGTACTGAATATATTATGGCAGCTGCAGGAGGTGTGTCCTTGAGTGATGACCACATCACAGACATATGGTGTAGGTAGTAGTTGTGACTATGTCTATGAAGTAAAGTAATATAGAAATTTATCTTGACACTAATTATTTTATTTAATAAGCTAAGAGAACCGAGAGCCAAAAGCCTCTACACATATACACATTTCTTCCTCATCCACTTTTATAACATTTTAATGAAAGTACACTTTTATATTTTATAGGTTATAGAGGTTCCACTTTGTATTATTTCTATATTTTATATATATTTTTTCTTTCTATATTTATTGCCTACTCATGGTCACCACTCAAGGATATAGGATAGATCAAAGATATAGAAATATATCCATACAAATATACTGTTACTAAATAAATAAAACTTGGTTACTTCAGGTATCAGCTGCAAGTCTTGTGGGGTGTGTGATCTGGGAATATGAGACTCTACGTGCACATACAACTACTTTGCTCCGGAGACCTAGCACCTGGTTAAATATACAACAAAAGAAACTTATGGCACAGTTTGTAAGAAATTGCTAATAAAACATTATGTAAACAATATTTATACTAATATAAAAAAAGCAAAAAAATTTGAATGCACTAATCTCTAGAACTACTGTTTTGAAAATTTATTTTTATATTATATAGTAGATTTCATGAGGCATAACTAACTACAAGCCAAGTGGGATACAACTAGTTTTCTCTGTAATCTATCAAGTTCATGGGCAGCACTTATTGAGGATTAGGTGCCCTATGTAATCCCTAAAGCAGTGATTCTCAACCTTTTTTTTGTTGCCGCACATACTTAACGATTTCAAAATTTGGCGGCATACAAAGAAAAAGATAAAAATTATTTACTTACTACAACACACTGCATAAATAGTTTATGACAAAATTTTAAATATTTGCAAAATTTGGCGGCACACAAAAGTGCCGCGGCACAGTGGTCGAGAATCACTGCCCTAAAGATATATGGTAAAAAAGGCGCACCTATTCTCCTATAAATCAAGAGTAAAAATAGGATCCTATTATACTTATTATTACTCTGTAATGTAATGTTGATGTTGATAATCATAAACTCCAGCAGTTCTCTATGTGGCTTGCATCTTTCATACAATTGAACATCACTAAAGGATATTATTACATTTCGGAAGACTGCTGATTGACTCTAGTGTAAATTAGAGACACTATTTTGTAAATCAAAATATTGTTAACAAACTCGAGTTTCTTAAGAACTAAAATTTTCAGAAATCTGAACCAGGACCAGTGAAAAAATGGTGGAATTCATTGAAAGATAATGAAAAGGTCTTCTATCCCATTCTTGCGGCAAATGTATTAGTGTTTGGCGCCTGGCGTGTTAGAGCATTACAACCTTATATGGTCAAGTACTTCTGTTCTAATCCTTCAGGAAGTGAGTTATTCCAAAATTATTTAAAATAATATTTTCCTGACTATAATAATATTATAAAGTAGATACGCACGTACCATTTTAACTAGTAATGTTATTATGTACTTAGACTTGCCCACATGTCATTAAACTTATTAGATTATTTAAATTCGATATTCCAATATATTAAATTTCATATAACAATCAAATTATGTATGCTACCATTTAAAATATCATCGACGCTGAATTACTTATAAAACTTAATATATTTAAATTATATAAATTTTAGTCCTGTACATATTGGAAATTTTTCTGAAAAATATTAAAACATTGATTTCTACTGACTTCAAAAAAAGAAGAAAGTTCTCAATTCGGTAGTATTTTTATGTTTGTAACCTTATAACCGTCATTTATAAACTGATATGGAAAATTATGGTTTTATCTGAAAGAATATACTTTCACTTTAATCAAAATATTTTTTGGCCACCATTGATGTTGATATTTTTTTATGGAACAAAATCTTAATTTTTTATTTTTTATTATTTTAAATTGCTTATAGGTACTATATTTACTATACTTATGCAAGAATTATAAATTTGTGTTACATATTTATTTTTATTTTAGGTTCAATATGTCTGCCGATGGTACTATCTACATTCAGTCACTATTCAGCCTTACATCTGGCTGCAAATATGTATGTTCTTTATAGTTTTATGCCAGGTAAGGAAAACGATAGACATATTACTATAAAAATATAATAAACAAAATTTATCCATATAATTATTTTTCAACAGCTGCTGTTGCGTCATTGGGCAAGGAGCAATTTGTTGCCATGTATATGAGCGCTGGTGTAATCAGTAGTTTCTCCAGTTTCCTCTATAAAGTGGCTTTGAATCAGCCTGGTCTTAGTCTCGGTGCGGTAAGTACTATTATATCAACTATTGAAATAGCTCTAAAGTTGGTTAATAGGTATTATTATACAGCTATTTTATTATTAAAATTGCAGAATCTTTCGACGTTATGGATTCGATCCAAACAATAAAAATATTGTTATTCATTTCTTTTCTAATTTGCAACTACTTTATTATAATAATTTATATTTTTTTTAAATACTTACCATTAACATCAGATAAGGAAAACAATGTTCTCAATAAATTGAAATCAACGTATTACTTCCGTGTAAGAGTAAATTGTTTGTACATTCAAAATTATTGCAGAATTTGGTGGTAACACTTAAAATATTATTTTGCAGTCGGGAGCGATCATGTCTGTATTGTCGTACGTATGCATGCAATATCCTGACACCAGGCTGAGCATAATATTCCTACCTATGTATACGTTCGCTGCTGGAACGGTAAATATCAGTTTCCATTGTTAATTCTACTAATTAGGAGAAAAAAGTTCCAAGTTTTGTTGGAATTATTACAGAAACTCTTAGTAACAAATGGGAACATTTAATTAATAATTTTTTTGTTTTTACCACTACTGAACATCAGCAAACTGTCTATGGTCGGGTCAATTATTTATTTATTTACATTTTCATTAAGTTCAATTAAATCAGATTATACATACCTCCCAGTACAAGTACTGTTTTTACACGTTTTAAATAATTTTAATACTTTTTGTTGATAATTATTATTACGTATGCAAGCCCATTTTACTGTTATAAATCACAAAATACCAAAAACTCCACAAAATTTCTTGCCCACTAATATATAATGTCCTATAAGTTGTCAAGTGTCATAAATGAATCGCAGATATATTGTTGCTTGTAAAATAAACATGAAGCACCTGCTTCTCTATCCTAGCTTGGCCATTTGCCTTTTTCACAATAATGTTTCTAAAGTAACTTATTATATTTTCCTTTTTCACAATAATGTTTCTAAAGTAACTTATTATATTTTCCTTTTTTTTTAGGCAATAAAAGCAATAATGAGTATGGACTTGGCTGGAGTTGTGTTTGGATGGAAATTTTTCGACCATGCGGCACATCTCGGAGGTGCTTTATTTGGAATGTAAGTATAATATGTAGTACCGATTCAATATATACTAGTATAATAAAGTAGAAAGGTTTGTGTCTTCGAATGCGCTAATCTCTGAAACTACCACAATTATTTGAAAAACTCTTTTTGCATATGATACTTTATTTCTTGAGGAAGGTCAAAGGCTGTTCAATCTTACGATATAATCACGAACGGAACCGCGGGATACGCCTAGTTATTTATAAAGCCAATGAATGATATAAAAAAACAGGGGACGAACATTTGGGGCATAATCCAGAACACGATCCAAAATCGGATACTGATAATTCACTTCCTAAATTGACCAGACCAAGAATTGAACCCAGGGTCTCATTTTTGCAATATATACCTACCACTGCGCTATAAAAGTTGTAATAAATAGTTTAGATGCATTATAATTCACTCTTTTTACCAGTGCTTGGTGCGAATGGGGTGGCACACACATTTGGGCAAACAGAGACAAATTTCTACAGTATTATCACGCTCTACGGAAAAACGATACTGGCAGGTAGTAAAGAATATAATGAGTAATACATAAGTAATATAGTTATAATGTATCCATAAAGAGAAATACTTTTATTAAATTGTTGGTAAAATTTATTCTTTTGTTAGAATTAATAAAAATTATATATTGACTCAATATGTTTTAATTTAAATCATTTAATATTCATCATCATCATCATCATTTTAGCCATTATCCTTCCACAGCTGGACATAAGGCTCCCCCATAGACTGCTATAAAGAACGGTCCTGAGCCGGATGCAGGTATCCACTGACTCCCTGTAAAGCATTTCAGGTCGTCACTCCATTTAATATTACACCCTTTTATTTATACGACATGAGCCAGCTCCTATAAGAAACAGACAGTAAAAACTAAAATCGGATGGGGAACTGTTAGAAATATTTGACAATTGTCAACCCTAATTAAAAATAAAAGATTTATTACAAACATAATTTTATTTACAAAAAAATATATAACATTTACTTAAATGCGTATTATTTAATTATATCATTTGTTGGGGTCAAATATAGATTTGTCACGATTTTTTATCGGGATTTTTTATTAGTTAAAGAACTCATAATTACAAACATATTTAAGAAATATTTTATGGAAACTAATAGTGAAAAATAACTTTTGAAAATCAATATTTTTTAACAAAAATTTAATTATCGTTTTCAAAACTCGATTAAAACCCCTATAAGTACCCTCCATATTTCCTTTTGCACTGGAGCATGGGAGCTTACATTTACTTTTTATGCAAAAATTTAACAATACAAATTTATTTTCTAACCCATTTATTAATGCAATTTCTGATTTTAAAAGTTACATTACACATTTAAGTGTAATACCATTTTACAGGCATTCCGTCATTGGTTAGGCTTACGCTTTAAGAATCTTAGCATGAAAATCGAAATGTTCACCGATGTAGGTAGAAATGTAGTAGTAAGAGTGATCATAGTCTTCCCGCAAATTCAGTATAACTGGAACTCCAACTGAGCGACATGCCTCTACTAAATTCTCCGGCAGAAGTTGCTTCTCTTTATAAAATTTGTCACCAGCACCCTAGACATAACAAATTTAATTAAAATTATTGTTCATTGGTAAGCGCACCTCTTGAGAAGGTGGATTATTTAAATTAAAAAGTACGCTTTTTGGCACTTATATTACGTACACCGTTTCGACGCGGATTGCACCACGTCGAAACGTACAATTGCTTCGCGTTAAGTCTTGATAGTGTATTTAAAAAACTAATGGATCATCGAATATCTCAAATAGCGAAAAATTTTTTATTACTGATAGATCATTTTATTTATAAATAATATGTTATAGCTAGAAAACTAAAAGCTGCCCAACTGTTGAAGTGATTTACAAAAAACTATAAATAATTTTATATTGTAGTCATATTCATGACTACAATATAAAATTATTTATTTTATTTATCACGCTTAAACAGCTAAATGGATTTGAATTAAATATGGTACAGGCGTAAATTATATCCTAAGACATACATAATAACATAACTTTATATACTGATTAACACAGAGAAAGCTACGGAAAACTGCTAGTTATTTGATCCTTACTTTATTACATATTACAAATGTGAAAGTCAATTTGTTTGTTTGTTACCTTATAGCACCTTAAGGATTTAAAACAATTACTATGAAATTTTGTATACACATACTATATGAAATGGAAAAGGATATAAGCTGCCCGGTTACATGATCGAGGTCATGAATAAAAGCTAGTAATAATATAATGCTTACTTGATCAATCAGCAAGGTAAGTGGAGGTCCATCATATTTCTTTACAAGTTCTGTAGCATCCCATTCAGCCCACTGATTCTTATCTTTGCCTAGATACCCAGTAAAGGCTTTTTCACCCCATGGGCAAGCACTTGGGTTGCAGATAGGAGCAAAAGCACTGACTGATTTAAATAAACCTGGGTTTCTTAAAGTTGATACTAGTGCACCATGCCCTCCCATACTAAAAAAATATATATTAAGCAACTAAATTGAAATAAATGATAGTATGATTAACTAAAATATACTGTACCGACTTAAAGTAATATAAGGCAATACCATGCTGATATTATAAATAAATATTAATATTGAGTATTTTCTACAGATTAAAAAAAAATATAAAGGATACATCTTGATGATATGCATATTTTTAAGGGACCCTTTTTAAAAACTACACCTAAATTATATAATAGAAATATTAATACAAATAAAGTTGCGGTAAAGAGAACCCTATGGTATTGTGTATTAAGTGCAATGTTATAATAAACAACACTGACGTTATCTTAAGAACAATTAACAGAATTTATAATTTTATTATTATATAGATTTGTATAATGAAATTGTTATATAGGTATTTATGATAATAAAAATAAATAACGTGAATATTTAGTTCAATAATTCAGATAAAATTTGACCATTCCATTATCATTTTACATTACATGGCAAAGTATTATCTAAGTATAGGTATTCATTATATAAGTATTCAAATTACGAATACAACTACTACCATTAATAACCTATTTGACAAAGGATGTCCAAAGAACAACAAACTGAAATGTCTGCCACATTTCAGTTTTTTGTTTCTCAGGAACTCAACAGAGGTTATACTGCGCTGGGGAAGTTGTTATCGAAAACTGTATCTGTACACAGACTAGACATCACATATGTCATTAGTTTCATATATAACACACACAAAAATATGTGTCTGTGCTTTTTTATTTAATGGGTGATAATGGAATGGTAATTCCACCCGCGCTATCGGTATACACCGGCGAGGCACCAGTGAAGGATGATAGGTGAGGATAAAGCAGGTCAGCCCATCGTGACGAATTAAAAAAGAATTGTTCACAATGGTTTCCAGGGGGAACCACGTGGAGGTCGACCTAATAAGGTATATTGCTAGCAATGGGGCTGTCAAACTCCATTTCTAATAATCCCTTCCCACCACCACGTGGAGGTGGCCCTGATAGGGTTTATTGGTAGTAATGGGGAAGATAGACCCCATTACTAACAATCCCTTTCCCTCATGTGTCTGTGCTAAAATAAGCTAAAAATGAGAAGTTTCATCTTTTTGCTAATATAAGTCTAGTTTGGTAGGGTAATTTGGCAGAGAATATTAATATTATATCAATGTGAAACTAGGGGGAAAGAAGGGATTTGTAGTAATGAGATCTAATAGAACCATTGCTAGCGATACATTGTCAAATTGACCTCCAAATGGACCCCACAATTGTGGTTAATTCTTCATGATTGGCTGATGTAACTCCATCTTCACCTATCATCATCCTTCACTGGTACCCTGCCAATATACACCAAAAATGCAAGCATCATTTTAATTGCATCTCTAAAAAAATAAGTAGAAGATTGTAGATATATTAACATGTTACCTGTGTCCCATAATTCCAAATTTAGTAGGATCTACCAAATTACTAAATGCACTTTGAATTATTTCATATAATTCTTTAGTGACATAACTGCCCATTCTATAGTGTTTGGACCAAGGATCCATAACAGCATCAAGGTAAAACCCAGCTGATACTCCAAAATCCCAGGAGTCATCATCCCCTGGTATCTTCACACCTCTAGGAGAAGTGTCTGGACTAACAACAATAATTCCATGTTGAGCAGCATATCTGTTATACAAAAAAATTTTATGAATGTTGGGACCTAGTACTGCACCTACTTGATCTTAATTAACTAGATTCATAAGAATCATGAATCTAGTTAATAACAAAACTTTATACCTATTTAAATTTCTGACTATAGATAATCCAATGATGTAAAACATCAAAATCAGAGGATCTGAATGATGGTGATAGTCTTGTCTCTTACCATGTCTGATTCTAATATTCTCAGCAAAATGTGAACATGATAAGTACTACATTCACCACAAAAGCAATAATTAACAATTACCTCCATGAGGAGCATGTTTTCTTTTTTTTTATAAGCACAATTCATACTTCTGCAATAAATGTTGCTTTGTATAGTGTTTAGAAAGCAGGTTTTCATGTACATCTAAAATTAAATTTGTAATAAGTTGAAATTATTTTATTAATCTAAGTCCTCTGTGAAATAGTCAAATATTTCACATATTTTTTTTTTTTTATTTTTTTATTTATGGTATGGTATGGTACTTGACTTCTTCACCTATCATTTCTTTGCAGGTACTCAATTAGCATAAACCAATAAAAAAATATTTTCAGTAATAAAGAGTAACAAGTATGTATAGTCACTGAACAAATATACCTCTGAAATCCTGATTTTGTAATGAAGTTCTGTTCAGTGCATGTGAGTCCTGATAGATAAAATATAACAGGCAGCTTTACATTGTCCCCATCAGCTTGTGGCGGTAAATAAATAGAAAAATTCATCTTGCATTTTAATTCTGAGGACTCATGTGCATATACCTTCTGGTAGCCTCCAAATATTTTGTTTGATGATACCAATTGTAAGGAATCCATGTTAGTACTGTAAACATTACAAACAAATAAACTTGATATGTGCTTACAGCAAATTGTATAATTGTTTACAAATTATGTTTCTAATAATACATTTAGAACCATTACATTATAGGTAAGTAGCTTAATATCCTAAGCTTTATTAAATTCTGTTTAGCTGAACTACAAATAATATAAGTAGGTAAATAAGTAAATAAGATTATATTTTCATACAAATATTTTTTCAGACATAACCTTTTTATCTAATTACGTAAGTATAAAATTAAAACTTTTGCTGTAAGTAATTCGTATCTTGCTGGGGTATGAAATTGTATTGAAAGGCTAAAAATATATTTTTTATCTGATTGGTTCAAATGTATAGTTATTTACCTAAGTATTTAATATGTAGCCGGTCTAATAAAGACCGGTATTTTTATAAAAATAATTCTACGGTCCAAAATGTATAATAAGAGGAAAATTTAAATATGTAGGTTCGTAGTACACAGATTTTTACTCGAATACTTTTCATTACCAAATATTTAAGGGAAATCAAAGTAGTCTCGTTATTCTGTAGTTTCTTCTAATTACAAAAAAAGAATGCGCTAAACAAACAATATATAAAAGTAGCCGGTACCTATTAGAATTTGTTTTAGCTGTGGTATATTATGAATATAAATAAATTTATTCAATGTTCAAATTTTTACCTCAGTTGCAAAATATGAAATAAAAACTAGAAATCCTTTTCTTTAATTACCTAAATAAATAACTATAACGTAATAATTAATAGGTCTGTGTAAATAACAATAACAAAAAACAGAAGCACTAAGTCAGGAAGCGAAAAAGTTACTAAAAATAAGGATTAGCAATACCACAAATCACAGAGTACTTTTATATCCACAAATATTATAATAGTAATAACGATACATATCATATATAGGTATAATGCATATTGGTGTAATATCTCATATCATATCTCACGCACGACAACTATATATTGGATTCAAATGTAATGTACGCCAGTGTTTCCCAACCTTTTTTATGCCATGTCCCACTTAAACATTTCTAAAATTATTATGCCCCCATAGATAATTTTCCCGATAAAGTTTACTTAACAACTCTAATCGCCCCATTTTGATTACGTCAAACGAAATTATACCTAATAAATATTTACAGCTTTTTTTTAATTTAATTTTTTGTTAAATTTGGCACCGATATCTAGTCGTAGCATTGCATTTAAATGGCACGGAGCAAGAGGTTAAAAGCGATTCGAGTCCATTTTTTAATTGCCCACCCTTAACTATCAAATTGCCCCCCTGTGGGGCGTGGGCCCCATGTTGGGAAACGCCGATGTACGCGGTATCAATATGATTTTGGAAATAGCATAGTTAATATGACGTACTATGTGGTAATGATATGTAAGTACCGTAGATTAAGAAGTGTAAGTGTATGTTATGCTAAGTCTATGGTGAGTATTTATATTATCTATAGTATGGGCAATATTAAAATGGGTGATGAATTTTTTTTATCATTTCATTAGTTAAAATCAAAAGAATTCAATATATAAGTTGAAAATGGAATGATAATGCCGCTTACACTATCAGAAGTAGTTGGCAGAGTACGAATGATGATTGATAAGAATAAAGTCAAATCAGTTGTATGGAACAACGTTGTTTAATATAGAAATATATTATCTGTGGTTTAAACTAGGAATTAACTTGGGTAATATTTTTATTTATTTATTTATTTAAACTTTGTATTCAATTGTGTATTCACAGTAAAATTCTATGTACCTACATTTGCGAATTTAACACCAGATGATGTTCTCTACCAGTCAACCATTGGGCAAACCAAGAAATAAGTAGGTGGTGCATTATTTAATAGAGGAAATAAAAAGCAATACTTGATGTATTTTTTTTTTGATGGGTGAAAATGGTATGGTTACCCCGCCTGCGCTAACGGGATACGCTGGCGGAGCACCAGTGAAGGGTGATAGATGAGAATGAAAACAGGCCAGTTAGCCCATCATGATGAATTCATCAGGAATTAACCATGATAGTTTCCAGGGGGAACCGCGAGGAGGTCGATCTGGTTGGATATATTGCGAGTAATGGGATTCTCAGTCTCCATTACTAACAATCCCTTTCCCCCTACTTGATGTATTCACATATTATAAACATATAATTAGACTAAAATGAACATATATATTATATATTAAGTAAATAAATACATTTAATACTACTATATCAAAAGATTAACTATAATAAAAGAGCGAATAACAATGTATAACTCAGAGTAACTAGCAAGATTAAATCGAAAGGGAAAGCGACTTTTCTAAGAAATAGGTGCGCAATTTATTAAAAGCTAGTTTGCTATAATATATAATTAATAAATATATAATATCGCTTTTTTCGTATCTATTTTGTCCTCATAATTCATTTGAATTAAATCTGTTTTAGATATTAATAACGTCGATAAAATCGACATTATTCTCTCGCTATCATCATTTTGTAGATATCGTCATCGTACCTGTACCCTATAACGAATTGAGTCGTAGCAGTGCGAATCGGTCAGCTAATATCGCACTCAACGAGATAAACTAATACGTGTGTAGGGGAAGGTGGGTTATCAGTAATGCAGACCAGTCCCATTGCTCACCCTGTCAAGTCGACATCCGCGTGGGTTCTCCCTGGAAACCATCGTGCAGAATTCCGATTTTTTTATACCACTGAGATAGCAAACAAGCATATGGCTCACCTGATGGTAAGCGGTTACCATAATCTATGAACGCCTGCAATACCAGGAGCATTACGCGTGCGTTACCGACCCTAAAGAAATCTCGTATTGTACAGATGTATTCATCACAATGCCTTTTCTGACCTGCCTTTTCATTATATATATATATATATATATATATATATATATATATATATATATATATATATATATATATATATATATAATATAATATATATATATATATATATATATATATATATATATAATATTTTTAAATCTAATCTGTAGTAGTTTCCCAGAACAAGTAACGAGCTTACCTTTTGCATGCTTATCTAATTTGTCATTGTCATTTTTTAATGGATGATAATGGAATGGTTCTACGCCTGCATTGTCAACATACGCCGGCCGGAGACTAATGAAGCTGAAAGATGATAGGTGAGGATGAAAATACTTAGGTCGATTAACTCATTCATAACGACTCTATCATGAAATAATGATTCCTAGGGGGACCGCATGGAAATTGGCTGACATATTATATATTCTCTCTCTAATCTACTCTGATTCTAATCTAATGACTTCGATCTCTTATCTAATTCAATTAAAAAAAAAAAGGATTCGCTAGGAAAAAAAGTAAAAATGTTTTTTCGATTATTCCTATTGCAATATGTGTACGCAACGATATGTAAAATTGTACTAAATTTCAAATCGATAGAAATAGTAGTTGCTGAGATATAATGCTGTGACAGACAGATGAACGAACGGATAAAGTCGCACGAATCTGGATTACGACAAATCTGAAGTACGTTAAATTCGGAACACGACGAAAATGGAACAAATGATTTTAAATGTTTTAGTTGAGGTCTACTTTATTTTTTGGCCCAGGATCTTTGGTTACCTAGCTACGCTACTGCTTTGTGAAAATCAAAAACAAACTCAAACTCTTGAAGCTTGAGAACCTAGCGATTAGTGTGATTGTGCGACATATTATTAGATGAACACATGCCATTTAGCCCATCATTACGAGTTCACTAGGAGTAAACCACAATAATTTCCAAGGGCACCAATCGAGGTCGATCTGACAGGGTATATTCTTAACAATAGGCGCTAACTTCATCCCTAACAATACCCTTTCCTCCCTCTCCTCTCAAAAGACTAAGAAATCTAACTATTACGGGATATGATTTATATATCTTTTTATATAGCGAGATACCTACTCAGATAAGGTTTAGGCGTAAAAGTAAATTATAAAGTTTAGAATTTTTGAAATTTGCAATTTCGATTTGATTTGAATCGAAGATTGAATTTTGGATCTTTAATTAGATATAATAAAAAATACACAAAGTTTGAAGACGAAGGTCTTTAACCAGTTCGTTGCCAGTTTTTTAATGGATGACAATGAAATGGTTACCCCGCCTGCGCTATCGGTATACGCTGACAGGACACCAGTGAAGGGTGATAGTAGACGACGACGAGGATGACGCAGGTCAGTTAGCCCATCATGACGAATTCAATAAGAATTGTTCACGATGGTTTCCAGGGAGAACCACGTGGAGGTCGACCTAACAGGGCATAATGCTAGCAATGGGGCTGTTAAACTCCATTGTTAACAATCCCTTTTCCCCCGTGCGTTGCCAGTTTTTTTTAATAGATGATAATGGAATGGTAACCCCGCCTGCGCCATCGGTATACACCGGCGGGGCACCAGTAAGGGATATTAAGCATGATGATGAAGCAGGTCAGTTAGCCCACCGTGACAAATCTAACAATAAATCAATCAAGATGGTTTCCAAGGGGAACAACGAGGAAGTTAACCTGACAGGTTATATTGCTAGTAATAGGGCTACTAATCCCCATTACTAGCAATCCCTTCTCCCCCTGTGCGTTGCCAGTTATGACTTATAGAACAGCAACATGGTCCTAAACGATTGCCCGTATGAAAAGCTTCAAATTACTTAGCGGGCTCAGAATCTGAAATGAGATATCCGCAACATTGACAGGGTAACAATTAGGGATATAATAGGTGCAAATGAAGTGAGATCAGATGCCCCATTATTTTATTTTTATTTGAATAATTTGCCAATATGACAGAGTATATAGTTAGCAATCACTGTTGTATACACCCTTCCACCCTACATAATAATGAATGATGGTCTAATGAAAAAACATTGAAATACAATAATTACATTATTTAATATTATAAATTAAGGCATTTTGTTTCTATAGGTAATGTTATAATAATAAAAACACGAAATTACAATATTAATTTGTTATTTTAAATGTTTGTTCTCTTTTAATATATGTGGCAATCTTCTATCAAAATTATTCTATATATACAAGATTGTTTGCCTATAAATTCTAATATTGTTGGCCTGACTTTACTTATTATCATATATACAAAATAATTATTTAATTTTATTCTAACAATTGCTTTCTATTTGTTTTCCATGAGAGATATGTATTCCAAAACAATGCAACAATTTGTACAAGCAATACTTGATACTGTAATGGTACATAATAAAAATTAACAATTTGGACCCATGGCCATATATAGTAATTTGTTTTTAATACATCACAGTAATTGGCGTGAATATCTTTTTTTACTATATCCCAAGGTTTGCCTTGCATTGTTCCTACTGCTGATAGAATTAGAAATAGGAATGCAGGAGCAAACACCAGTTGATCAATAAATACTTTCTTAATGGTAACTGATTTCCCACTAGAACCTATATGATGATTAAGTAATCCATACCAAAAGCGTAGAGCAGGCCCCTGAAAAAAGAAGTCATGTAGTTAAAATTGTAAATGTGAAAAAACTCTCATATTTACTACAATCATTATAATTAAATTGCTTTCATGTTATACATAAAAAGGTAAGCTGGCAAGCCATTTAATGGAAAATGATAAGCATCTCATGTAAATGCACTGTCACACTCTTGTATGGCAATCAATGTTGGCAGCAAAAACCATGTGAGCTGACCTTGTTCTTACCAACATCATTCACCTTGCCAGTGTATACCAGTGTGTGCCATAGACACAGTTACTATTTAATTAAGATTATGATATATGTATACTGGCATAAAAAAATCTAAGGGCCACAGTTTCAAGTGTTTTTTGTATGCAAATAATCAATTTAAAAGTTGGCAACTTAACCAGTTGACCTTTTTTATATATGTACTTGTGTTTTTTTATATTATTCTTTTTCATATTCTTTATGATATATGTTTTTTTGGTAACTTTTTTTCACAAGTTTCAAGACACATACCAATCAGATATTATTAAATAAAAAATATTAATATTGTAATTATTACCCAATGATTCCTTGATATACAAAAGTTGAAATAAAGATTATTTATTGTTGAATAGTCAGTCCTGTTACTCTTTTATCCTCTTTTTTTTTATACCACTGAGGTGGCAGACAAGCATATGACCTACCTGATGGTAAGCAGTTACCATAGCCTAAAAAACTTATTATTTATTCAAAATATGATATGATGAAATGCTAATTATAAAGGCTGAAACATTTTGCCTTCCCCTATGACAGGAATATGGACCAATAAAATTACATAAAGAAAAGAATCCTCATCTGATTATACATAACCTATTAATAATTGATCCTTAAATAAATATTGATTTCTTAAGATCTATTTGGTTTTTCTTAATTAAAATATTTCATAAATATTTTTAAAAATATCAGTTCTTTGACCAACAAAAAGATCATAAAGAAATTTAGTAATAAATAATGGAAGTTTCAAACATTGACATACAAAATTTGGATTTTAAAAATGCATCTAAAACCATCTATTTAACTCTTTCATTCAATATTTCCTAAATGTGTTTCTAATTATGACTACTATAAACAACAAAAATAAAAAACAATGACGTCTAAATCTGAGCTCATTTAGATCCTAGGACTGCAGGACACTTGCCACCACACTGCATAAATTAATATATATTATTATATAGTATACATATTACTATTAGAATAAATAAGCATGTATATGTGTTGTTAAAATTCAAAATGTACTTAATTTTTGCATTTAAAATATAGTAATTGTTTATTATTATTATATACTTACACCCACAAATAATCCAATAGAAGAAAACTGAAGTGTCCTTTTGTAATCCAATTCTTTAATTAGTTTCTTTTCAATTATTGTTTGAGATATTATATCGCCTGCGCCCATGAGGGTGCCGGTCTGCACTGCTTGTACCAAGTACGGCCGACGCACCAGAGCCTTCTGATATAACTTGAATATACTTTGTAACCTCATTGTTGTTTGCATGTTCTGAAAAATTACGCTTCAATTGAAAAATAAATTATATAAATAAATACACGAGTACGTCAATTAAATAACAAATTTGAACAACTTCCAATTTTTTTAAATTATATATTCCTTATAATAATGTCGAAAAAACATGTAATGAAAGAGGGAAAAAAAAAAGGTGAAAAATTAAAATAGGTAAAATTTATAAAAACCAAAGGAAATTTCTCCCTTACACTTCGTAAATTAATTCAAATCAAATAGGAATGCCTACCTAAGAAACGAGTAGCAATCAAAATGACAATGACATGACATAAAGTTGACAAAGACAATAAAATTTCCATGAATAGTGGTAATTTGTGAGTTGCTGTGATAGCCCTATCTATATTGCACTAGAAGTTTCTTAAAAAAACCAACTAGTTTAATGTTAATTAGTTTAACTAGTTTAAAGTTTAACCTAGTTTAACGTGTTTTTTTAAGAAACTTCAAGTGCAATATAGATAGGGCTATCACAACAAGTCTAATGTAATGACGATGACAGATATCTCTCAACAGATTGCATATGGAATGGACAGTAAGGTGAACCATTTTGTGTATGAAAAAGGCTGCGTCAAAAGGCGTTAAATTAGGGTGGCGCTAGAACCGGTGAGTAAATTTTTAAGGTAGTAAAACTCGCTTTTTAATAGTGCCCTTTTCATAATAAAAACTTAATATAAAAATAACACAGAGCAAGTGTTCATACGCTTAGATTATATTGATAGAGCATCGACCTTTAAAAACGGACAACTTTTTGTCAGTTAATTGTTAAATTAACTGACTCGTTTTTATCAGTGGTCTATATAATTACGCATAAAATATATCTGACCATATTATTTAACAAATAAAATGAGTCTTTACACATTAAAAAGATTCACAAATTATATAACTAAATAAATATGGAAGTTATAAAGGAGACACTCATAACTACAGGGTGGCCCAAAAGTCCTTAGAAAAGTAAAATTTAAATTAAACGAAAACGGCGCACGTGAGCGGTGCAGGGGAAGCGGGGGCAGTAACTTCGGTTTCTGGGAATTTAGTCGCGATGGAGCGTTTCACTGGAGCGAACCGTGCGTTTTGTGTGCGCGAGTTTTATCAAAACAACAATTCGGCAACCGTTGCGAGGCGTAAATTTCGAGAACACAAAGGTTTACACAACTTTGATGACACCCCAGCTCTCCAAACGATTAAGAATTGGGTTGCTAAGTTCGAGGAGACCGGTTCGACGTTAGATAAACCGCGGTTAGGTCGCCCAAGGACATCACGTACGGAACAAAACATCGACACAGTGGCACAATCTATTCGTGAAAATCCTACACAGTCAACTCGTAAGCGTTCCAGTGCTTTAAACGTATCCAGGACATCGTTACAACGGATTTTGAAGAAAGATTTACTTATGCACCCTTACAAAATTCAGTTGGTGCTGAGTCTCTGAATAGCATCAGTTTCTTTTAAGTTGAGAATTAAAAGAAACTGATGCTATTCAGAGAGTGAATTATGCTAATGAAATGTTTAATCGGTTTACTTCGTTCAATAACATAATGTTCTCTGATGAGGCACACTTCCACATTAACGGACATGTTAGTAAACAAAATTGCACCTATTGGAGCCCGATTAATCCAAAACTTAAGCACCAGAAGCCCTTACATAGCCCTAAAGTTACAGTTTGGGCCGCTATGTCAGCCCATGGCATCATAGGGCCTTACTTTTTTGAGGACGGCAGAGGGCGTGCTGTTACTGTTACTTCGGAGCGATATGTGGCCATGATCGAGGAGTTTTTTACACAAAAATTGCAAAACTTTCCAGGCTTTAATGCCCGAACATGGTTTCAACAGGATGGAGCAACTTCCCACACCTCCAATACTGCTATACCCGTTATCCGTCAACTTTTTCCAAACAAAGTTATCTCTAAGAGAGGAGACATTTCCTGGCCACCACGTAACCCGGATCTGACTCCAATGGATTTTTTTTTGTGGAGCTACCTTAAGGCTAAAGTGTACGACTCTAACCCGCGGTCAATTAATGACCTAAAAGAAAACATCCGCAGAGAAATGGCAAGCATTTCAGCAGTGACGTGCCGCGCAGTCATCGACAATTTCAAAAGGCGTTTGCAAGAGTGCCATGACTGTAACGGATTACATTTGGACGACGTTATTTACAAAAAAATAATTCCCGTTTTTCTAGCTATATTTACAAATAAAAATATTATTCATAGTGTAATTAGTTTTATTTTAATTAATTTTTTTCATTACTAAGGACTTATGGGCCACCCTGTATTACCCAAAGTACTAGTCCAAAAGATAAGCGAGCTGAAGTGGCAATGGGCGGCATAATGACTGAAATGATGATGATGACATTCACTTTAAACTAATTTGACTTCAATGCGTGAAAATAATTAGAAATTATTTTCGTTTCCCCGTCGTTCGTACTCCCGTCAAAACAGCTTCGAGCATATGTTGTGTAAATTATTATCCTATTGTCTCTTTCGCTCTAATATACAGGTTATTGTATTTTCTGTCTCGTAGATTGCCAATCTATATACTTCATCTAAGGTTAGAACGTAAGTACGTTATACCAAGTCTATGGTTAAATATCATTGTTAAATGTGTTCAGTTCAGTTAATCCCATAAGCGATTGTATTCACCACTTACGCGTTTCTCTTCACCCCTTGCACCGACTATATGAAGCAAACAAAGTATATATTTAAAGCATGAGTAAGATATTTATCTTTTGCTCGCTCTTATAGTAAAATGAATGTTACTGGTTGTACTGATATTTCTTGTTACCGTTTAGTACAGTTCACCATATTGATAAGCTATATAAGTTGCATGTTCAAATTATATTAAACATCGAAACCTTTACGATTTTCATCACTACAAGTGTAGAAAAAATAACGTGGAAATTGTAAAGTTCAGTACCTATTTGTGAGATAATGTCATTTATGGAAATATCCTAGATTAAACTTTTTATTTTTTCGTATATAAACATATTTTTTATGTTAACCTATTATTAATTATAGAAATATTGTAAAAAATATACGCGCTGTTGGAGTATATATTTGTAAATAATCGTTAGGTAATTCCGTGAAACAGCATATTATTATATAGTAATTTTGAAATAAAACGACATTGAAATAAAAATCCACAACTTCTTACTGTAGGTTGATGGATACATAAGATCTGTCATTACCATATTTTATCCTCAGGGTTATACAAGGGACATTGATTGGTAATCCCGCCTGCATATACCTCCAGTATATACCGATAGATATACTGGTGGAGCACCAGGAGTGTTAGATAAAGATGCAATTAGGTCACTTGAAACCAGGTCGATGTTCGCCTGACAGGGTTTATTTCTAAGAATTGAGCTACTAATCTCCATATTAAAAATTGCTTCTTCCCTGGAAGTTAAAATTAGGAGATTTTTTATAACGAAGAATGCCAACGTCGTTATTATCTGTCAATTTTCAGAAACAATTGAAGAATTTCTGAATATATCCAACTGAATATTTAAAAAGTGCTCTACCTATGTATTTGTGTGAGTTCTTCTCTTAGTCTACTTTAATATTATGCCTGTGACCCCTTGGCTTGGCATTTCTAATACTATTAACCCTAGAAAGATAATCATATTTGGTATGGCGGTAAAGATAATCATACGTCTCAGAGACGTACGCCTAGTTATTAATTAATATTTTAATATATATGCATTTACTAATTGTTTATAGGGTCTTGCATATTAGTTTAAGTATTGTACTAAGTAATAAAACATTTATTAAGTTATTATATTCATTAATTAAAAGAAAAAACAATAAACATAAAACTCTCTTAAAAGTACACAAAATATAATTCAACTTTTTTAATAGGAAGTTTCTATGTGGCTATCAGTCTTCAATTACAAATATAATGACACTTTTTGAGGGTATAAATGCTAAATAGTCTTTAATATAACAGAAACAATCATCTCTTATAATTTAAGTACATTTATAACACACATCTTTTTTGTGATTACTACAAACAGGCTTTTGGCAAAGAACACATTCCATTTTGGACATTCTTTTTATCTTTGAAGGACAGTGCAAACAATTTCTTTTCTTTTTTGCTGCAGGCTCTTTCTCTCTTTCCGGGTTATCATCCACTCTATTTTCTGGTAGCAGTTCTTTAATATTGTGGCGTAAGTACCTTTTCAAGGTCGGAACTTCCAATCTTTTCTCATCCAAGCTGAAGTTAGCTCAGTGCTCAATTTCTTCATGAAGTCTTTCCTGTTCAATGGCTTTTCATTCTTGATGAGTACATTATGACAATATATGATATATAAGTTAACAAACGATATATTTAGCATGCTATAAAATATCGTCATTGGCCATCTATTAGGCGTCCCCTAGCTGATCGAATAATATTTATTGCTAACGTCCTTCCGTAGGGGGGAAGGGATTGTTAGTAATGGAAACTAAAGGCCCTATAGCTGGCAATATACCCAAGCAGGTCGACCTCCACGTGGTTCCCTCTGGAAACCATCGTGCAGAATTCCAAGTGTATTCATCACGATGGGCTAACTGACCTGCCTTTTTTTTCATTCTCATCTATCACCCTTCACTGGTACCCCGCCAGCGTATACCGTTAGCGCAGGCGGGGTTACCATTCCATTATTATCCATTTAAAAAATGTCCTTCCGTGACTTTTACCTTTGACAGTGGACCAACAGTACCTATTTTTCCCTCGAAGCGTTTGCTTAGGCGGGGTAACTATGCGAGTGTTCAGCAAGGGAATTATATTGACAGTAGACTCCGTCGATTGAACTGACTCCACTTGGTCAGAAGGGTTATCTGTAGCTTCGACAGCTTCATCGATCAACTCGTCTTCTGTATAACTTTTTACATCATCTTCGAAGAGTTGATTTTCCACTTCGCTACCACTTTCTTGGGCAGAATCATCATCATTTCCCATCAAAAATTGCACAATTTCCTCCTCATTAATACTCTCTGACTAATCATTTTATGGCTATATTACATGTACCTTAAATATAAAAAAAATATACATTCAAACATACAAACAAAAAAAATATCAATCTCGCGAAAGTCACACAAAAGATAATCATACGTCTCGTAGACGTACGACATAGCTGTATCTAGGTACCCATATCACTTACCGCTGCTGAACCACCATCCAACATTAGCTCCGACAACCGACTGAGTTGACTGAGATGGACAGTGCGCTGCGTTTTGTAGATAAAAAGAAATAACAATATTTAACAACTGCGTACGTCTCGCGGACGTAGAGTATCTTTCTAGGGTTAAGAAAGGGAATAGTCCTTTTTCCTTTCTATTGACCTATTTTTAAATTAATGAAATGTATGTAGATGTTTAATATGATGTAATAAATATTTCAGCTATTCTTGTATATATTTCTATTTTATTTAATATTTTAATTTGTACTTGTCTAAAATATAATTTATTGACACGAGTATTTACATAAAAATTAATTTAAAATAATTTAATAGTAGAAGTATGAATTGTTAATTAAATTAAGATTACAACGGAACAATTTAATTAATGTTTATATATACAAGCTATGTATTTTAATGTTTTAGAAATACTATCTACAATGATTTCAATAAGTGGATAGAAAATTTTTCCTTATCTGAAAGGATATGCTAACAGATTGGTCTCATAGAAATTTCATCAAAATCGGTTCAGTAATTTAGGTATTAGAATAACATAACAGATTTATCACAATTGAAGTTTTTTTTTGTGGGACACAAACCTTAATTATATTATTTTTAAAACTTAGGAATGGTAATTTTTTTATCCGATCTCTATATAAGTATTTAACGGGAATTAATGAACTCGATATATTTTTGCCGTCTTACGCCGCTTACGGCAACATAAATTTTATTTGATTCCCCATAGATTAAGGATAATACTCACGGTTTGTGGATTGACATTCAAATTAATGTTGACTAAAAGATACATAAAATGGCAACACAACCATACGATTACTTCTACATCTTGTGCATTTCTTGTCAGAACATAATCATAGCTATCGGATTGGCGTAGTTTAGTTTTCTTTGGTGATTAGCAATTGGGAGATTCATTTTTCGGTAATAACTAAATATTTAGCAAAATAATCTAACATTATGGATAAAAGAAAGCTTTCAACTGCAGGGGATAGTTTGTATCAAATACTTCAAGTCCCCAAAACTGCAACAGCAGATGATGTGAAGAAAAGCTACAGAAAATTGGCCTTAAAATACCATCCAGATAAAAATCCCAACAATCCAGAAGCAGCAGATAAATTCAAAGAGGTGAATCGAGCACATACAATATTAAGCGATGCTACAAAAAGAAATATCTACGACAATTATGGCTCCCTTGGATTATATATTGCTGAACAATTTGGTGAAGAAAACGTCAACGCCTATTTCGTAGTGACTAGTACTTGGTGCAAAGCGCTATTCTTTGTATGTGGTATCTTAACCGGATGCTACTTTTGCTGTTGTTTATGCTGTTGCTGTAATTGCTGTTGCGGCAAATGCAAGCCGCGTCCGCCAGAAGAATCAGGCGATTATCACACATTAGAACGCGACGACTCTGATGGCGTACAAACGGTGACCGTGCAGCCGGGAGGTGAGGGTCGTCCAAAAGGTGAACAAGCACCACCTATTGCCATGCCTATGCCACCACCATCTGGCGCTTCCGAAAACACAGGCCTCAACTCAGGTGGGGTCAATTATGGAATTTCACATTAACATAGGTAATTTCAATGGTACTAAATTGTCAACCCTAATTTTACATTATTACCTACCTAAATTCAGGCTAGTATTGAATATAGGGAAACCTACTGGGTCTTCATTTGCATTGTTTTGAAGTTATGTTTATTAGACCATATTTTGGTTTCTTTATAATCTCATTAAATGTTTTAGTAAAAGTTTTAACATCATTTTAATATTCCTATGTGGTTACTTAAAATAGTAATCTTATCTATAACAAATTATCACTTTTTTACAATTATTGTATGAATCAGATGTTAAGTCATTACACCTAATATTGCTCTTTCACATTTAAAGTTATTGAAATGTTAGTATATGTAATAATAATAGTCTATATAATCTGAATTGCTGAGCATCATTAATAGATTGATAATAATGTAATACACCAATAAAAAATATAATATTAAACTTCGCTTAATGATCTGTATGTGTATATAACATATTGTAAACTAAAAATTAATATTTGGCATCTAGACTACAAGACCTCTGTTTAATGTTTCTAAGCTGATTTCATATATATGTAATAGGATGTGTCAATACTTACTTTTTACATGATTCTATATACTACATGTAGATATATAACCATCATTTTGAAAAATAAAATGTCTAAACATTTATAAACATTTTGCTTATCTATTATATTGTGATGATCAAACCATACTCTGTATTGATTAACAGTAAGTACATTGAAACTGAATTCATATATATTTGTTTATTATGACTATTAATTGTACTGACATTAACAGTTTTTTTATTAGTGATAATGGAATGGTAACCCCACCCGCGCAATCGGTATACAATGGCGGGGTACCAGTGAAGGATGATAGGTGAGGATGAAGTAGGTCAGTATAGTATCGTGACAAATTCAACAAGAATTGTTCCCCTGGAAACCATCGTGAACAATGGAGGTCAACCTAATAGGGCACATTGCTAGCAATGGAGCTATCAAACTTCATTGCTAACAATCCCTGTCCCCCCACATTAACAGTTATCAAATTATATAGACTATTCTGTATTAAAGTTTGTAAGTCCATCATTTATAAGTAAATGTGTTTGCTGTTTTCAAGAAACGGTATGTTTACCCCTATGGTTTAAATATCTAGTTTTAAATTTAAGAATTTTCCTGTAATATCTTTATTCATGTGATTTGCTCTTTAAGTTTATAGTTTGAACTTGGCATAGTAGTTACCTTAACTTAAAATTTGTATGAATGCAAATAAGGAGGAGGAGGGAGGGGACTGAGTGGGTTTAAAGGGTGGTCCCCAACTCATGACCAAAGCACATTATTTAAAATCCATTCAAAATTATATAATCATTATAAGGACATCACTATCCTATTTACAAGAAAATATTACAAAATTTCAAGCAATTAGACAACAATAATAAAATAGCTTGAACATTCCATACATTTAGTACTTAAAGTATTTATTTAATAAAACCGTTTAATAACATGCTTTTTAATTTATGAAAAGTGTTAATAACATGTTTTATACCTGAATCACATTCAGATATTCATGAATTATGGACAAATTAACTATCCTTTATCTTTATTGTTTTAAGTAGTATTGATTGAACAGTTCTCTCAGGTATGTTATCAATATTTATATTTTATGCTGGCAAGGGATGTTATAATAAATTATTTTGGAAGATTGATTACTATAGAAATGTACTTTGTCCAATAAAATGTATTCATATAAAATTTTAGTTCTCTCTGTAGCTTAAAAAGTGATTAGATTTATTGACCAAAAATAAAACTTATGAGATACCTAAGATAAGATTGTAAAAATATGAGGATATGTCAGGTTAAATTCATTAGAGTGCTAGTAATTTGTTGTGGCCAGTTTATTGGTCTTAATGTTTACAACATTATGCAATTAAATTATTTGGCTTTTAGCATTTGAATTCTTTCTAGGTATTGTTAAAAGCAAATGTAACAAAAATCGCAATTAGATAATTTTTTACGTCACAATTATAATCAATAATTTTTTTTCACTAATTATTTAATGTGACAATTTCCCTTGTCATTTAGATTTCAGTCAGTATTATTTTTATTTAACAAAATGGTTATATTTTTGATTTTTATAAATTTTGGAACAAATCAAAAGACTATACATTCGGGTAAGAGTAAGTGATGATAACCACTAGAGATTGATTTGTTATGAACACAATTATGAGATAATTTGAGTGATGAGCACTATACTGATATGATTTTAAATTTATGTTACTAATGACTCAACAATGTACATTTGTTTAGGGATCTATAACTATAATAGACATGTTTTAGTAATGGTAAGTAGGTATATTTAATTTCAATCCAGTAACAGAATAGTTAAATTTAAGAGGCCCTCATTGCTAAAAATAAATTTAGAGATTTCCTGTTAAATTTTATGGTTTTTAATGACTATTGTTTTGTGAAATTTTCACAAAACAGTATTATAGTCTTATTATTATAGTCATTCAATTTAAATTTTTAGCAAAGAATGCCTCCTACGGTGCTGTTAGGATTGAATAGTTGTACCTCATGTTCAACATACATCAACATGTTATAATGAACTTTAAATCTAATAACCATTTATAATTCAATATTCAGAGTTCATGTGTAAGTCTATTTGATAAAACTTGCAAAATTACTATTTCCTTGTTGTTATATATTGTAAAAATAATAGATAATAATTAATGTTACACTGACACTATTCTAAAATATTTTATTTTGTTTAGATCACTAAGTTGAATTTCGTGTTTCTATGTATTCATACTCTGTTAGAACCTAGTTGTATTTCTAACTTGCCATTTTTTATCACATACCTAGTATATTAAGGTCTGACTTATAATAATGTCATAATTATTAATTCATCAATGCTGAAGAACATTATTAATGATGCAGCTGCTAGTTATGTTCACTTTGTGTAATTCTGCATTGTAAGTGTATTCCTAGCTTATGCAGATGTACTAGCTATTTACAATCTAGACGTGAACATAATTGTCATAATATAAGAAACGTAGATGTATTCTGATCACAGATGTGGATTTGAATAGATGTCACGACTCATGTATTTTGCGTGTAAAGTTTTAATTTAAAGTAAGCCGACAAAACCTGTCCAACTAAATTTCGGTTGAAATTTTCGTCAAAAAAAGTTTAGAGAATTGACAAGGCAGTGTAATTTAAAAATCGTATTTCTGCAGAGGTTCTTTAGTAGTGACACATTTATTTCCTATATATGTTTATGTAATGCTGTATAATACCTATCGTTTCTTATACTGATTTATAATATGTTAAATACATGAGTAAAGCGGATATAAATAATTATTTACGTGTTTATATCTGCGGTTTAGATTATAAAATCACCAATATTTTAATGTAATAAAAATATATGATTCACAATAATGATATACTTAATTAATATTGGTTCAATTCAAATGTGTGTAATTATGATAATATTAATTAAAAATAGAAATAAACTTTAATCAATATAATGTTAGAGTGGCTAGTGCGAGTTGTACATAGATTTATTCTCTATTGTGAGACACATTATAGCTGAAGCTTGTAGGATATAAAACGAGACAGCAATGTCTGGTGTCTCATTCTTTCTCATGCGTGCACCAACGAAATCGTATCTATCGATAGATATAGAGAAGATTCACGTAAACGCTAACGCTGTGGTATAGTAAATCCGTGTTAAACTCGCACAAGGAATTCTTAACATTTATTGTGTAAATGTTATCTTCTTGAATAATTACTTATAAATAGTAATTTCAATGAATACGCTGTTTGTAATCTACCTATAGAGCAAATGCACACGTAAACCACTTAAAAGTTTTTGGAAACAATAAAATACACAATGTTTCTGTGGGGATACTGTTTTATGTATTATAATTGTAATGTTATGGTACTAGTCATCGAGGTTATATAACGACAGTATGAAGGTTAAGGATGTTGAAAATGTTTATTACACTCTATTCCTTTCAGTCAAATAAATATCTGCATATTAATACTATCTATCATTAAAATTGCCAGTGCCTCAGCTATGTATTTGTATTTTTGCTCTGACATACGAATAGGTAATAGGAAGCTTTTATTTTATTTAAGTACTAGTATTTATTTCTTGTATAAATACAGTTCTTTTTCTTATTTTACAGGAAGCAGTTTTCCAAAATACACATGAAGTATTCACAACTTACTAGTCTAACATAATTTGTAAGAGAAATACGGAACTGATTTCTTATAACCACCAACTTGCACAGATGCTGGGTATAAGCCTAAATTAAGTTTTCTAATTTTCACTGTATTATCATATTATGTAATTTTTTTATACTTACATTTATTTTTGTGACATTTATGTTTGTCGCGTAAAATATATCTGTTTAATTTAGTTTTGTTTCCTTTAGTTTAATTTTCCTTACGACAGGTTTGATTCTTTTTTTTTTTATAGATAATTACTTCAATTATTTTACTTTAATATGTGTATGAAATATTTCTTACAATTTCCCTGATTGGAAATTATTTCAATATGTCAAAGATCCCATATTCATTTACATTACAAAAATATAACATCCACTAATGAAATTTATACAGAAAACATTTATAATCATATGATCAAACCACTTAAAAGAAGAAGGTTCTTAATTCGGGTTTTTTATGTTTGTTGCCTCAACTTTGTCAGTTGTAAACCGATTTAGAAAGTTCTTTTTTTTTATCTGAAGAAACATGCCTAAGCCAAATTTCTATATAATAGAAATTTTATTAAATCGGTTTAGTAGTTATTAAATCAAAATAACTGGTTTTACCCCAATTGACGTCAGTTATTTTTTGTGGAACACAATTATTTTTATAAAATCTTACAAGAAATCTAACATTAAATATTATGTAAGACATCGCCGTGATATTGAGACATAGAATAGGCCACCCTTTCTTTTCCATAGGGGTCGTAAAAGGCGACTAAGGAAACTTAATGGTCCAGGGGTGGATAATAGTGACCCTCTTAAAACATCTCTAAGGCCTAACTACGGTTGCAAACACGCCTGCCAAACGTGGCAACTACTTGCAGGCAATACAGCGCAATTTCACAATTTAAATATACATATATTTATTTCTCTAAAAAAATAATAAACTTACAACTATATAGGTTACAATTTAAACGGGAAATAGTATTAGTACCTATGAAGACTCCGATTGTTTTGACCCCTACCCCCATGTAACGCGTCGTAATATTTTTCTGTATTCTCTCATTGCTCCCTACACGTTACGTAATACCAAATTAAGCATTTTTAATTTAAAGACAACAATGACGAACACTGACAGTACAATACAGTCGAGGGATTCCCCGTAAAACATAAACGAAAGTGTTGCCAATTATTAATTATGATTTGAATTTCTTAGTTTTTTATTTTATTAAAAATAATGTTACGTAATGTGTTTGAACACCCCTTCCTCCCCTGTAACGCATCGAAACTAAAAGATCCCCCCCTCCCATTCTAAATTGCGTTACCTAATAGTTGAATACTCCCTTTCTTGTTATTTATTTTTAGTACGTAGGTAAGTATTAATTACTTAACAATTTCAACTTATCTTTTTTCAGATTGACAGTGACAGTATACATTTATCATAGGGTTATAAAAGTGTAATACATTGATATGATACACTTATAACAATATATAATAACATGGATACTTATAAATAATTAGGTTTGGAAATGTTCAAGTGGCTTCACTATTGAATATCACTTATGACGTATTTAGAATTATTTTAAAGAGATAGGGAGCTATTATTTTCACGCCCCGATATAAACAAACTTATAGTTGTGACTATAAAAAACATCCTGCGCATCGGAATATTTCTCTACTAATCAAGAAATATTTCATATTTTAATCCAAATATAATGTAAGATCTATGGGACTACCACCACCCCTATGTTCGGCGATTCACTATCTATCTTCAAATTTGAAAATAAGAAACAGTATAAAACAAACGTGCAGGAGTTGATTAGGCATATAAAATTAATATTTTTAAAATACTTGAAATTTATATACTATTGAATAAGCTTTGTTTTTTTATAATTTCCATTAATTTTTCTTTTTATATATTACCTGCATATTATCCAATCAAAATATAGACTGAAAATAAAAATAATAATTTCAAAGACTCTAATAAAATAAATGTCTAACACAAGAGATTGTTAGTAATAAGGAGGTAGTCTCCATTGCTAACAATATACCCAGGAAGTAGAAACTGACGTGATTAATTCTTGTGAAATTTGTCATGATAGACTAACTCACCTCTTTTCTTCACCTATCGTCTCTAACTGGTGTCCGCCAGCTATGTATAGGTATTGCATATGTATACGAGTACATACCGCAGGCAGGGTTACCATTCCACATTCATCCATTAAGAAAATGTCAAATATATGTTCACGCCTGTACAGTAATAGCAGCATCTGTCTAATATCCTTACATGGATTGCATAGTGCACTTTAGTACATATGTACTAAAGTACCTAAAGCTACACGCAGAAAGCTTGCTGATTCCATGAAATTTGTCAAGTCTCATAATATCTAGAACTGTAGACTAAATATTTACTTTGTTGTTCTAGGTATTTTATTAAACATAGGTAATCCTAAAAGATTCAGTTTTTTATTGAAATAAATATCAATTTAAGAATAGTTATTTATCTAATTGTTTGTTTTGACATTTAATTCGTTCTCTAACTACCCTATAAGGATACACTTCAAACAAGACTGATTCATATACATAATCATAATCATATACATAATGGAAGTATGCTAGAATATCTCTTAGATGTGTTTCTCATAAAACGATTGTGATAATAAAGCATACTGCTCTCCTGCACTACTACCGCATGATCCGTATCTCAACCCCAGAAAAAAGTCTAAATTACAAATAGATCTGTGGTGGAATATTTAAATCCAAAATTAATACTTTTTGAATTTTAGTAATTGTTTACTTTTTGAATTTAAATAGATCTTTCGCCCCACAAAAAAACTACTATTGTCACGACCCACATTGGATACAATATGAATCATAAAAATCGGTAAAATTGCCGAAAATATCGCGTATTATACACACAATAAAATATGAAATAGATTTGACAATTTTAGAAGTTGAAACATAATTGGGTGGCGAATCTAACTTGCCGAGCGCCTTGCATTAAGTTGATATGCAAATTTGTAGCTTGGCAGCAAAACTGATGTAACAGAGGTCTACAGGTTCAGCCATAGACTAATGTATTCATGAAATTGACCAGTTTCCCTAAGAAGTTTAGGTACTCGTAATCCGAAAACTCTTTGTGATTTATATACAACTAGAAATATACAAGTCCTGTGATTTATTTCGACCAAATGTCTCTACTGTTACGGAATATTAACTTCTATAACTATGATTTCTATCTAAAAGGTTCAGAATATTGACCAATTTGCTATTGTCGATCGATGCGACGTGACAATGAGACGCTGGTGATGCGGGATTGTAACGGTGAAGTCGCAACGTCCTTCGTAAAAATGCCTTACTGACCCACTGTCTATGTACGTCGTAGTATATATTATCATCGCTCCAATAACAGTATAGGTAAGTAATAGTACCTACAAATAGCGCAAACGGTTTTTGCACTTGTCATATATTATCGGACAATCACATAGATCTATAGGCTTATTTATAAGGGAGAGACCAGGTAATCCAAGCCCACCCCAGAAATCGAGTAAAGTCTTCAGCTATGCTCAAAAACATGTCTTGTTCATGACACATACAACTTTTTACCGGACTTAGCCCCCTAAAAAATAATCTTAAATACGCTAAATAAGGTAGCTTAAATTATTTAACGCTTAGTACCTACATAATTTCTCTATGATCAGAATTCGAGGGAACTCTCTATTCATTGAAGAAACGTATTCATCACAATCTATGAGATTCAGTCATCATCAACATGTTATGTCTATAGGTGACGGTTACCACTTTCCAATAGGTGGGCTGTCAGCTTGTTTGCCATTCTAAATTGCATAAAAAAAAACATTTACATTTTTATTTGAATTCCACATTTATTAAAATATAACGAAAATATGAAATTCGCCTTGTTTTTAAATTTATTTTATTCTTTTTTATCAATGAATTTATTTGTTTTTTATGTTCGTAACGTACTTATATATTGCCATATTAGTCTCATAAGTGAAGACGGAGAGAGGCACCTAAAAGCCAATCTATCCATCACCTTCAACTTCGTCAATTTTCTAAGTTACTTTTATATCTACATGCTCGTTTGTTTTTGAATTTTGACTTTAAACAATCGACAAGTTAACACCTCTGGTTACTTACTTAGAGGTACAGTAGTAAGCATTTTTTTTTATTTTTAAACTCTGAAATAACTATCTATACTTTCTTTCTACGTACTCGTACAATAAAAGTCTTGTAATGTTTTTCATTAATTTTATTTCTATTAGTATTAAGGTTAATTAATCAACATGTCCTCGAAATATTTAAATTCAATTCAGTTAATGCAGCTATAGCACAAAATTACCATTCAGAAGTGTCATATTGTGCCAGCGCACGAAGAACATATACGGTCTATCTACAACCATTTCATATTCAGGTGTCTCTTCCCATTCAATTCCTAAAAGAAAAATACAGCTGTATCCACATATTCGATTATATAGTATATAGAAATATATATAAAATGAGGCAATTGTAACATAATATATAATTGTTACTATTGCCTAATTTTAATTTAATCTGCGATATGATTTCATAATATATCTACTGTTGTATGACGACCTCACCGGTGTGGGCACGTTGCTTTATATAAATAATCTTTAATGATGAGATCCCTGGTTCCATTTCCGGAGGGCCAATTTAGACAACGAACTTGTTTGGATTGGATCTGGGTTGTACCCCTAGAAGTTCGTCGCCTGGTTCCTAATAATACAGGGTATCTTGAGGGCTAGGCGATTGTGATTGTCTGGCAGTTATTACTATGTACCTACAGTAATATATTACTGATTAATAATAAAAAACACTAGACATTAAAAAGACATCCACTGTTAATTACACCTATATCTATTCAACAAAGATTCTCAGCAGATAAAAAAGTTGAAACTGGTATTCGTATAGGTAATTATTTAATAAATCAATTGCACATTTTTTTACATCTTTAAATGTCAACTGACAATCTTTCTGATGCATATGGATGACCTTTATCAATAGACATGAGCAGAATCATAGATATCACAGACACGCTGTGATGTTTACATGTACGTACTCATTTCCATTCTTGTGGATTAAGGTGTTGTGTCCTCATACCTAGCAATATAACTGTTATTAGTATCTCACCTTTCAAACTGAAACAGGCCGATTCTTAAATGACATTTCTCTAAAATCTCTTAATCTTTTTTTTAATATGACTATTTCACGAAATTACTATTTTACGAACTATTCTAAAATTATAATATAAAGATTTCGGTGTAATATTAAATTGAAATTATAATTTTAGAGTTTTATTTAGAGGAATGCACCCCACTGTCATGTAAGCATAGTTGTTAAGTGGCTGAAACAAGAATTAAACTAGATAAGTATTTATTTTTTCCCCACTTGCACTATCCGACAGGGACCCAATTATTGATGATAAGTGAGAATGAATTTAAATCGATTAGCTTATTGTGAATCCACCAGAAGCCATAGTAGTTACCAGGAGAGACCGCGTGAAAATAGATCTAACAAGATACATTGACATAGTGCGCTATTACTTTACAAGTTATACTAAATAAATTATTACCATCATCTTTAAATGCATTGCGACCTGCCTCTGCCCAAAACATCAGTCTTTGAACACCATGAGATAATCTCAACTGTCCATTATCCGTTATATTTGTGTTGAAGAGCCCTGATATTCCCATCTGTAAAGGTTATAAAATATTATAGGTAGTGATTTTTGGAAGGTGAATGTATCATATTCTAGAAAAACACATATTCTCATCGTATTTCACGAGGATCTAATTAAAAAACCGTAGGAAACAACTAACTATAAGTATTATAGATATGAAGGTTTTGATGTTGGATGTTTATTACTATTACGCTTACTTATTAAACTGAACGGATTTATTTAAATTTTGTACACATATAGGTCTGTTCCATTTTAGACTAAACATATTTATACTCGTATATTAAAATACGAAACAAGCCGTAGAATACAGTTAACTCCGCAGAATACACCATTGAAAATATTTATTAAAAACTCCCACAAGATAAAAAAAACTAAACATGCAGGTTGAAAAGTGAATTCTCAAAATTCAATTTCCAGTAAAATCAAAAGTTAACTTGTAAATAAAATTTACTTAATTTTCCTTACAAAATTAAGACTATATCCTCAAATCACAATTAAACGAAAACGGGGATAAGGAATTGTTAGCAGTGGAATATACAGCATCATTGCTAGAAATATACCCTATCAGAATGACCTCGACGCGGTTCCCTCTGGAAACCACCGTGGTTAATTCTAGTAAAATTCGTCATGATAAGCTATGATTTGCTTTTATACTCATTTATTGTTACTCAGTTTTTTTTAATGGGTGATAATGGAATGGTAACCCCGCCTGCGCTATCGGGATATGCTGGCGGAGCACCAGTGAAGAAAGTGAGGATGAAGCAGGTCAGTTCGCCTATTGTGACGAATTTAACAAGAATTGTTCACGATGGTTTCCAGGGGGAACCAGGTGAAAGTCGACCTAATAGGGCATATTACTAGCAATGGGGCTGTCAAACTCCATTGCTTACAATCCCTTTTCCCCCTGTTACTCACTGTTGCTCCGTCAAGATATATTGATATTGCAGGCGGGGTTACCATTTCAATATCACCCATTTAAAAAAAAACACAACAGCAGAGTAAGTTTAAAATTACCTACCTATCTATGGTGTCTTTCTACTATCTCAGTGTAAAAGCTATGTGACGAGCGAAATATTAAATTATCTACCTAAATAGAACATAACTTTATTTGTTTACGCCGGTGTGATATGAGGCTTACCAAATGTTTGATCTATTTAGATTATAGAAACTACTAATTTATTTATAAACAGTTTAGAATGAACATTACCTAACAGCATTTCGATTAGTAATTATGGTAGCATCTTATATCGTAACAAAACAAAGACTGTGGAATAATTAGATGATCGATTTAATCCGATAAACCTAGTTACTTACTGTTTGCAGTTTACTTGGCAGTAACAGCGTCATGCGCAGTGTGTATAGCGGTAGCGTAGCAGCCACCCTCATGGTGGTCATTTTTTCTGTAATATCATGTAAGGTATTGGCAACTACATGGCTGGCCAGCTTTCTTAAAGATCTTCCGCGAGGCACCAATATGAGAAGAGTGAGGCCAGGTGTCGCATAAGCTACCTCTATAGCCTATCAAAAGGAATTATCAATTACTATCCTTTCTGTTACATAGATATCCCATAATAGATATACATGCTCGTTAAGAATATTTCTTTTATTTTTATTATTTCTGCCGTTAACTGTCCACTGTTTAATACATATATAAGGCTTCCCCATAATTAGAGTTTTGCCAGTAGTTGTTACGCTTGGCAGGTGGGTTAGAAAAAGAAGTTAGGCTTTTAGAGATGTTTTAAAAAGAACGCTGCTGTCCATCCCTCGTCCTCCCTTGGTCGACTCTTACGACACCCACGGGAAAGGAAGGGGCGGCCTTCTACGCCAGGGCCATACGGCGAATAGAATAAAATTATATCTACTTAATATTAAACTGCGCTATTCCTGAGAAACAAAAATTCTGTGTCGTACATTTCAATTATTAAACCGCCTTGAACTAACGTTTGTTCTAACTTGAGAGATAGGATAGTTTTTATTCTCACATCTCACACACACTCGTCAATATATACAATATTCTTCGTGAGAGACTGCAAGAAATTCAGATCTAAGGACGTTAATTGTACCTAAGTAACATATTAATTATTAGGGTTCCGTATCAAAAAGGTACAAAGGAACCCTTATGGTGCGACTTTGTCAGTCCATTCGTCTATTCGTCTATCCGTCCATCCGTCACTTCGTTAAATCTCAGCAAATACTTATGCTATCGATTTCAAGATTGTATTAGTTTACATATAATTGGCTCACATATTTTACAAAGGAAATAATTGAAAAAATATTTTCTTTGCTAGGGGGCCTGTAAGGCGTACTTTAAATTTTAATATTAACCTACTAATACAAGTAGGGTATTATATAAAAAGGCTTCATTTATACATTCTAAAACTGATTTTTGTTTATTTTTATGACGCTTAATTTTTTAGTTACGATCAAACATGTTCCTTCCCCCCACTGTTTCCGAAGTCTCTGAACCAAAAAATCTGAAATAATTAGAGTTCATAAAGATATATGTAAATATTACAGAAAAAATAAAACGATTTTCTATGTTAAGTAGCATCGTTTTCGAGAACTTATCAAAAAACTTTCAAAAATAAACTTAGTTATGCGGTTCCGTTTTAACCACAATTATTAATTCACAATAAGAAATTACAAAATATATAATAATATTATATAATCAATAAAAATAATTATTTGGTGTCTATTTCGTATGAGAAATGCAATAAAAATTATTTTGTATTATATTTATATATGTATACATAGAACCCTCGACATATTAGTTTAATTCACACCTGACCGGTTTTTTTAAATGTGACAACTTATAAATAGTTCGTTGTCACTACGTAATCTAAATAATAATACAATATACCACACAGCAGATGGTATATATCATTCAATTGTTATCGTTGGGGGGCGGTGTACCGTATCAAATTTTCTAGTGATTTAAAACTAGAAGAGATTCAATACAGACATAGTCACAACCATGCATCCGGGCGTAACAGTCAGTATCTGGTTATTTTTTTTCTCGTGGCCTGTCATCAACGCTGAAGACTGCCCTCCAGGGCGTGAAGAAGCGAGGCACGAGGAAGCAAAATTACATAAGGATTTATTATGTGCTTATAGTTATGAATATCGTCCAGTTACTGACCACAAGAAGACAGTCACTGTTAAGGTTCGGTTCTCAATTAAATATTTAAGCTTCGATGCATTGGAGGAGACATTTACTGTACACAGTTGGGTGGCAATGTCTTGGATGGATGAGTTCTTACGTTGGGATCCAGCTGATTACGGTGACATTAAGGAAATACAGATGGAAAGTCATGAAGTTTGGACACCACGTATGGCGTTGTTCAATGCTGATGCAACTATGTACCAATCGGATCTGTTTTATACTACCTGTACTGTAGATTACAGAGGAACTGTCACTTGTGTACCACATATCGCGCATTCTGGCATTTGTCGTACGTCATTGACGCGCTGGCCTTATGATGTACAAAATTGTACTTTATACTTCGGATCTTGGATGCACAAAGGAGAACAGGTAAATTTCACTTTCTATAGCAACCAACCGATTGTCACAAATGACTTTCAGAATGGACCCGATTGGAAATTACTTAAAATTACGAATGAGCGGTTACCAGGAGTATATGCTTGTTGTCCCAACGACACCTACCCAATGTTAAAGTATACGTTTGTATTAAAGAGAGAAGCGGCAGGGCCCGCAGCTATTGTCGTGGTACCATCAATCGTGATAGTTTTAATAACACTATCTTCTGTGCTGCTTGGTGTGAAAGATAACATTAGACTTATGTTACTCTGCTTTAGTCTTTTTGGTCACTTTACATTTCTCACTGAAATCGGATATGATATTCCAAAACATGGTGCAGATACCCCTATAATATTACTTTTTGTTCGTGACTCAATGATAGTAACATTGACGGCGATATTGGTAACATTATTGTTAATGTCTCTGATCAAGCGGAGCTTACCAGCACCAGGTTGGATGATATCTTTAAACCGACTATTAGCTAGCGGACCAGGAAAATACGTAGTCTTCACAGAATTCGATCCGAATGACTCTTCTAAGCACAAACTCGCGGAAGAGGATGGCAATGCACAAGAAGAAACAAAACCATCTACTGACTGGATACAGTTCGCTAATTTGCTTAATAGTTTTATGTTTATTGTTATATTTTTAGTTTACTTTATTTTAATTTGCGTTTATATCCCTTATGACTAAAGTCATTAAAATTGTATTTTATTGATGTTCTATTATTTGATTATAAATTCTGTTTTAAAATAATTAAATATCTCGGATTTTGATATTGATCTTCATTATTATATTAGTACCTATATAGTATACAAATATTCATAATGAAGTTAGGAATAAATTTATTTCCATTTGAACTTTTAAGTCTAATGTTACTTACAAGAGTATTACATATTTTCTAGAATTTATTTACCTACATCATACTAGTGTATGATGCAAATAAATAATTTCTTGTATTTATTTTAATAAGGATAAATTTATGTTAATTGAAACCTAAATCTTCACACCTAAATAATTTTAAAAACGTTAAAAGTGTATATCTAGTCAAATAATATATATAGTCTACTATATATAAGAACGGTTTTTTTTACTTACGGTTAAATTGCAGAATTTACTAACCTCAGCATTACATTCTGTTAAATCCCCATAACGCATGATGTCATTAATGCGTATCATACGCACAGTCCTACGGGGGGCGCCATCGGCGTCGCGAAACGGCCATGAACCATTTAGTACCGTGGGGGCGGAGCGCCAACGGCCGCGGAGGTACAGCGTGTTCATTGCCAGAGCTCGCAAGCCTTCGGAAAACTCTTCCTCTTCAAATGTATCATGCATCGCGCCTTTTGAATCTTCTTCCACCTAAATTTATTTGATATTTATTATCAAATCTGTATTATTCTCTTAATCTTGTCAGATTAGAATTTCCCGAAAATTAATGGTGGCCGGCAAACCGGCTAAACTACCATATGCTGCTCAAATGCATGTTAGCACGAAAAGTCACGTATCATCTTAATGTATATTGTTATTTGTAAAACTCATTAATTTGTTCAATATAAGTGTAACTGTGGTGTATTTGTGGTAAACAAGCTTATATCACCTTTAAGCAGACATTTTGGGCCTTCATTTATTATAACTTTTAATATTAATTTTATTATAGTAAGTAAGCTGATACCAACAACTCTTTTTAAATATTACTGGTTAGTAATAATAGCATAAAAAAAAGTAATAGCATATTTAATTATGCTAACTTTATAGGTGTAGATTTAGTATCCTAGTGGAAATAAAAGTATCAAATGATTCTCTGACATTAAATATTATTAAACAACTTAGATACCTGACGAAAAGACATAACCGTCACCTATAGATTAAAAAGTATTAGATGAACATGACAGAATTTACTGTAAAAACCTTGGTACTTCTTTTACGCAGTGTACAAAAAGCCATCGATAAAATTATGGAAATAAAACGTTTCTGCATTTAATTTTTTTGCATTGCATACTATGACTATTATGGTATGTATTTTTTTGCACCTTGGCAAACAAGCTGACGGCCCACCTAATGGAAAGTGGTAACCGTCATCTATATATAGACTTGAGCAGTACTATGGACATAACAAAGTATACTCTTTCGCCCATGATACCATGCGTTACCATTCCTGAGGACTCAGGTGTTATTCCTTTATACCCTATAAATTCTCTGCCATATCCCATCCTTCAAACCAAAACACAGCCATGCAAACACAACTGCTTCACTGTAGAAACAAGAATAGGACAGAGGTATCCAAGCAAACGACTTTTGTACAAAGTATTATCTAGTATTTAGTAACAATATCTATATGATTGTCGGTACTATTTATTATTTGAACAATAGTATAAATTGATGATGCGTGTTAATACAAACGCATGCCTAAACAACGGCGGACCAACATAAGACGTAACGTGAAAGCCATGCTATAGGTACGGCACACCGGTCGCGCTACTATCCTGCAAATTTTTATATTCATTGCACGATTGAAACATCCTCTGTGTAACACATATACTTTCTATTACGAAACTGTCGTATTGTCGCTCCTTAATTCTTATTATGATGCATTTACTTATTTCAAATTTAAAACAATAAATATATTGTTTACTGCATAACTGCACCAACTGGACTATTTATTAATATTGTTGGTACAATATTAATGGTACAATAAAAGAGACACATTGGTATGTGTCGCTTAATAAGTAGGCATGTACCTTACCATGCGATTAAGTTTCTGTGAAAGTGACTGAGCTGATTCTTCAGGATGAAAATGAACTAAATGTAGTTGTAATGCAGCAGCAGCGCCATGTATGAATTGTTCGCTGACGTTCTGACCGGCCCCCAAAACCAGCCGCGACTGCCACCGGAACACGAGGTCCATGTTCGTATTCGGTAATGTTGGTAATACAGCCTTTATTAGTTCTATTTTATCCTAATAAGAAATATAAGTAAAAATTATTTGCATATTATTAATCGTATAGATGGTGACCTTGGCGATGTAGTGGCTTAACATACTAATAACACATAATACAAAAAATTATAATCATTAGTATTTCAGGTTTCAGGTTCATTCTCCCCACGATACGAACATTTGCATAATGACCAAATGAAAATAATTAAGAATATTTTCTATTGCCTTCAAAAATGGCGGAGGAATTCAATTTGGTTATATTTTTATGTCTCTATACTCATAATTTCGTCAGTTATAAACTGATCTGGAAAATTATTTTTTATCTGAAAATATATACTTTCAAAATAGTCCTATAAAAATTTTATCAAAATCAGTTTTTAAATCACCACAAGTTGCTTTTGCCACAACTGAAGTCGGTTTTTTTTTTTTGTGGAACGTAATTTCAAATTATGTATGTATATTATACTAGAGGAAAACCTAAAAAGACAGGAATGCACTGTGTGAAAAACGATATGGCCAGAATGGGAGTGCATGCGGAAATGATTGTAAATGGAAAAGAATAGGAGAGAAAAACACTTCGCCAACTTCAAATAAATAATTGGGATAAGGGTAAAATGATGATAATGAATCTTTAATTATCGGATTTAAACTGCACGGTCGCGTATCACGTATTAGCATATATTAAAAAAAAATTATAAGATATATATTTTTTATGTATGATAGAACAGTAACCCTGCCTGCGCTATCAATATACACTGGCAGGACACTAGCGAGTGTAAGATGATAAATAAGGATGAAACAGTTCAGTTAGCCCATAGTGCATTAATAAAAGAATTAATCAAGATGGTTTCCAAAGGGAACTGCGTGGAGATAAACCTAACAGGGTATATTGCTTGCAATGGGACTGTTAAATCCCCAATACTAACAATCTCTTTCCACCAGTGTAATGAAATTCAGATCTTTGTAATAAAATCACGCTTAAAGACTGAATGGATGATTAAAATGTAAGTTAAGCAATTACATTTCGAAAGTCGGAAAGTTGTCTATATGCATACCTCTGTCCCACTTGTTTCTGCTGTGAAGTGACTGTTTACATGTCTGTGTGTCATTTTGAAGTGTAGCCGCGAAATTACAGAGTACACAGGCATAACACTTGAGTCCTCAAGAATGGCAGCACATGAGAGTACCATAGGCAACACAGTATATAGTATTATGTGCTAATATTTTCCAGTAAGTGGGTTATGAACTTTCTAATGATCTATGATAGTATTACATACATACAATAAGATTATATGGTAAACTATAATATCAATACATACCGCATCTGAAATATGAAGTCCTATGCAATCGTCGATCTCTGCTTTTGTAATATTATCCACTTCGGTTGAAATTGCCATCAAATGAAGCTGCAGAAATAATGCTGATTGCACGAAGCTAATACCGTTCTCACGGCGTCCTTCTGAACCAGATGATGATAATTTGGTAAACGTTGTCTAAAAAAAGATTTTTCTTGTATCTAGCAGAAGATTTTTTAATATTCGTAATATTTAGTTTAGCGAATCAACTGTATAAAAAATAGTTCCTCTAATAGGACAGAACATGAACAATAAATATTTTTTCAGTCCGTTGGCAAGAAAACCGAACTCTAAAAAGTTAGTAATTTTCCCCCTTTATCTGTATTTGTTCTCTTTTTCTACGATAAATAGGAATATCCTCGGCCCAAATAAATAATACATACGGGTTCGAATCTCAAACCTTGTTTAATTGAACCTTGTTAAAATATTAACAAAAAAAATCATTAAGAGCGTTCATTATCGAATACAGCAATGTTTTAACTATCTGTCAATTTTCCAAAAACAATTGAAAATTTTCAACACTTTCGATTATATAAAGTATTCTACTAGCGAACTAAAAGTTTAATGATAAAATACGTTGCATAAATCTGCCACTAAAAACTTTGCAATGTTTTGGCAGCTTTATAAAAATATTATTACATGATTACCATTTTAATTTGTTAGCAAGAAACTTTTTAAAAAATAAATTAAAATCAATGAAAAATATTAAAATGTTTTTGAAAATTAACAGATACTCGTCATTGCGATGTACCCACACTTTGGTGAGCAAAAGTTATGAACGGTCTTAATCCTCGCAACAGTTCTTGGTACATGTGTAAAAAAATACTTAAAATGTAAAAAACAACACACAAGATTATTAAGTATGCTATATGAGTAGTTATGTTGACCAACTATTACTAACATTAACTATATCTATAAAATGTATAACAAATATGATACAAATTGATTCGCTTCATCAACTGACATTCATATAACTATGTAGGTATAAGAATATAAAAAGGTGGGATGTTACGTTTATCGCAACGGACTCTGGGTATACAAAATCAAATAAATTTCTAATATAAAATCCTCGCTAATTAGGTTAAAAAAGTGGGTTCTCAATTCACAAGTACGTATTTCTAAGACCGATTGTTACAGTTCTTTTTGGAAGTGATAGTTATTTAGTCCTATGTTTATATAAAATATCTCAAAGTTTCAAGATGAAGGTGTTTAATCTGTCAATGTGTTGCCAGTGCTAACCTACGAAACCGAAATATGGTGCTAAGCGGTTGCCCATATGGGCATATTTTTATATAAAAAGCTTTAAATTATTTAGCGAGCTATGAAGATTAAGATATTTCATGCTCATGATTGTAATCCATACTTTGACGTAACATTTAATTTTGGGGGTTTTTGCCACTTACCTATTTGAAGTGATAAATATTAATCAGTGATACTATACCTACATAGACTGCATCTAATACTCACCATATAAAATTTAAGTTCTAACTTTTCCAGAGCCTCCTTGAATTTATCTAACAGTAATAATTTATTTCCTTGTTTATTTGCTGTTTGTTTATTCGTGTCATTCGAAATTACTCCAGTTGGAAGCTGTACTAACGGTTTTGCTATAGGTCCCAAAACGATTGGCATGTTACTTGGTTTTATTATGTCACTATTTGTATACAATTCAACAGATGTATTGGACGGTTTTAGCGATAATAACAAATTATTTTTATTGGCGTCAAATGATTTTCTTCCATTAATTGGTATAAGTGAATGTACCGATTCCATTGGTCTCGCAGGTAAACTAGATTTGTCGTATACTGGAAGGAGTGGTTGGAGATTGCCGACCATGTTAAAATTACGATCATTTTGATATATCAAGCCATTCAATTGTTTATTCCTTGGTTGCTGCAACCCAATTTTTGTGTTCAGATATGAAGTATCAATCACGATATCTTTGGGAGTGATGATACAATCGGTCCAATGCATAGGAACATAACATCTATATGGTATTGATTGTTGTTTTCGCACAGACTGTAGCGGTCGATAAAGACCTGGCCATTGTCCAAATGGTTTAAAATATGATATATCATAAGCCGTGGTGTTCATCTTCTCAATTTTTATACATAATAACACAATTTTCACTATTAAATTAAATTTAATAAACATTATAAATACGTAGAATTATGCTTGGTTAATTGGATTATACTTTTTGTAGTATAAAATAATTTTAAAATACGAGGGTCTATAAATTTAAGTTTACCTATCTAACACAAGGCAGATAGACACTCAGAGAAATAAATATAAGAAAAATGTAATTACATGGTGATTTAAACAACATTAATTTGTCATACCTAATTAAAAACTTAGGTTTGGCTATAGAATTTTTGCCACCGAAAGTAATACAAATATAATGAAAACTAACAAAACACCACTACGGTCACTACCAAGGCGTCCGAGACGTCTTATCAAACTACAAGTAATGCATACATACGCATGTATTTACAGCCATATCTGTAATAAATACATTCTGTTCCGCTTACCTTAATTAAATGCTTAATACTGAATCAATGAGTCTTAATTAATAGGCATTCCGTATATTACTTTATTGACAGTGGATATTGAGTTTTAAGACTTGCTTAGCCTATTAAGTTATATACAGAAGTTAGTTATAATGCATGAAAAATAATATACTTAGGTACTTACATAGAAAAAGCTGAAACTGGTTATTTTTATGGTGAAAATGATAACCCCACCTGCGCGTGCGGGGTCAGGGATTCTTAGTAGTGAGTTCCAAAAGTCCCATTACTAGCAATATACTCTAACAGGTCGACCTTCACGCGGTTCCACCTGAAAACCATCGTAGTTAATTTTTTATACATTCATCACGATGGGCCAACTGAGCTGCTTTATCCTCACCTATCATCCCTCACTGGTGCCCCGCCAGCATATCCGGATAACGCAGGCGGGACGACTATTCCATTTTCATCCATTAATAAAAATCTCCATCTGCGCTAGCCATATACGCTAATGGGGCACCAGTGAAAGATAGTAGATGAGAATGAAAACAGGCCAGTTATCCCATCATGATGTATTCATCAGGAATTAGCCATGATAGTTTTCAGCATACTCGTGGAGGTCAACCTGGTTGGGTATATTGCTAGCAATGGGATATTAGTCTCCATTACTAACAATCTTTTTCCCCCAGTAGCTGAGACTGGGTATACAGTCACTTGGAAGGGCAGATTAAAAAGTAAACAATATTATTATTTTATATATAGAAGTAAAAAAAATACTGCCGTGCCAATAAATCATTATTTTTATTTGGAATGCTATTTATGGGAGGTTAGAATATTTTGTTGTTTTTGAATTATTGTTTTATGAAATTTGTCCTAATATATTCAATAGCATTCGTTGATTTTTCGTTTTACTCATGATTAACTACTTCGATTTCACCTAATCTTATCTAATATTTTCACCAAAAAGTACCTATTTGGTAAACATTAGTAAAACACGATAATAAATATTATGCAACCTACGTATGACTAAAATTATTTATGTAAATATTAAAAAACTGTTTTACTATGGACTTATGTCTTGCAAGGTAATTATTAGCGAATATTTTAATTTCCATTTAATAAATTTTTATGTAGAATACATTTTTGATTATTTTTAATTCGTATAATTTTGGGAAGGAATTCCTGTAAGCCTTTTACGTAATGCCAACTAATAATTTTTTATACCTTCTTTACAAGGAACCAACCGTATTTATTTCTTGCGAATACTGCTGATCGTTAAACTAATAAAAAAAGTCGTTAAGTAGTTTTTAATAGTAAATAACACCACTATCGTTGTAAATTAAAGCATGATACTTAATTATATTATCATTATAAGGTTGTCTGTAAGTCATTTCCCTAACGATAAGACCGCTTTTTGTACCGTTGTCTATATTTTGATCTCTACTTTATGCTATTGTATTTCTCTTGAATTTTTTATTTCTCTTGTATATTTATATATTTTTAGTGTAATAAAGAGCTAAATAAATAAATGCATTTTACTATTTGTATAAATTTCAAAGTCCAAAAATGACTTCGAATAAATTAAGATAGTGTTCACAAAAAAAAAATATGGCAAAACCATTATTATGATTTAAAAACTGAACTACTGAACCGATTTTGATAAAGTTTTAATAGCACCGATCTATGAGTATCTCCTTTCAGAATTATGAGGCAAAAAAGGAATTGAGAACTTCTTTCTTTTTAAAGTCGGTTGAAAAGAAATGAACCGCACCGATGACAGACGCAATACAACTACTCTTGGTTCAGCGTTCGTATCTTTGTCGTTATCTTTATTTGATAATCTTTATGTTAATTGTCTTTATATCCAACCTAACCTAACCTAATTGTCTATCACAGAATACTGTATTTTTTTATTAATTGGCCTTAAAAGGAACATCGCGTTCCATAATGCTTCGACCTTGATTTATACCTATTTTAATGATAATTAACTGTGACAGTATATTAATAAACTAGCTGTTACAGTATTTGTGCGATAAGGACAAAATACTTATTTATGCATTATAAACTATTCATTACCTCTCATCATATTATACCATTTATTTCGTTTGTTCCTTAGCAATTATTTTTTTTATAACATAGTGGGCAAACGAGCGTGCAGCTCACCTGATGGTGATTTTCGCCGCCCACAATTGCAAATACGCTGCCGACCTTTTAAAAAGGAATACGAGTATGCTTTTTTTCTTGAAAGTTACTATGTCGTATCGTTTCGGAAATACTGATGCAATCATTTCGGACTTATTATATTCATAATATTGTAGATGCCAGAGGGAGACTTTGTACAAAAGTCGATTGCTTGGGTACCTCTGTCCTATTCGTGTTTCTACCGTGAAGCAGTTGCATGGCTATGTTTCGGTTTGAAGGGTGGGATATGGCGGAATTTACAGGGTACAGAGGAATAACATCTGAGTACTCAGGAATGGCAACGCATGGGGGGTATCATGAGCGAAACAGTATACTCTGTTATGTTCATGGTACTGCCCATGTCTATAAGCGACGGTTACCACTTTCCATCAGGTGGGCCGTCACCTTGTTTGCCATGCTAAGTTGTATAAAAAAAATTAAGAAATAATAATTTTCCGAATTTGAATATTTTTAGTTCTGTTTGACCCGATTTGGATGAAGTTCTTATAAAACTTATTATTTGATTTTACTTATTGCTTAAAATGAAATAAAATTGTTATATTTCATTTTATAAAAAACCAATGACTAAAACTTTAAAGTATAAACATATATATATATATATATATATGTATATATATATATATATACACAAAATGAATTATCAATTATCTTGAAACTCGCTGTAAATCCATGAGATGTCGTATGCTGTACGTCGTACCGGATACTAGTATTCGAATACTGCACCTAGTTGTTGCAGAAGACATTTTTGAGATTATCTTACGAAGCTTATAGAAAATTTCGATCCGCTAAAAAATAGCGACTTCAATCATTATCTATATATCACGAAAGCAACACTTAAACGTTTTTGCGATTGTAAAAAAAGTTTAGAATTCGCGAATATTTCGCGTCATAAAGTTATACACATATTTTAATGACATACATAAAATATCTAATCCATTGGCGTATTTAAGGGAGGAGAGTTGGCCGTACCCACCTCAAAATTGTTTGGTGCCCACGTCAGGATGCGAATGGAAATTTTAACTGCATGAAAAGACATGTAGTGCAGAGTACCTACATAATGGAAAATAATCTCAAATACCCCAAAGATCCTGTCAAATTGAGAACGACCTTTACTTTGTAAAATATTTATATAGCTACTTGAATAAAAATTAATATAAATCATACTAATTCACCTCTATACGCAGTTAGAAACATGGGAATACTTTGTACACCGTTCTTGAATGTTTCTTGAAGTTTTTGAACCATTAAAAGAAACAGGAATGAATGGTCAGCAGTAAAAATAGCGTAAGAAGTAGTACAGAACATGACCACATTGCCAGCTGTGAACAAACAAGTGATGAAGTCACTATCACAGTCGCCTGTTACTGTTGCATATAGTTTAGTATGTACATACTAAGGTACTAACTGTAATTATTGGTGTTGCAATCAATAGTAGGTATATTTACTATCATACCTCATCATCATTACAACCATCCACCATATAATCATTACCTGTCCATTGTACACCATTGAACACTGAGCCATTTGCAACCAGCAACTCCCTGCAACACTCTTGAGATGGTCAGTTCATCTCATCATCAGTATTGTAACTTGATCGCACGGGGTCACCACTCGTAAATCTTCCGTATCGGTTGCTTGAGCTATATGGACGACCCACTGCCAGTTGTACTTTACATCTTTATTTGCTCACGACTATAACAGACACAATCTTTGTTGGGATAGTCAGAGATCGATCGAATGTTGTCAATGTGTTAAAGATAGAATTTGGAATGCAACATTTAGAAAAACATATATATATATTTTGGTGGATGAAAATGGAATGGTAACCCCGCCTGCGTTAACAGGATACGCTGGCGAGGCACCAGTGAAGGGTGATCGATGAGAATGAAAACAGGCCAGTTAGCCCATCATGATGAATTCATCAGGAATTAACTATGATAGTTTCCAGAGGGAACCACGAGGAGGTCGACTTGATTGGGTATATTGCTAGCAATTTTTAGTCTCCATTACTAACAATCTCTTTCCCCCTAGAAAAACATATTAGAATCCAAAGTCGCAGGGGGCGAGACTATCGCTATCACAAGGATTAATTTAGTTTGTTAGGTGCCTTCCGTCACCGGATAATAAATCAAGTTGTTAGTGTTTAGACTTCGGAATCTGTAAATTTATTACTAAGTCAAAACGTTCTTTATTATTTATTTCCCAAATTATTTATTTTAAAATCTTGAATGTTTGTGTACATTATTGATTTCTACAAGTATACTACCTCCGACGGATTGTACCCGCCAAGATCGTTCGTCATACACCTCTCAGGGTACCTTCTTTTCTACTAATCTACAAGAAAATTTAACAAACCTAGCTGCGTGGAGGAAAAAGCCATTGGTAGTAGGTAAAGGGAGTTAACAATCCCATTGTTTGCTAATTACTAGCATATTTGCTACAATATGTCCTATTTATTTATTTATTTATAAATTACTCACCACACTTACAGTTTTCCAAAACGTGTAGTGAGCCATAAGTTTATTTTACAAACTTAAAAATTTTGAACAACATTTTAAAAATATATTTATTTTGTCTTTAAATATATCAATATCTGGCTGCTGAGCAATCAGAGAATTGAGCAGAGAAATAGCCTGATAAGTAGGAGCAAACTGAGCAGTACAGGTGCGAACCGGCGGTGCCGATAGTAATCGACAAGCACGCAATCGCATGCAGCGTTGAGGAGCGTACAAAGAACCACGGCTAAGAGTTGCAGGATTGTCTATTCCGCCGCTGAGCAACCGATAATAGTACATCATCAAATTATTATCATCTATTAGGTCGACCTCCACGCGGTTGCCCCTGAAAACTATTGTGATTGATTTATTGTTGAATTAGTCACGATAGGTCTACTGACATGCTTCATCCTCACGTATAATTCCTCACTGGTACCCCGCCAGTGTATACCGTTAACGCAGGCAGGGTTACCAATTCATTACCATCCAATAAAAAACCCTAGAATGCGGCTAACTGAGAGCAGGCAACCCAAGTGCATTTTCTTATATTTTCGCTCATCTCTCACCCAATTAAACCAATTTCAATAAAAAGTTTTACGTATAAGTATTTTTTATTTCAGCGGCGAGATTTTGAACTATATAGACACGACTGTTTCCATCAGAGGAGCTATCAACGTTGCAAAGAGATAATAAACCCATTATCAACTCATATCTGTATCAGAGCGTATTGTTATTATATAAATCATTGGGCAGATAATACATACGTAAATAATAATAGATCACATTTGCAGATGCCGACCGATATTATATCGATAGATTCTATCAAATACTTACCTGAAAATAGGTTTTTCAACTTTTGTTCAGGATTCTTAAATGTATATTTGTCCATTCCTGATAGTCCTCGCATTATTCCAAGGACGAAATAAAGCATGATCGTAACAACCCAAATGTAATAACAAGTCTGCTTGTGCACCTCCGTTTCACTCGTGTTTCTACTGGAGCAGGATATGGCAGAGAAATTACAGAATTCGGAGGCGTAACACCTAATTCCTCAGAATCCCAACGCATAACTAAGGACATCACGAAATATACTGTGACACCTATGGTATGAGCATCACAGTGTATTTTATACTATGTGTGACTATTTAGGTCTCGGTTATCACCTTATAACCAGTACGCAGTACATCATACTAGGTCTACTGTTACAGACTGTCAACTCGTTTACCATTACAAGATACACAAAAATAATTTGAGACTGCAATTTCGTATGTCTATGAAATAATATTTTTTTAGATTACTTTGTTTAACATTTAACTATAATGACATATCAATTACACTATTTTCATCAAAGGGGCAGAATTGTACTAAAATATAGGTAGCATTCTGCTCCTTTTTCCGCGTGACCGGGATCTCTTGAATGACCGACCAAGATAAAAAGTAACCTGTCCCCTTCTTTATCACAAAATAATTAATTGAATATCATCCATTGTGATATTAAGATCTTAAAAAACAATAAATAAATTCATTTGGACTATGTGGAATTTTAAAACTTTTTGTTATTATGTAGGTAAGTATAATTATATTTTGGGTTAAATAGGTATGTAGTGTATTTAACGAAAAGTACTTGAAAGGAAAAACAGAATTACTTAAAAATATTTTATTTAATATTAAAAATCACATGTTAACCTGTAAACATTATTAATGACTTTATACATATACCCTCTTACTTATAAAAGCTAAAATAAATTTATTCGGTCCTTAAGTATGGTACTTATTAATAAATTAACGTGTACATACTAAATTAATATTTAATTACAGAGTAGAGCATGATTTTTATAAGTAAGGGGATAGTTTAAATGAGTAGGTGCAAATAATTTTTTAAAAGCATATCCACAGAGTAATATGGAATGATTTATATGTATAGTTACTTAATAGGTGGCTTAGTTTAAGAAATAAAGAAATGTCAATTTTTGTGCTAAGATGCTAAGAAGTGATAATAATGCTTATACATTCCCTGTATGAATAAAAAGATGATCTAAAAATATAGATAATATAAATGCAATACAGGCACATGGCAATGGCATTAATTAAAGTTACCTTTTCTATTTTATTTGGTTTAGATCAACTTTACTAAAACAGTCAATCGTCAATAGAAATGCTACAATTGAAATCAGAATGTTTTTGTCCCTCTATAAAATTAGGCATTTAGAAACTCGACATTCAACAATGAGTAACTTAAATGTTATTGATACCTGTAAACACAGCCATAAAGAGGGTAGTACTTTCTAAACCTTTCTTCAATAGTATTTTTTGCTTTTGACTCATTATAAGAAACAGGAATGGATGGTCAGCAGTAAAAAAGGAGTAAGCAATAGCACATAACATGACCAATTTGTCAACTACAAACAATAATGCGCTTAGTAAAGGAAAAATATATGTTAGATATCTTAGTAATGTTGGATGATGTCATCTGAACCAAAGACAATAAGAACAGTTCAGTAACCTACCTATGATTCATTTTTTAGAAGGCAATATTTAAATATTTTCAAAGGAACTCATTTTACCTATATGCATTATAGAAATAAACCCAGTATTAGGATATAGGTCACTGATTAGAAGGACAACTGCGTTCTTTCTACCTGCCTATGAGAGACCCAATTTGTTTCCAATATAATGAACTCAGTGCAGAAAATGATGAGTATTCCTAACTCAGACTAATAAAAAGGAACATCTTTTATTTTTTTTCATATTTTTTTACATATATAAATAGTAAGACACAAAAGACTATTTATAAAAGTTGCCTGCATGGTAACTTTTCTGTGTTTCGGCCGCGAAACTTTATGCTTCATGCACAAGGTTGCTTCTCGGTTTTAAATAAATTAAATATTTAATAATAATTTTAAAAGCTAGTAGTATTTAATCACACTAAACTGGTGCATGTATAAATAGGTTGATTCAGTGTAAATTAGACTACTCGGAATCCGTTAAGATATCTAGAGGAATATAACATTCACATTATTATGTGTATTTTATTTTTTTCTGCCTACCATTTTGTACGTGGATTATAGGCAGGCCAAGAGTCATTATTGAAGAGTACCGGATCGCAAAAACCTAATTAAAAGAATTTTTTTTTTTTACTTTTAACATATAATAGGTGCATTTATATGAAATAAAAGATCTAATGGACAAAATAGTATTTGTATTATGCTTCACAAATATAGTTATGTTAGTGAACACATATATACTGTATAAAAAAAATCTAGGAATCGAATACTGACAAACATTACTCTTAAATATAACAAATTATAAAATGTAGATACCGGCAAATAACTTAAAATCATTTTTGTATGACATGACCTGCACAGTAAATAACATTTTATATATAAAAGCGTATACTGTACAGACTTCCTTGGTTTGATTTAAGTTGTTTGCCGCCAACCATATAATGCAATATTAAACTCTTAAGAACATCAACAGTGAAAATATTAAGCCTTAAATTCAAACAGGTCAGCGAACTAAGCTTGTGATTGTGATTGAGAGAGCATTTATTCCTCCAAACCGAAGATTGTTGTATAAAAGAATGGAACATTATCGACAAAAATAACAGCCAAGAACGGTCGATCAGCGCAGAAGTTTGGTACTGGAGGCTCGTCTAACATGGCGGAGCACATCATCACACCCATCACTGAAATATATGTAATACACAATAATCCGATATAAATAATCATTCTGTTGTGATTACTAATTGATCTATCATTAGGATCTATCAATTATATACTGTTTTACGCTAAAACTTACAAGAAAAATGCTAGTAGGTACAACAAAAATACAACAAACACCTCAAGCTTACACGACACGAAATATGCACCAATTGTGATATTTTAAAGTAGCTACACAACTTGGCTAAAATTATATAATCAAAAATCCAATAACAGGTGTACATATCATATCCTCTTCTTATACTTAGATATAAAAATCATGCTACTTAGTAAATCTATACTATTATACCTAATTAGACATAATAACATCACATGGAGACAAAACTAATACTTTAAATATTAATTAGATACAGACCGAATAAATTTATAATACTTATACCCATATTAAACATTGGTCTTGGTTTTCTGATTTGACTAACAATGAAATAGTCTTCAACAGGATTAAAAAATATGCGCTTTCCAATTGTGAACGTGAAAGTAAGAGGAAGTTTACTCACAAAATGTATAGTGAAGTGAATTAAAGAAAATGCTGTGCATTGATTTATTACATTTTTCATAATACTCTATGTTTGCGATAATATATAATCAATTGTGAGATAATAGAATATGTATCTGCCTACTTATTAGTGTGCTTAGTATTATATTTAATCAAAAGTTATGGTGATTTTGTTGGAACAACATGTGAGGTTAGATTTCGATGACAATCCCGTGGCTTTTAATCTTTTCCTCGGTAGACACCGATGAAATACGTGGCGTGCTCGGAGCCGTTGAGGAGGTAGAGGAAGGGTCGATCGGCGCGGAACTCCGGGGACGGTGGACGTGCACACCGCATCATCACCACCATGCCTGCGCGGACATATAGCACTAAAGCTCGTCTCGCGGCCCCGGTGCCGAGGGCCGGTAGCTCGCCACCAGCGTCACGTGGCGGTCAACCAGCACACACCATAGAGCCGGCCGGGTGGCCGCAAACACTTGCACGCTGGCCAACGAGCGGCGAACACGCACCGAGCCAGCTGTCCACGCACGTGCACGCACACAAATACATAGCCCATTGACAATCCACGATCGTACTTTGTATAAGTACCGTTCCCAAAAGAATGTCCCTTAATATCAAGCAAAACCACAACATGCATCCCCGAGTGTAACATACACACTTATTTACATACATGTTAATAAATGAGAACAAAAAATTCTATTTAAAGCGAAAAAGTGAGGTCTCTAACAAGTATGAACAATTTTGAATTACAATAATATTAAAACAAGAAAACAGATTACTAGCTTTCGTAGTGAGAAAAATAACATTTAAATTAATAAATTCTTGAGACCCCGAGAAATATGCACATTCCATAATTTATTAATATTCACTGGAAATATGAAAACGTGAAAATAATTAAAATAAAAAATGCCATTATAATGTATGTAGACTAGTTAGTGGGTATATTTTTTATCTATCTTCAATGTTTGCAGTTGAATAACTCGAATAATTTTATAATAATGGGATAATGATTTTAATTTGCAGGAAAATTCATTAACTTTACTACTTCCAAAATCTACATGTATTTCTATTTCATTAAAAAGAACACTTCTAGTTGGCATATCAAGATATCATAGTGACTTAAAATATACAACAGATTTTATGTCACTAAAACTAAAATCAGTTTGGCGCAGTCATTTTTGCGTGATGCCGGAACAAATACAGACATAAACAAAAATTCTAAAAAATATTATTTTAGCTTCTATTGGTCTAATTAAGACTTCCCAAATATTTTTTTAACATCTTCTATGTGTAAATATCGTTTAGTTACAGTTTTATTATATTAGTAAGATATATATCTACAGCGTAGATTTCAAAAATATTTCCGTTTTATAGCAGTCGTTATGTAAATTCTTTTAGTAAGTAGCCTTGTATTTAGTGTTAATTTTTATGGGGGGGGGGGGGAGGTAATAATGTCTTCTTGTTTTAAAGAATAATAAATGAATAGAATGACAAGAACCCTATGACGCAATTGTTCACCACTTAATTATTAATTAGGTATATTAGTTATTAAACACCCAACACAATACCCACACAATATATGGAAGCATAATAAAATTATCCTTATCATACAAAGAATTGGACCCCTGCACCAATATTATACCATGCTATAACCATTCAAGTACACTTATGCAGAAATCTTTACATTGTATTAGTAAATGAAAGAACAGGTACAAGGCGCCCGCTAATGTCTCTAATTTTCAAATCATATTGTCCAATATTTTCGCCAGTTAGGTGAATAAAGTTAGAATATGCTCACGAATTCGACAAAGATAAATTAGCTAGTCAAATATAAGGCATGAGAATCTTATATTCAAAAACTAGAAACATTCTTTTTCTAAACTACCTATTATAAAAAAAGTATATCAGGCACAATAAATATAGCAATTGATGCCTTTTAAATTTTAGTTTTTCGAACTCTCTTATGTATTATACACTTTATTCTTGTTAATATAATAAGAAATGTCCTATTCATTCGCTTCAAAAACGTTACAAACTACATTTTTCAAGAAATAACAAGTAGAAAGCTACAGTTTTAAATTGAGCTCTAATTTAATAAAAAAAAAGTCGTCTGAACTTATTGGACCAGTTAAGTTCCTTGCTAAAAATAGCAATAGCACTATGGCTTATTTTTTACAGCTTTTCATTTTGCCTAACTATATGTTTCAAGATCTATTCAATAGTAAGAAATAATAATATTTAGTAGTAGTTCGAAATTTGTCTTCATTACTACGAGCTATAATATATAGGCTTCAAATACTACGAGCGATAAACAGTCATTTTCATGCATAAAGATGTTGTTCTTAGAAGGTGGCTTTAAAGTAGAATAACAAAAAGACAAACATAACAATTAGAACAAATAAAAAGAAGGATTTAAAATAAAAGAACAATGCGAAAATAACGATAAAATTTAAATCCACCTTAATGAACAGCACTAATTTAAATTTGGAAAAACTCTAACTTACCGGTCGCGGCTGCAGCTTCAGCGCCCTCTTCATTAACTTCAATAAATGCCTTCTGAATAGCTTTGGATACGTAAAGTGGTTCAGGTGCGTTTAATACTTTAGTTAATCCTGAATTTTGTTGGTTGAAGATTTGTTTAATTCCAAGCTTTAAAAAATAAACAGTTGAATATAGCATCATATTAAAATCATTCATCATACTTATCACAAGTTGGAGTTTTTAACTTAGAGCATTTACAATAAAATGATAGGTATGTGTAATGAAATAAAGTGTGGGTATGTGGTGGCGCAGGTGATAAGATCGTACGTTATAAGGTGATCAATTTCAATTGTTATATTTTATGTTACGTTATTTTTATACGAATATTCAGTATTATTTACTTTTAGACTCACATAAATTTAGATCTCTTTGATCACTACATAACAAACGAGTGTGGTGAGTCAATAAAAAAAAACTATTCTGAAAAGTTGCAATAAACAATTTTAAAATGACATAATTTTTTTTTACTATTACACAAACCGCTGGTTCTCTAGCTAGGATAACCTGTATCATAAGCAACCAGACTAGGAATGTCTGGGTATACAACTCCAATCATCTAGACCCAAGCTAATTCAGAAAAGTTATATATATATATATATATATATATATATATATATATATATATATATATATATATATATATATATATATATATATATATGTGTGTGTCATATATATAATGTTATTATTAATGTTATAATTATCATTAATGTTAGAGGGATGGGCAGCAGCGTCCCTCTTAAAACATCACCAAAAGCCTAACTGCGGTTGCCAACACGCCTGCTAAGCGTGACAACTACTGGCAAAACTCCTTTATGAGAGAGACCTATGTTCAGTAAAGGACAGTTAACGGCTGATATGATGATACTCATTATTACCCATACAAATTCAATATATATTGGATTATTTAAAATCGAACTAAAAATCGTTACGACTATTGCTCTAAATATAAATAAAGATATCATGATTCATGCAAATAGCTGCGTCTCTGAATAATATGCAGCATTTGATTCGTTCAAAGATATTTTTGTAAATCTCAGGGTTATCTCGACTAGTCTGGCCGACAATAATTATTAGGTACTAAGACGAAATCTTTAGAAAACTCCATTAAAACAAAATTTCCATTCCATTTTAACTTCATAAAAAAAAGGATAATTTTCCTCACACAAACTAGTGGAATTTTTATCAGTGAAGAAAATTGCGTTGAAAAAAATAAATATCAACTTCCTGATTACCAACTTGTTAGTACGTATAATGTAGAAAATTTAATGTTAGGTGATGGAAAGATTTGTTTGGTTAATTTAGGTTAACGTTTTAAACATGCGCCAATGTTAACAAGTTTATTTTGTATATCATACAAGATTATTTTACACTTCTGAAATTGATTCTACAGCTAAATCTATTTGAAAAATTTAACATATCGTAAAATATGTTACTTATAGTCCAAACTAGTGTTTACTACTAAAAAAAAGAAAAAAAGAAACAAAACCTAAAAAAAAGAACTGTATCTGATTGTGTGTGACTGATTGTAAATGCTCTAAAAGTGTAAACGTTTTAATTAATGAACCAACAGCTTTACCTTTGGTAAGAGAGTATTTAAATCGATTTCAGTTTCAATTTTAAACTTCGGCAATGTGACTCGCACTTTAGTAGAGTACATTTGATTGACGTCCTTCAACAGATCATAACCATCCGCTAACTTCTGCAGTAATCCACCTAAACCCTCAATTTCATTTGGGAGCACAACCAGCATACTTGCCTCGTTGCCAACATAATTCATTTTCAATAACTAAAACAAGCAAATAATCACATTACAATAATAATATTATGGCAAACAATTGGTCATAGCCCAAGCCTTGATGTCGATGAGCAGTTACTATATTATATACAGCTAGGACCTTAGATTATAAAGTAAGTTCTACTACGTTTATAATTAGGACGTGGTATGCTACCTCTGACTCAGGTGCCGTCAATATGATGCTCTGCGGTAGGCCGATTTCCTGTCACGTAGACCACACGCATGACGAGTACTAGATATTCTAGTGGACATCAACATGAAACCGATTGAAACATTCTGACGTCGGTCGACAGATGTATAAAATATGTACCTATGCCTATCAAATACGGATGAAGAGGGGAGTGGAGATTGGTAGTTATGGAGATGTAGCAGTTCCATTGCTAACAATATACTCTGTTAGGTCTACCTCTATGCGGTTCTTCCTGGAAACCATCTTGGTTAATTCTTGTCGAATTCGTCACGATGGGCTAACTGTCTAATTTGATCCTCAAATTTCATTCTTCACTGGTGTCTCGTCAGCATATACCGGTAGCGCGGACAGGGTTACCATTTCATCTTCACCAATTAAAAAAATATGGATGATGCTAAAAACTACTAACATTGTAATACGAGTGACTATCGAAATGCACGGTACAAATGGTAATTATTGTGGATAATTTATAAAGTCTATTGAAATTCAACTGGACATTTCGTTAATATCTCAGTTTTGAAAATTAATATGCACATACATATAAAGATAGGCAGACACGCATAGTGGCTATATATAACAAATATATATCACTGAAAACTATATATCAATAAAAACAGTTTATCTGATGTGCCATTCAAGCGTGTGGTAATGAGCACATATTTAGAAATACAGATGGCCTCAACAATATACAATTTATGGATAAGACTGGATTAGAATAGTTTTAGACAAATGCAATAATTGCAGTAACAATAATAAAAATAACTTAATGGAATGAGAAACAATAACAATTACTAAGTAGATGCTTTTTTACGTAAAATTGCTACTGCGCTGGCCGCATGCTCTTATTTATTGGGACCTATAATAAAGCTATAATTTATATAGTATTGAATAAACTAATATATCTTACCTGAGCCTGCAAGCCTTCACTTTCTCCATACCAAAACGTATCTTCTCTAAACATCATAGGCACATTTATTTTAGTATTATTATTCACGTTAAAAGGTTGATCCGATGTAAGATGTTTTTCAAATTGTTTCTCCCACGTTCCCTAAAGGCATGTCATCAATTTCCATCATTTATATTATACAAAAATATACAAGCGGTGTCATGTAAACTAAGCATTTCCTTTAATGAATTAAAATATATAAAAATGAGTTGGCAATTCACAGAAAAAATAATGAATTTGTGATAACTATTAGCTTTTACATAATTTTAACTATGACTAATAAGAACTGATAATTATGTGCCTTAAATAAAGAATGTATATTGATATAAAAATTATTTGATGTGATACTTTTCTATTAACTAGCTTCTACCCGCAATTTCCTACGCGTGGATTTTGGTAGTAGACAACCACTTCTAGATGGCGTATTAAAATAAAACATACTCCAGATTTTAAGTTAGACCTTCAGAAACACAACTATGAAAACCGTAATCAATTTGCTGAGGAGGTTTTTTCGTGATGAGAAAACAAAAATACAGACAGAAAGACAGACAAAAATTTCAAAAACGATTATTTTGGTTTCTATTGCTCTTGATAAGCTCCCTAATATAATATTTTCTTAATTAAATAAAAATAAAAATTTTTACACACACAATCTAGTAACTATTGTTATGATATACTATAGTGTAGTTTTTTATTTTTATTTCCTTCTAAATTTTATAATTACTCTAGCCACGACATATTTATATCGCTAAGTCAGTGAAAACCTGTTATTGGCTTTTTATATGGATAATTTGTTATTGTTTTAAGCTATAAATTGTAAGCTGTTGGTTGTCCAATAAATAAATTAATTAATTATCACTCATGTACCTACAGATATAGTTTACAATTTTTTTATAATAATATAAAATAAACACCTTGAAATACAAAGCGTTAACAAGAACAAGCCTGGTGTCGCTGTTAAGGCTGTCGGAGGATAATAGATCTTTAATTTTCTTATTTGTTTTATCTTCCACCTGAAATTAATGATTGATTTTAAATAAATTAACAATAATACATATTTGAATTCAATTTAACATAAAAAAATCAAGATTGAATATAAAACTCAGCTTATTTCTTGATAAAATTAGTATACGATTAATACTTTAATTACAAAAAGAATCATCAAAACCAGAAAATAATAGTAAATAACAGTTTTTTTTTTATATTATGCAATACTTTCGTATTGCACAATATACAAAAAAATACAATTGAATTAGGAACCTCTTTCATTTGTAAATTACGTGAAAAGCAATAAAACTAGAATTATTCACATTAATATTGTACAACAACAGTGTAAACATATAATTATCACATATTTTACCCATTGATTTATGTGAGTAGCAGCCGCAGCACCATTACTGAAGTTTATTTTTTCAATGCCAGCATCAAACACTGTAATAGCATCTTTCTTGAGTTCAGGAACTAGGTCATAATCACCTTCCATAATGTACACATTATTGGCAACATTCAATGTTACACCTTTAATTGATTTCAATTTCGAGGATACTGATGAGAAAGATGAACGAATCTAGAAATCATTGGTAGGTTATTTCTCTTTAATTATTGACCCAAAATTTAATAATATCATTAATAGTTTAAATCATATTAAAAAATATCTTTCACATTCATATTTAAATTTACAAGAATGCAAAATTGAATAAATTATATATTTGCGAGTATAGAAACTTTATAATTATTTGTCATATTTGATATCTAAACTCTTTTATACAAAGTAGTAACTGTAGTAATAAGTTTTAATACAAAACAGGAATCTTTAAAAATTTAAAATAAATAAAATGTAGAGAATACATACTGAATCATCGTCTGGAATTCCCAGTGAAGTAAGAAGTTCAGAGTGTGCAGTATCGGAGGTACCCAGAGCTAAGAGTGCTAACAAATACTCCGCCGACAGAGGTGATGATATAACACTCGCATTCTTATTAAGCTCCTACAAACAATTACATAAAAATTTTAAAGTCTAAAAATTAATAAATTTCATACATGGTTTGTTTATGTTATTCATACTCTATTATAATTTTTTTTATATTCATATAACATGCTCTTGGTAAAATACAATGTTTTGAATAGTTAAAATTTATAAAATTTTAAAAGGTGTGATTTTGACATGAGTAATAAAGTGTGTGTGAACATGAGAAATTAGTCTATTATGAGCTGCTAAGGCCTGAATATACCATTAATACTAATTGCTACCAACAACAAATGATTGATTTAAAGCATTATATTTAAAATAACCAGAATATGAAATGACCAGAAAAGGCAACATAAAGCAATTTTTCTTCAGGGGCTCCCTGTGTGATGGGGCATTATGCCCACACAGCAAAATGAATAAGGGGCATGATTAGGGGGTTTAGTTGGAAAATACTGGTGTGTAGCTTATTCTCCAAACTTGGCTATATCTGATTGTGATCTATTTGATTCACTGGCATGTCCCAGTGAATTGAATAGAACCTCTAGTTCTTATAAAAATGTAAGAAAATGTCTTAATAACTAGTTTATTTGAGAAGAACAATTTTTTTGGCATGGCATTAAAAAAACTGTAAGGCACTGATGTGCTATGAGCACATGTGGGATATGACAGTCATTTTCAAATAATAGATGTGTAATTATTATAACAAATTTCTGGTTTCAAACTATTTCACCTGATGCACCCCTTATGTTACTGACTATAATAAGTTACAGCAACCATTTACCATCAGACAGGAAGCTTATTCGCCATCTTTATAGTATTAAAAATATACCTAATCCAAATTAAATATAAGCTAACATAGCTAATGATTCATTTTGAGGTAGGTGAAAAATATTATAGAGGGTAGATTTGTTTTTTTTTTTTTTTAATATTATTTATAGAAATATATTCACAAATATAAAAATTACTTAAAAATTAAAGTTTCTAGATAATTTCTATTACAACTAAATACATACTTCATTTATCTACGTAAACTGCTTATACTATTGAATTTGATTTTTTATCATATCTATGTAACATACCTATGAAATTAAGTGCATGTAGGTGTGTATTAAATAGTAAAACATATTTAATTACTTATGTTTCCCAACAAAATAATAAGTACTCACATTACAGAACTTGGCAGAAAATTTAATTATTTCTCTTGATAAACCTTGGGCGTCCATGTCCGTTGAAGAAAACCTTACTTGTATCACTAAAAAGAGTAGAACTGAAACAGATGTAAATTTAGCTTAAAATTACTTTTTTTAAGGAAAATTATTGAAAATTGGGAGTAATTCGAAAAATTGTCGATGACATCACCTACCGGCTAACGATTACTTACTAGCCGATTATTGTGCGGTGCGATGCAAACACTGCCTATGCTTGGAATGGGTGAATCAGTCGAATTTCAAGGTCATTTTTTACAAACGTCAATATAATAGGTACATAAAACAATTCATAAATAGAAGCGCACGTGCACTTACCCAACGTATAGATAGTAGTCCGCATCGATAGATAAGTAACACTATGAACTGAACAATCGTAATGATAAAATTATTTTAGTAGGTAGGTTAAAATTCCAATCTATATAATCACTGATAGATATTTCAAGTTACCAATGAAACATTAGTATCTTATCATTAACTTTTATAATTTGCTACATAATTTGAATGTGTATTCTAAAATGTAATTAAATAAGCAGGAAACAAAATGACAAAAAAATATTGAAAATAACAGAAATCAATTTACAATCAAATGCTTATTTTGATTCGCAATTTTTTTTTGTAAACAAATTAATGTCAATGTCACAATGACAATAATAGTATTCATGCATTTTAAATGAGAAAGGCAAAGGAAGTAAGCTTTACAGCTTGATCTTCACTAGAAATTTTGTATTTTCATGTTTAATATCTTAATACTACAGACATACAATAATGAAGCAGACAAAGCATAAGATATTTCTCTTTTGCCCGCTACTACAGTAAATCCAAGAGCATTGCAGTAAACACAATGGTTGCGTAAATGTGTGGGTTATAAATGTTTTTATTTATTTGGTTTTTATTTATTTATTTTCTTTTTATCAATACGAAGTTTGTGATAGTCATATATTAAATCATTTATCAGTGTTCAATATTAATTATGTACAATAAAGATTTTGCAATACAATACAATTTATTCACTCATAATTTTTTTTGTTATAAACTTAAGTTTTATTTTAAAATTTAAGTTTACAACCACAAGTTACAAGCCACAGTGTTTCTTGCCCATTCTTCTCAATTGAAATTGCATTCTGAACTGGGCGATAGTTTCATAAAAACAATGACTATTCAAAAATGCTTATTATTAAGTTTACTTGAATAAAAATGTTTATTATTATTATTATATTAAAAGTAGACAAACATAAAATAACTTATTTTTTTTCTTTAATATAAAACTATTTCTATTCAGTTTTACTTTAGTTCAATTTCGAGCTAGGTGGTAAATAAAAACACAAGGGACTAGGCTGGTTGAGTGGAATAATAGTTAAATATGACACCAATAGCTATTTCTAATAGTAAGATGGACTAGTTCTAGAACAAATTGATTATTCAAGTCGCTTGATATCATTATTTTTTTCAGCACGTTATACTACGTCTTCGTTTCTTTCAGATAATCTATAGATTATGGATAAGTTAGTACTAGGCATTTTCGTTCTACAGAAAAAAAAGCTTAGTGCAATAACTGTGCATAGAAAAAATCAACTAAGAAAGACAACAATGGAAATTAACACTAACCATCGTGTTGTGTCGTTTTCGGTAAATAATAATTCATTTTATAACTTCATTTATTATCACTTATATTATTATATACTATTATTTTTTTGTAGATATTAATTAGTTATAAATTTAAGGCTACACGCTAACTATTTTTTACTGTAAATATTAATTTTCTTTATTTAGTTTTATTATGTATTATGTTACGTTAGATACGTGTAAGTAAGCAATTTCAGAAAAAAGTATTTTGTACAATTATATTAATTTATTCATTTATTATTGCACAACAAAAATTGTACAAATGGCGAATTTCATGCCATATGGTATTCTCATTCATTTAACCAAATATAATCATATTTGATTTTAATTTTTAATTGTTTTTCAAACTTTACTTGACTTTAGTTTGTCTTCAGTGTCCTTCTATATTGTTTAATATAGAAGGACACTGAATTTTGTGAAAGAATTGATTAAGTACCTAGATTCAAAAGCAAAAATTAACAAAAGTAAGTACCTACAAGATGTATTTTTATTTTAATAAACTAATAATCTGTTTATTCATAGATTATCAAATAAAATATAGATAGTTTCAAGGATTTATATAAAATAATGTTTTTGATTTCTGTTTCGTAACTTTGTGCGCTTTTTCATGGTTTTTTTTTTTCTTTTTATTTATACTAATATATTTATTACAGTCAATATTTTGCATACCAGTAACATAATAAAAATATTAAATTTGCATTGATATCAGTCTTTAAAATAATGCAATATACTGATTAATATTAAGTGGATATGTTATATTTAGGATCACTACATGTTATACTATATATATTATATATTCATATTGTTATTCAGCATCTCATATAAGATTTTTTTTTCTGATTCGTGTTTCCTATTAGTCTTCTATATGTCATGATCATCTCAGCCCTTACCTGTCCACTGCTGAACATAGGCCTTTCCCGTAGACTGCCACAAAGAACAATTTTGAGCCACCTGCGTCCACTGACTCCTTACAATGCATTTCAGATCGTCACTTCAATAATTGGGGGTTCGTCCTACGCTATGCTACGCCCATTGCTATTTCAACTTGCTTATCCTTTGGGTCAAGTCGGTGATTGGGTCTTTTGTGGATATCTCCGTTTCTGATTCTGTCACACAAAAAATATCCGAGCATAGCCCTCTTCATAGGGAGGGGGAAAGGGATTATTAGTAATGAGGTCAAATAGCCCCATTACTAGCAATATACCCTGTCAGGTTAACCTCCACGCATGGTTCCCCCTGGAAACCATCGTGGCTAATTCTAGTAGAACTCGTCAGGATGGGCTAACTGACCTGCTTTTATCCTCATTAGTCATCTTTCACTGGTGCTCGGACATTGTATACCGATAGCGCAGATCATTAGGGGAACCGCAGGGGTTACCATACCATTATCACCTATGAAAAAAAGCCCTCTTCGTAGTTCATTAAGTAATTTAAAACTTTTGCCTAAGGATAACCGTGTAGATCCAGATTTCGGTTCCAGAAGTCATCACTGACAACACGCACAGTTAAAAACATTCGTCTTCAAATATTGTATATTATTATTAATATATTATATAAGTAATTATTATAATAAACATTAAGAGCATTCACAACAAAGTATGATTAGGTAGTAATCAATTTTCAAAAACAATTGAAAAATCTTCAATGTTTCTGATTGATTATTTAATAAGTACTCTGCCTATGTAATAAATTGGAAGCCACGTAGCTTTCATGATGTACCTTCTTGAAGTTTCGAATTATATACTTCTTGATATGAACACTCTGTAAGCTTTTAAACGTGTCGACAAATTATAAGTGAAGAAAATTTATTTTTTATATTAAAATTTAGTTACAAATCTAAAAAAAGTGGTGTCACTAATCCCTTTAATATTGCACCTGTGCTGGTGTCTCTATATTTTAACAATGAAAGCAACTACATCTCACGATGCAAGCCAATAGTTGTACTGCATGATTTAGTGCAGAATACTTTACATGTTTAAAAGAATTTTCGAGGGAAATATCGGTTACAACATAAATAAACAAAATTATGTTCCCACTTACATTTTTTACATAAAACCTTTTCTTTAATCATGGCTATAAAACTTCTGTACATAGGTATGAAAAAAAAGTTAAGTGCAAACTGTCATCACAATCAATCATGGCAAACTTTTAAATTATGTGATTTTTATTAAATTCTAAAATTAATAATAAAAAAAAATCATTCAGTAAAGATTAAAATGTTAATTCGAGTAAAATGTTTAGACCATAACCTTGTTAAGTTTTATCTTGGCAAGATCAATGGGTGTAGAACATATAGCCTCTGCTGTCCTCCGCGTCCTCCTCCGGGTCAATGTGGGTGTCCATATCAAGTCCCAGGAGGTTGTCGACGCATCGTACCGCCAGCAAACTGTAGACCCGGACCAATAGCTGCTAATCCGTGTAGACCACAACACCATCATGGCAAAGACACTTGGAAGAAATACAAATATATTGCGCTGTTTATTTGCTTCCCTCTAATTATAGTACAAGGTTTGCACGCTTTTGGCAATGAAGTACCTCATAAAGGGGTTTGTCGAGATTATGAATATATGCGGATACGTACAAAAAGATTTCCATGGGGAACTGGCTATAAATCTTTTTTTCATAATGATCACGTTAATCATTTGCCTGGAGACTGTGAACCTCCGCCTCTAGACTGTGATTAAAATTCTATGTCCTAATTTTTATACAACTAAGCAACTGAATATATGCTGTTCATTGCTTTAAATTTTCTTTTGCAAAATTCAAATAAAATAAATGACCTGAATGTACCTAAATAATTTAAGATTTTAATTTAAAAATCTCGATCAATCTTCGAAATCAATCTTGACCATAATTTGTAGAAATGGTGATAACGCACGGAATACTTGCCTAACTCCTTTGATTGGGGCGCAAGAGGTTATTAATAATGGGGGTACAACAGCCCTATTGCTAGCAATGTAGCCTGCACTGTTAACCTGAAAACCGTCGTGGTTGATACTTGTTAAATTCATCTCGATGGGTCCACTGACCTGCTTTCATCCTCACCTATCATCTCTCATTGGTGCCTGGCCGTCATATACCGATAGCGCAGGCAAGATTCCCGTTGCATTTTCACCTATTAAAAAAACTCTTGATTATAAAAAAGTAGGTACTAAAATTCTTACAGAGTTCTCTAAAATTATGCTAAAACAGTATATCAAGTGTATACCTACCTGTTTATCGGAGATTAATAACGGAGGCTAGTAGCCTCATTGCTAGTCATATCTGTCAACCTCTAAACGGTACCCCTGAAAACAATCGTGACTAATTCCTGGTAAATTAAGTCAACTGTTCTAACTTTATTTTCACCCTTATTGGTAACCCGCCAAGGTAAACAAATAAACCTTTATATTATAAAGTAAGAAAACACTTGTATTACTTCAAGAGTATATTGTTTAAATAACTATATGATATACCTATGACTTATAGTTTAAAAGTACGTGAGTACCTTATACTATGTCTGTGATTTAAAATCTATATAACTGTTAATTTTAAATTCTTCGACATCGACAGGAATAATCGTCAGAATGCAAACCAATAGTAAACGCAGGGTAACTATTCCATTACTAACCATTACATTAAAAAAACTTATTGAACGATTAAATTCTGCTGACATTTTTTTTATACAATTGACAGTCTTTTTATGAACTTTAAAATTGTTTGATGCAGCAGCTAAATGTTATTTAAGGCTAACGCCCGCTACGCTTATGCATTCACGAGCATAGGTACCTACATTATTCAGTCTGACATAGAAAATCGTGCCTCTCCACTGATAGTGGTGATAAGTGTAACATCTGTTGTTACAGGCGTCCATAGGCTACGGTAACCACGTTCACTATCAGACGGGCCGTATGCCTATTTGTTACCATAATTGTTTAAAAAAAAATTTACTGGTACTAAAAATCCTACCAATGCTAATAATACTACTACAGTAACTCGCATTGCTACTTTGTCACCATCACAATAAGGGGTACTTGTATCTAAACTGAGCATCGTTGTTTCAGTCCATCAAGCTATTTACAAGTAGCAACTGGTGGGCGACACCGTATCTTTGGTGCTCACAGCACTGTCAGCATCAAAACTCGATTATCAATTGAACATTTTAAGATTTTCTAAACTCCAATACGCTGTAACATATAATAGACTAGATTACATAGGTATATACCATTGTTAATTTTCAACTAATTTTGACTTTATATACGATGCTCATCTTATTCTCCGCAATTACCTGTACCTAACTAACAATTTTGATTTGCTTGTATTTATTATAGGTACACTATTGTGTATACGATGTTTACTAGTTTTTGAATCAGCAATCAAGGCAGCAATCTTCATCAACTTTTGATATTGCTGTACCTTTTCTTTTATTGTCGAGGGGAAGTGCTCATGCAGACCCACACACCTCGTGGGAGGTATGTGTGTACTGCCGGACTCTTACCGGCTAAATCCCCCCGGTGCTCCTTCTCAGCGCTTTTATCGGGACGTGGGTGTGCGCGAGCAATCGTCCTATCCCGATCGCGTTGGCCCGCCACTTTATAAGGCGGACCCCTTCACTGGGTAACGGTGTTTCGTCATTGAGCACCCACGCACCTCCGTGCTCAGGCCATGTTGGTGATGGGGTGACAGCTGGCCCCACTGCTGCCGCCCCTAGCCCTTGCGGTGAAGAAGGTCTTCCTGTCTTCTTCGCCTGTGCCGCCGGCGCCTGATTAGTGGGGCGGAGGAGTTGATCTTTCACTCCCTTTCCGCCGTCTCCTTCTTTGACATAGCGGCCTCGCAAAACTCGAGGACCGCCATCTATATACTCTCGCTGGACACCATCTATCCGACAACAGAAGAGAGCGAGAGGTCATCTCCTATTACCGGGACCAAGGCACGACGCTCTTCCGCAAACACAGGACAGAACTCCAAAACGTGCTGCGCCGTGTCTTGGTCACAGACACCACACTCTTTGCAGCCAGGATCCTCCTCCCGCCTGGGCACCATATGCAGGTACCTACCGAAGCAGGTATGCCCGGTAAGCACCTGCGTCAGTCAGAAGGTCGGTTGATGCTGTACCTACTTCTATTCTTATTATCCCTCGTCGTTTTTTACGGACAACGGTTGACTGAATTCCATGAGGTAGGCTCGTGTGTACTCTCAGTAGACCCTATTAATTCTACGTGGTATTTTGGTACATAAAATTAAAAGATTCCTAGAAGCTGATTTTGCTCAGATAAATTCCAAATATTATCTGATTTTTTAGACTTTGGAACCTTGACATAAATGGCGTATTTGAAGGCGTATTTTAATCTATCTGTTATACAAAACCTAAATAAAATCTCCTTCGGATCTGCCCAGCATTAATTAGCTCTAAAGATAATAGTATATACTATAGAAGATACACATAAATAATGCAAGAAGGATACATTTTTGACAGGTTTTTTTTTTTGAAAGAGTGATTGTGCATACGGCGGCGGCTGTGCTTTGTTATGCGCACGCATTTTAGTCAAGGGGCGAAACGCGACGGCGCATTGAGACAACGGGCGGCGGCGTCGCGCCAGCAACTTGGATCAATAGATGTTCTGACGTCAGTGGACGGGCTCGCGCTATTGGTTCGCACGGCATTATTAAATAAACCTCCGTACGGAGTGGCGCGCAAAGGCTCGCGCCGCGGGCACAGCACCGCAGCACGCGGCGGGCCCGCGCACCGCTCGCGGCTCGCCGCCGCCCGCCATGGCCGACATGCCGGACCTTTCGCACCTCACGCCCGAGGAGCGCGCAATCATCGAGGGCGTAATGATGCGTCAGCGACAAGAGGAGCAGCGCGAACACGAAATCATGAGGTGTGCCTCACGTACACGCCCCGCACCCCGCGTCCCGCTACCTACCCCAGTCGCCATCATGTCTCCTTGTCTGTAAAATAAATGTGAATGTAAAAGTGTGGTGTTCTCGTAGATTTTACCAATTGGTTATATATTAGAAATGATACTTTATTTTGCATTAAGTGCTGTTTCTTTCTAATAAGCATATTGCCTACATCTCCTTTGTCGTGAACCAGTGTAAAATTAAATATGGCTTTAGGTATAATATATACATCAATATAAAATATATATATATATATACGTATATGATTTAGTTTAGGTATTGACGTACGCAAACAATATCCATTAGCGTGATCTATAATAGGAATACTGACCGTATCATTTACATCTGAAAAAATTGTGAACTGAAGTTGAATTAGTATCTTACAAAAAAGACTATTTATAGATTTATAAATCAGTTTAATCTAATCTTTTTGCGTATGACGCATTCCCATACCGATATAAAAAAAATAATGCGATAATTTAATTATGAACCATTTGTAGGTACTTTGTGCATAAGTCTATATAAGAGATGGATTATATTCGATAACTCTGAACTATCTGCTGAGAACTTTCATTGGACGTGCCAATAAAATTGAATAGGTATAATGTTTGAATAAAAATTGATTTTGTGAAGAAAATGGTGACGTCAAAACGATATTTTTTTAAGTGTATGTTTATATGTACCATATATTTTAAACAGTCTATATCGCACTTTATAAAATGTTTTGTGATATGTGGTAACAAACAAAAAAATATACATATATGTATCTATGTTCTTCAGTCTCACTGTACTCTGCAGTAATATGGACGATATCCATATTTTATCAGCTTTATCAGGATGGTACAAATTTATGTGACCTAATTTGTGACCTACATCAAACGTACTTCCTCTCATTTTATTAATTAAAATTAGATATTTTGAATTACTGACAGATTATTCTTAAGGTGATTGGGAAGTTTTAAATTTATTCTCTTTTGCTCCATTTGTCTTCTTTATCCCATATCCTGACAAAATTATCGGTATCTCAGGAGATACCTATTACTGAAGTTAGCCATAGGTATTTACTGGATTTCTACGTTTAATAGTAATTTTCGTACGTGATAGCAAGAGTCGAAAGATCAAGAAATTTTGAAATAGCCGTTAAGCACGGATTTTTATAAAATACAAAGTAGTAGATTTAGTTACGGTTTGTCACAAAGGATAATGTATATAATGTTTTATAAAGTCTTATTTTATTTTATAAAGTCGTCCATATTAATTTATAATCAAAATTCACGTAAACAGTAGCTGGTTCAGATAATTTTCTATTATGGTACCTGACCTACGAAACTTATTAATAAAAAAAAAAAACAACTTTCACAACGACAATTTTTTTTAATAATCGTTAACTCACACACACTCACAGCTATAATGGTAGTAACACATAATGACCAATATATATGCCTTGCTTAAAGAAAAGAAGAGATTTTAAGTAACGTATTCAAATGACCGCATCGCTAGCAATATCTATCAGGTCGATCTCGAAGACGCCCTGGAAACCATTGTGGTTAATGCCCTGACTTCATCCTCATCTATCATCACTCACTGGTGCTCAGCTAATCTATACAAATAGTGCAGGTGGAGTTACCTCATAAAAAAGCTATGTCCAAAGAAGACTTGTGATCATAAACCCCTATTCGCTCATTACCCTCATTTCGTAGCTAAGATATTTTAAGGTATGCGATGAATTGTGATGCTATTTTCACTATCATTTACTTATTGAATTTTAATATACCCAAACAGTGTAAAAGGCAGATTTAACACTAAAGCATTATCTACTAGTCTACTGTAGAATTTCGTCATTCATCGATAAATCAAAAATATTAGTTTTGTTATGAATGGTGTCGCTGATTTTTTTAGTTATTGTATTTTTTTTTTACAATCTTATATTTTGTTAAATGTCAGGTATCTACCGATATTTTAATCTTATTAGGTACGTTATAACAAGTGAGAATTTCAAGTCTCTTACTCATTACGTTTTGTTTAGTTAAAGATCTGTGACTTACAGTCAAATATCTTTCACGTAGCACAACAACAACAGAGCCTTATTATTATTGTTAACGGAAGCGTAAAAAAAAAAAACAAAGAAGACTGGAAAGTGCAATTTAAGCCCTGCTTCATATTCAATGTCAATGGAATGTATGGAAAATCTCACTTAGTAAATTCTGTTAGCACTGATGTTTATTTATTAGCCATAAGTCACATATACAATTTGTTTTATTACTAACTTTTGCACACAACTTCATACGTGGAGATTTTGGCGGTAGTTAACTACTTCTACATAGCGTGCTAAGATAAAAAATACATCAAATTTTAAGTTAAACTTTCAGAAATACGACTGTGAAAACCGCATCCATTTTGGTGCAGTAGTTAATGCGAGATACTAGAAAACACACAGAAAATACAAACAGACAAAATTAAAAAATATATTGTTTTAGCTTCAAATGCTCTTATTTGAGATCCCTTATATCAAGTTTTCTTAAATATTTCCTATGATAAAGACTTACAATATAAATAAAAAATAATATGAAAATTGTGTTATATTAGTGAGATAAACTTTATACTATTACAAAAAAGTTATCTATATTTAAATGCACCACATATTTTAATACTTCTATATTTAGAAGTCTCATCTAAATTTAAAATTAAATTCAAGTACTAGTAGGAAATTGTAAGATTAAAATTTAATAATATTTGTCTTCGTATATACGTATAGGAAAAGAATAATCGACTACTAAAATTCTCTACCCGTCTCGTGTCTAGTAACATACACTGTCTAGTTGTAATGATGATAATAAATTTTAATAAATATAATATTTTTTAACTGTTTGAACAACAGGCGGAAGCAAGACGAAGTTGCAGTCTTAGAACAAACAATACGTACGAGAAATGAAATGCAACGAGCAGCAGGTGTGGAATTAGCAGCAACCTGCCACATTTGTCTCAAGACAAAATTCGCCGACGGTGTAGGACACTCGTGTCACTACTGTCGAGTAAGGTGCTGCGCCAGGTGTGGTGGAAAAGTCACATTGCGTTCTAACAAGGTCAATCTATTATTCATATTGACTTTACACATAAGTAATACATACATGTCTTTAATAAAACATTACTTTACAGGTTATATGGGTGTGTATATTATGCCGCAAAAAACAAGAACTCTTATCCAAAACTGGGCAGTGGATCCACAAAAGTGCCGGACAAGACTCCATGCTATGGAGAATGGAGGCAGACATGCGAGGCCTCCCACCACAGCCCGATGCTTCTCTAGATAAAAGACCAAAATTAGAGCGAGCTCATAGTGCAGCTGAAAAAGAAAACCATCCGTTGCAAAGATCAGGTAGCGCTCTGCGCAGGCAATATAGTCAGCAGGAGCCGCGATGTTACGGGGAATTGGAGGGTTTGGCTCGAACACATCCACACTTGGTGCACCCAAGACAAAAAGCTGCATATGGTGTAGAGGATGTGCCCGTACCGCCGCAAGCACAGCTGATGCCTCATCCGCCATCACACCCCCCACTTCCACCTCGATCGTCGTCTTCGGACGACGAGGTACAGGAGTGTGTTTCCGACGAAAACGATGAATATCGCGATCGAGGTAAGTACGCACGCTGTCCTGTCGCCCGTCCGTATCCCACCATCCGTTTCACAACAAAATCCTTTTCCCTGTGCTAATTTTGTTTGTCATTCCTACATACGTATACAACGCAATACAACATTGTACACACACACACACACACAGAAGGCCACTGAATTCTCTAGCCCAATAAAACAATTAACATTGTACATTACGTCTGTCATGTTCACCTGCATTAAGAAAATGATAAAGTTAAGGTGTTCCGTGCGAGGTATTCGATTAGTAAGGACCTGTCTTATACTTAAAATATTTTCAGGTAACTGCTATCATTAAGTTATATACCTAAGTATATGATGTTTTATAGGTATCTTTCACAGAAACGGATAGTGTTGAGCACCTAAACTTATCTGTATGTTTCCATCATGTCTGTTCATGTAGTATATGTGTCATCGTTACATCTATCTTTCAAGAGAAAACACATCTTCGAATCAATTTTTCTTTTCAGACAGAGACAGCTGTATAAGATTTTATGCTTCAAATTTCGCAGTCAGCATTATTGTTTTATAGGTTGGTGCTAGATTTGAAGCAAAAACGAACACATTCATGAACTTGAGTCCAACATAATTAGTAAAATATTGTAAATGTGCCGCCGCATGCGTCTTGTGTGCCCATATACGCGCCCGGTAGCCGCACGCCGCGCGCCGCGAACTGGTGACCGTCGACGATATCGTTGTCCGGCGCTCACCACGCCATCCCACTGTTCGCAGGTAATAAAGATAGGAGCAGTTCGGACAGCTCCCGAAGTCAGCGTCAGGCGATGTTAAACGAGAAAATGCAAAAGTTTTTATCGGTGAGAGCGCGCAATTAATCGGGAAATATGCGTTGTAACATACTTATTGCTGAATTTAGATGTCTCAGTATGTTTGTACCTGTTTTTCGCAACATACTTCTTCCTCTGGTTGACCAACTGTCATGGCTGTTTAAACTCTATCTTTCAGAAACAGTCTCAGGAAGTACACTTATGTTTATAGCACCTCATATAAATAATAGGTTAAAAATCAACGAGACCAATACATGTGAAGGTTTATGTTTAAATCTACTTACATATAAAAAAATTATAAACATTAAATGTACTTCTCCATTATATTGTTTGAGCCATAAATTAAATACCTTTTAGTTTATTTTCTATATATGTATCACTAAAATAAACAACATACATCTAGCTATAAAGTTAGTTAATGTAAAGAATTACGAGGTTACATATCTTTGATCAAAAATGATCTGTACTACAGAAACTTTGTTCATTCTCCACAATTAATACTTAAACAAGTATATGAATATGAAGTCCTAGAGAATTGGCAAAATTTTACTAAGCATTTAAATTTCTAAAACACTTTATTTTTAGTAAAAAACTTTAATCTTTAATACAACTCACTAAAATCATTAAAGGTAGAAATAGAATGATATACAATACAAAAAGTTTGTAATTGCAACAGTATTAATGCAGTAAGAAGGTACACAAACACCACATCTTGTTACTGGAAATATAGACACAGGTTCGAAAGTGATGTGTTCAGTTTACTTAATACTATGTGCACCCGAAATATTCAAATGGAATATTATAATATATTATTATAATATTCCCAATGCGATATGGAAAAATTTAAACAGTAACAAAATTTCAGTAATATTATTTCTTTTAATTTATGGATCAAACAAACGTCGCATGCTTGGGCGAAAAGAAGTGTATTGTTAACATTTCTATTACAAACCCGTTAGATTTTGTGAACGTGTACTTTGTTTTTTGATTGTTGTTATTGTATGACTTGGATAAGTTGACACACATTCTTTCCGCTTGTGCGTGATCACTGCTTTCGATTAATTTATTTTTAAGCTGGAGGGAGGCACTCAGTTACCGAGTTATATTTAGGAATATTCAGACGGTTGTACAAGTAATGCACAGTCGGTTCTAGAGTAAGAAAATTGTTTGTTAGTCTTAGTGTAAAGTAAACGGATCCGGGCGCGTACGGGTGCGTAAGCCGCGTTGATCGGACGACGTAAACAAGCAGGTACTCGCTGTCATACATTCGATGTAATTCTTAGGACAACTTGAGGCGTGTGGGTCACTTCGGCACCCGCACCTGCGCAGCGCCAGTGTAGCTGTCAACAATTATTACAATTTAACTAATCATTCACCGGCCGCTTACGAGGCAGAGGCGCGCGGGCCATTCGAAGCAGCGAGAGCAGCGCCCACCGGTGGCCGCAGCTTTGACTCTGTGACCAACTGTCGATGGCGCGCTCGTGACGACGGTGAGGGCGCGTACCTGCGCCCCGTACGCTCCGGACGAGGGCCCGCGCCCTGATCGAGCTGTCTATAAGAGTGCCTATTTGTGGGAAGACTCCTCTGACAACAGACGATTTACGGAGAGGAGAAAAAAAACTGTCCGTTTCGATGGACACGAGGGTGCTGCGACATTCCCGCGGGGCGGACGGGATGCGTCGGCGGCGCCGCACGACTGGGCTTCCCTCCGCTGGGAGTCTGAACGCCAGACCAGTCAAGACTCCGCTACTAAAGACTCGGGCATCGATACCTCTAGCACCTTCACATCTAGTGAAGACTCGAATAGAGGCGATTGCCCTAAGGTACAAAGCATTCCGTATTAATTATAACGGATAGTTCTTTCTCTAGATGCGATAGTGACATTTTTATTAGCCTAGAACTTATGCAGGAATCGTAACAATTTTCTTTTTTGACAAATTATTTTCAAACATACAGATATATGCAAATACTAATTTTGTCGGTGTTTTTGTTTATTGCACATCTATGGCTGTATATAACTAAAACACTTGGTCTACACAATGTAGATGAATAGAAGATCTTAATGTACTTGTGTTGGCTGCGGCATGGTTGCATTGGCGAGCATGCAACGATATGTTAATATTTTTGTATGTGCATTTTCGTGTTTTTGTAGCTACTACATTACATTTAATAAAAAGAAATTGCTGAGATCATAAATAAGTTATTATCACAAATGGTATTATATGTAGTTATTTAAAATATCTGCTTCATCTCTGTCATCTAATTGTAAAATAGGTATGTACTGACGTTTTCATAATATGACAGTTCCCACAGAGTTGGCAAGTGTCGGCGGACGGCACTCGGATGTGTGGTCACATGGTGCTGCGCAAGAGTGTAGTGGAGGGCAGTTCACATTCCTCCGCTGCTATTCTTGGACTGAAAGTTGTAGGAGGAAAACTATTGCCCGATGGTACTCGAGGCGCTATTGTAGAGAAAGTCAAAAAGGGTTCCATAGCTGATTTAGAGGGACAATTAAGAATAGGTAAGATAAACTAAACAATTCCTTTATATGCTACTATAGATTCGCCTCGGCTTCGCACGGGTAGATAGAAAGATATATTAGCATTTTATATTAGCTTTTATAGACATTTTTAGTGTACCTTGGGTTACATTATTGTAATTTTCGTAGGGATATTATTTTTTTAAATAATATGCATAAGTCAGTGGTTGATAATGCAGTTTTCTGTAGGTAAAATAATTTTCAAAATCGGTTAAGCGGTTTTGAATTCATTCATAACAAATTAAAATACACAAAAATCAAATCTTTCCTGTTTATTAGTATACTAAGACATATAAATAACATTCATAACAAACATACCTACTTGCTACTTCGTACGCGCCATGTTTATGTCTCAAATCATCTAACCTTAAGTGTTAGGCCATAATTTAATCCCAATCGGTTCAATATAAGGCCTAATAAAAATTTCTATTAAATATTATATTAATCAACTTACAAACAAATGATAACAAATTTAATAATCCGACACATAATCACTCGGTAATTAATTAGCTAATAGGAATAATAATAAAAATTTTGTATAGCGTAAATCTATCTACATTGTAAAGTGTATAGTGTATATTCACAGCGTAGTAGCAGATATGCTACGCGCTACGCAACACATGCGACTACGCGTATTGTATGTGAAATCTTTTTTCTTTTGAATATCAACTAATTTCTGAAACCGCTCAACCAATTTCAATGAAATTTTATAAATGTGTATTGTTTGTTCTAACTTAAAAGATATGATAGTTTTTATCCTGATAAAACGCCTTAGGTGGAAAAACAATGTTTGCCGAGAATATATATATATAAATATACAATAAATAAATATACAATAAATAAATAAAAGATGACATTTTTCCAGGGGATGAAGTTTTGCAGTGGAATGGAGTAGCTCTACAGGGCCGGGGCGCGGAAGAAGTGGCAGCAGTCGTCGCTGACAGTAAACATGATTCTCACGTTGAGTTGGTGGTGTCCCGACCGTTGGCTGCTACGAGGACACCTGCACAGCCTTGGCGGACTCATAAAGGTAATAATTTAAAAAAATATTTCCAATAAAACTGACTTACTGTGACCGCGAACCCGGCTCATACTACTTTAGTTTAATGTAATATGTCCGGTGAATTAGGAATGTCGATTGTAACGTTGAATACTATGGAATTGAATAGTCGACAATTATCTCCATTAGGATATGTTTACTTGTTTTTTTTTTTTTTTTAAACTGACTTTAATCTGGACAACATTAGTATGAGTAACAATAAAATGTACACGTCAGAGATTTTATTTCTTTTCTATTTACACAATACGGATTAACAAACAAGCTGACGGCCTACCTAATGGAAAATGATAATCGACTAATAGACATCTTTGAATAGTAACACTGTGATGCTTATGCCATCACTCATCATTCCCAGTCCTGAGAGTTAAGATGTTATCTGTCCGTACCTTGTAATTTCACAGTCATATCCCACCCTAAAAAATAGAATAATCAAAATATACTAATAAGAGATACCTCTACTTTTTTACGTTGCCGCTCATATATTAAAAAAAAAAACATTAGTGTGTGTATTTCCACTTATTTTCATTGTTTCTATTTATTTAAAGGTCGATTTGGTTGTGCAGAAGTATACACAGAGGTTATGGGCGGTTGTGAAAAACCTAGTGTCCTGGTAACTTCACCGGGCTCCCCCGATGTCCATGCTCGCCGCCGACCTGCTAGACATAACCACCATAACGCTAACGTTGCCGGCCGAATACAGGTATTAATTGCACAAAGAAATCTTTACGGCAACCGCTTATAGAAAAGTGATATGACCAGACAATATACCGCTTTGCTTCTGCTAAGTTCGGACGTAAAAATACAGAGAACTCATAAAACTATGTGGTATTCTATACTCAATTGTTTTTTATCTATTAAGTGCCTAATATTAAAATGATTGAATGTTTAAGTGGTCATATTACCTTTTTGCAGATACTTCATATTTTCTTGATACGCTTATATTATTTTTTCTTTTCATAAGCTGAAAATATACTTCGACATCAGCGCTCTCCAACTATTAGTAACTGTGGTATCCGCAAGTGGCCTAAGTCCTCGAACTGACGGATCCACTAGATGTCCATACGCGAAGATTTTTCTTTTGCCCGATAAAAGTGAAAAAAGTAAACGTAGAACCAAAACATTGGCGAACACTTTAGAACCACGATGGAACCAGACTTTTGTTTACTGTGGTATACGAATTACTGACATTAAGAAGAGAACATTAGAGGTAAATATATTAATATTTATAAAACCTATAAATATATGCTCTTTTGTTTCTAGCATTTTTACATATTTTATTTGCATTTCCTGTAGGTGACAGTATGGGATTTAAACCGTTACGGCCCAAATGATTTTCTCGGTGAAGTCTTACTGGATCTCGACAATGTAGTGATGAATCATGAACCTAATTGGTACACTCTGAGACCTCATGAGGAAACTGCCAGTTTTAGTGTAAGTACAGAAATTGGTATATGAATATTGAAAATGTTTTACATTTGTGAGGTATATTATGAGTTTGAATATTTTATCTATCATAGTTGTTATTTATTCTTTATTTAAAATAAATTTCCGACGCCTTCACAATGTTGCTGTTTTACATTCTCAAATTTTTCATGATATTATTAAACTCGCATATGCTTTTATTTATATTTAGGACCATTTAGGTCCTAAAAAGCAAATAATGCATTCAATGCCTATAAACCTAAGGTCTATAAAATGACTATATACAGTTTGCTAACAAACTGTCATTTAATAGTAACTCTCTAGCAACTCAAGAAAAATAAAAAGTAACATTCTAGTAAAAGTAATTTTAATAAAAATATTTTCATAGAATATAATCTGTATAATTATTTTGCAGAGGTATCGTGAGGAGGAGGCAGATGGTGAACACCTGTCGCCTCCATCGACATCAACGTCTCGTCTCTCAGACTCTGATACGCCCAGCGAGTGTGACTTGCGTCGTCATCACTCGCTGTCAAGCCTCGCGTCCAGCTCTAGTCCACCGCCTCCACACGAGGTAATAATACTTTTTCTTTGGACGATTCTTATTTACAAGAAACTTAGGATGTAACAATTTTTCTTCTAATTGACAATTTTTTAACTACAAATTTATTTACAAACGTTATGTATTGTGTGCATTTGTTTATTATCTTATAAATGCCTATCATTTTACAGCGAATGGATATGGACAGCACGCGTAGTAGTAGACGCGATATGTCGCCTGCGGGAAGAATACGTGCTGCCGGGATGACTAGAGAACGAGTAAGTTTTATTAGTTTCTACGCTCATAGGCTTAAAAAATGTAGTTATTTCAGGAATTGGTTGTAAATAATACTATTTGCCCACAGAGCGGAGGATATAGCGTAGCAAGGTCACAGTCGGCTGCAGGGGTGGCTCGACCGCAGCGCGCGCGCAGCAAGTCGCCGCGCCGGTCGTTGTCGCCGCCCGCCGATCGCAACGGCTGGCGCTATACAGGTGCCGCAATCGGCGCCGTACCCACACACCAATCCGACGACGCCGATCGGTCGTATCGTACGGATTGGTCCGTGGACGTACCGACAGCGGGCCCCGACCCCGCACGGAACACTATCGCCGAGACACGCACGTTTCTCGTCGCGTCCGCTCATCACCACTTTACTGCCACTTACTGTTTTAACTTCCTCGCTCTTTTCCACCTAAACTGTTTTTTTTTTTCAAGCATCTTCCATTCACCCTTTCCTATCTACCTAGTTGCAGCACGCAGTATATCATCTGATTGTGTTTAGAATGCGCCATCGCACACTCTAAAGCAATCTGACAGTATTGATTTTATGAGAATTATGATATTAAACATTTGTTAAATTCATAAAATTTCAAATGCATGAAACTATAATGATAATGCTCTATCGATACAAAAATCTAAAATGCATGATATTTATAATCTATTAATAACAAGTAAAAATCGCCACAACTTCTTTATGATTTAAAATTAATTCTGTCTTGTATGATTATGCAAATATGTGTTCTAATTTAATTTTATAGTCTTAAAATGGGACAAAATAAGAATTTATATTGCAGTAGGTGACGAACGAAGTGCCGGCGACACATCGCGACTGCCGACACATGCCTACGCCCCGCGGTTTCAGTCGCGATCCGCTACTGCTACGCCAACAACTAGCCCAAAGAAACGACAACTACCACAAATACCTCACCAGGTAAAAACAATGTATAATATAAATAATACTAATACAGTATTATATTGTTTGTTATATAAATAATCTAATTTACACAATCTTCATAGAATAGGATAGAAATTATGAATTTCACATTTGAAATTTGACCTACAAAAATTAAGAAATAAATGTACATAAGTATAATAAATTGAATTATAATTTCATATTAACGTCAAGAATGTTAAAAATTAGCTAAAAGTTACCAAATTAACCTATGTATGTCCACAACATGGGTGACGGTCCTGAAACTTTACAACACATGCATAAACACAACGGTATGATCTAACATTACGAGTTTTGTAGTCGACGATTACCATTTTCTATTAAGTGGGGTCGTCAATTTGTAGGCAATTACAATTGGCAAAAAAAACATTTATTTAATAACAGAATGCCCAGAGAGCAGTACGGGCGCAAGTCTCCGCAGACCTCGAGGAACGTAAGTGGATCGCCCCGCATCACATTGGCGCCACACTTACCTACCGCAGCACGCCACAAGGTCAATACACGCATACCATATCCAAATCCATCAATGTATCACTTGCATATTGTTACCCCATAAATAACAAAAATTCTTATTAAAAGCCTCAAAACCAGTGGTCTTTATCTATGAGGGCATTTCATCACAATATCCAACCCTGATCTCCAATGGAATTTAACAATACCTCAAGTAAGCAACATTATCCTTCACAAAGCTTCATAAGCCTAAATCACTTAGTCATTACATGATAGAATCACAAAGCTACTAGACTGTACAATATGTAGAATCTAGTATGTAGTGAGCTCCTAGAAATGTTTGTTTCGCGAAATCTGTAATGACTAGTTGTGTATCTATAGGCATATAATAATGAATGTAGGTTGGGAGCGACATTACGCTGGCTTATCAGATTCCGAGTTGGCGGCACGCGGAGGCGGCGGATGGGCGCCACGCCGGAGATTGTCACCCGATGCAACTGCTGCTGACTCGGACTTGGAGTCGGTAGCGTCCGTCACCTCTAGCGCATTCAGCACACAATCAGAACGACCCAGACCTACACGAATGCTCAGGTATATTATTTTAAATACTTATTCTTAATTTAAAATACTTTTACTTTTAAATACGAATCTACAACACTCGTGCTCTTTGCTGCAATGCAAGTAATCGTCCTCATATATATTTTGCAGCTGGAAGCGAAGTCTTCCCCCAAATAGTACATCTTCATCATGTGATAGCGCTACCCCTGTTCCTAACTTACACAGACGACACAATGTAACACAATGTCGTATATTGCCATATGTCTTCATAACGGCGGGTGCGGAACGCGCAGTGCGTCGAAGAATTCGTAATCGTTTCAATTCTAGTGTAAATTCCATACAATCGACGCACCGTGTACGTCCAACCCGGCGCCTTAGACGCTTACTAGCTCGCAGCCGCTCAGCCGGTTCATGTAATAGAGAACGCTCTCATTGTCATGCTTATGAACGCAGTCACAGTTGCCCTGAATATTCTGTCCACATTAATACTTACAAAATAACAGAAAACAGAAAAGATTATGTATGTCAAATTGCATCATCACGTATGAAAAATATAAATGAAAGTACAATATATCAATCGTCTGCAAGTCAACAACAGAATTTTTTCCCGATTAACTCATATACATCTTTTGAAAACAAAACACAGAGTCAAAAAAGTAAAATTCAAATCCGACCAGAATATCCATCGTGGTATTTTGAAATTCCGTCCTATATGAACTATGATTATGATACACAAAAAACAACCATGAGACATAGAAAACTCCCGGATATTAATAATTTTCAAAGTAATAATTTAAAATTACTTTCTACTATACGAACTGTAAGTGCAGTAGAAAATAAATTAGAGAATAATGTTCATAATGTAAACACAACTAAAGACATAAAATGTAAAGAACTGTTAAATCAATATCATGGCTATGATAGTGAAGGTAGTGATGCCGAAACCACGATTCACGTTAGTATAGAAAAGCAAAATAGCTCAGATAAAAACGATATCCAAATTGAGAACAACAATCAACCAAAGATAAATGAAACTATTTCAAAAATATCATACAATAACGATAGAAAAAAACTCCTATCTCTTAATTTAAAAATGAGTTACGATTGTAATCTTTCCGAAAATAAATCACCTTTAAATTCTCTTCACGAGCATATCCAAAAAGATAGCAATGAATCTAAAAACAGTAACGATTTCAAACTGAATATAAAAGAAAAAACAAAGCTAACGAAAACGTTATTATTACAAAGGCGACATTCAGATTCTTTAGTTTTATTAAGTCGGTCCCCTGACTCGCAGACGTCTCCGATTGACATTAAAAATATCTTCAAAAAAATGAGCATAACTGCAAAACCTGATATAGATTTCTTAGCCATTTTACCAAATGCTTCAACTAAACTAGCAAAAGATATAGAAACAAAGGTAGTTAGTATAAATGAAATTCCAACATTCCAGGAATATCGTTCACCATGCACTTTGTCTCCGCAATCTAGTTTAGATTTCTCATTAAAGCAACCTCTGCCCTCCATAATTAAAAAAGCTCGTCCACGATCATATTCTTTATCATCTACTAGTCATTTAAATAGAGAACTATGTACAATGGCTAATTCTATGTTTATTACTCTCTCTCCCTCGAACCTCGGCTCGCCCCGTCGTGTGCTCACTCCTGTTGCTTCACATCTGCCACCCGAAAATACATGTCACAACCCTCGCACTACAACGTTGGAATCATTGCCATACGGTCAATCCATTGACCATACTGTAATGGAAACTGCGGAAATGTCGGCCCTACGAAACTGCGAACCACGTAACCCTGAACAACGAAATAAAAAACCGTCCGGGAAAACAATGGGCAATAAACGACGCGAAAACATTACACAACGACGGGAATCCAAATTTAGTAATGACTACGGAGGACGCGAGAATGGTCGTGGTAATAACCAGCATCAACCATTAGAGCGCCGCGAATCTCGACGAGGACAATTCACGCGAAGCCTCAGCAACGCTGATGTACCGCCTGATGAAAAAGCAGGTAATGCGTACTACTATATGATAATTAAGTATTAAGTTTGTATATGAAGTTATTGGTTATAACAAAAATAATTCTATTATTACGTTCAATTTTTTTATTAAATCCATAATCATTTCCTATTGTCATATATTTACAAAAATAGATAATTGTTACATTAACGTCAAGTTATTAGATAATATTTACTTGTTACCTGAATGTCCAAAAAGACGGCAGCCTCAGTGACACTGCTCTCGGCGGTGCCAGTGAAATGGAGCCATCTGCGGACGACGTGCTACTAAAAGCAGAGCCACGGGATTATTTCGGATCCGGTATGGGAAAGAAGAGTAACTCCACCTCGCAGCTATCAGCTACAGGTGAATTTTTATACATCTTACACTTAATTCACTACAACACCTACCACGCCTACCGCTAGCCTTACGCAACGCAAACGTACTAGTACAATTATGATGTAACTATGCGTAAAGGCTGGCGTTTTATGTAGGATTTGTTCAGTTTATGTCTCAATTGTATTGATTAAATGATCGACAGGACGAAAAAGGAGGTTAGGTTTCGGTAAACGTGGAAAAAATTCGTTTACGGTACAACGCAGCGAAGAGGTGGTGCCAGGTGAAATGCGTGGAGTCGCTTCTGGAGTGTCGCGAGCCTCCTCCGCATCCAGCGAAAACGATGACGACAGGTTCGCGCCGCTGCTTACCGATAACATTGAGACAATAGTGAGGCTCCTCGGACGGCGGTAGCTCTCGTGGCGCTTTGTACAGATCGTCAAGTCTCTTTCACACAAATTGAACTATATATTCAACCGACTTGAAAAAAAAATATGCGACAACGACGTTGTATAACTTTAACACAGCATGTTACAAACTCATAACAGTCGTAGATGTATGTGTAATGTTGCTTCTGTGGAGTTAGCATTATGTAGAGCTTTTACTGGTTAATGTCCATTTAAGTCTTTCTGAGCGAGCGAATAGGTGTGCTCAAGATAATGTTCAATGCGTATATATAATAAATTTATTGTAGACACCTATAATTATTTTAAATTAAATATTTGTCTAATTTGGTAAGTTTTATAATCACTTCTATAATGTATAGCCAGTAATAAGTCTAAAATATAAATAGTATTTGAATTAGGTAGTTGGTGAATTTGATAGACAGAAATCATTCTTTTTTTTAACCTAGCTAACGTATGGCGGTAGCAGTTATGATTCTGATAATATCTAAATTACTATCGACGAAAAGTACCAATTGGCTTGACACTACTAACAATAATTTATTATATCTATCAAATAAAAAAAAAAAAAAATCAAATGATAATATCATTCGCACACCCACATTTTCCATAATCATATTCATGTTTTGTTAATCGATATTGGATAGTTACTTAAATTGTTTACAATTTTATATAGAATGGTAGGTACACTAGTACCGTGGTATATATATGCAATGTAAATATGACGGGTACTGAATGTGTTGCGGCCGCCCGCCGCGGCCCAGCCCGCGCAGGCGCGTGCCGCGCAGAGGGCGGCGGCGCGGCGCGGCGCAAGCGCTCCGGGCCCGCGACCACGACGTTCCAGCGCTCGCACGAGGTGTGCGCCAAGGCCACCAGCCTCGTCTCCATATGTAGCTCGGAGGCATCCGCGTAAGTCGCTCGCTCGTCTGCCCCCTTCCGTGCAGCGGTTCGCCGAGGACTCTTGTATGTGTGCATCGATGTTGCTCGCGTCTTCCATTCTGCCCCTCTTTGTGCCTCTCGTCTTGTAAACGCATGATGCTGGTTTATATTGGTGTTATTCACTTCATTCTCTTTTCTGTTCAGCACGCACGAGTCGTCTCTCGCATAGGCAACGCACCCTCGAACCCTTGAGACTGCCCTATTTTTATCTCTGGTATTAGCGATGTTGGTTCCAGATTTTCAGCCAGTGACAGTAAACGAAGGCGAGGCGACTGCAGATGACAGAGGTCTGGACGAACTTCCCAATAAATGCACTGGACGATAATAAATGTTGCCTGAAAGCCTATGATGTATGCACTTTTGTAATAATCATTTGTCAAGACTTCAGTTTTTGGCTATTCGATGTACACACACACACAAACATCTCAACACCCTATGCATGTAACTGAAAAAATCATTTTTACTTTTATCATTCGTAGGAGTAAATTCAAAATATCACTGTATAATTTTTAACGTTATAAATATTTGTTGTTACGTGTAAATTTCGGGTAGGTACATATACCTTACATTGTGACCAGTAATTTGTATTTAAATACTATCCATACGGAATTTTATGAAAGATAATAATGTAACAAGCATCTTTAACATACCTATGCCTCATTTTTAAATTAGATACAAATCATTTTCTAGCACTTACCTATAAAATTACATATCTCTTTATAATTCTACTAGCTGCCTTCAAATTCTTTGTATATTGTATAGGTAGTATCTACCTAATTTCCACGTATTTACCTTAACTTTTATCACTCGATGCATCCGAGACTACCGCCCTCTTCTTCACTATTGTATCAATGTTGTCATTGTTGTAATTATATACCTATTTAATATTCTATAAAGTCCTATGATAGCTGCGAAAATCGACACCTGGTGAATCAAATTACTTTCTAATTCATTTAGTGACATATCTACTACTCCTATAGAAATTTTAGACTCAGTACCTAACACCAATTACTTTCGTTTTTCGCTATTAGCTGTTATGCATTGGACTCTATAATTATATATTTTTACTTCTTTATTCTAAAATATAAAAACAAATTCTATTTGCCCTATCTATCTACTTATAGTTCATTAATAGTAGTAGTAATTGATGTTTTTGTATTATGAAATAGCCAATGCATAGCATACTGACTTCTATGTAATGAAAAATTATTACTTTCTATCCTATATTTAGATTCATATTGTAATATACCTACTAAATATTAGATGGGTAGTGGATTTATAGTAGGTACCTACATTTTAAAACAAATTAACATTTGACTCTGGAATATCACTATTTGAAGTTTGTTGTTATTATAGCTGTAATATTAGTTAATGAAATGAAATGTTTACACATTTCATTTCATTAACTCACAACTTTTTATTTTGCTCTCATTTTTCTAAAATAAGCAAATGGAGCAAAATAAATCAATGTATTATATTTATTAATCATATATCTTACAGATAAATGTAACATAAAGGGGAGGGAAACTCACTGAATCTGTCCAAGAATTTCCAAAAAAATCATGGACATCTAAGTAACGTCTATTCAATATTTCATGTTTTGGACGCTTTAGGCTGTGTATTCTGTAAGTCTACTGACTTACCTCAAGTTTAATATTTATGAAATTCCAGAATATTATAAATCGGATAAAATAACACTTACCTATTATGTGGAACCTTATTAACCTTCGACTTGGCTAGGTGGTCGCCGGGTATGCGTGCCTCGGGGTCGGACGGCGGGGGTCTGTCAGATTTCATCGATGGCCTGGGTCCGGGCCAACTTGTTGGGAGACAGTTGCTCGGCGCACCCACTTTGGGTGACGTCCAACTCTCCATGTGCTACCAAAAGGGATTCCTTGAGGTAGGTGCCTAAGTGAATATTTAATAGCAAAGGTATGAGTGAAGTTATATTAATAATTTCATTGGGTATTTTTTTTTATTTAGATAGCGAAATAAGGATTTGCGTTGAATATTTATTACAAATTTAATTTTTAACTATAGTATTTTCTACAAAGAAGAAAGTGGAAATAATTCATTACTTCTAATTAGGTACAGTAATTTAGTACTCATTGAAAAAAATATTTACTAAAATTAAACACACAAATTATATTCAAAAGTTACACCATACACGTAAACGTGTATGGTGTAACTTTTAATATAAAGTGAATACTAATTCACTTTATATCCTCAGTAGAACATTGAATTCGATTATAAAACAAAAATGTGACTCAAGCATTGCTTATCATTTCCATAGGCTATAGTTTGTCCTTATCATATTATAAATTTTATTACAAGGTGGAGGTGATACGAGCGCGAGGTCTCCAAGCGCGACAAGGGTGCCGCGCTCTACCGGCCCCTTACGTGAAGGTGTACCTTGTGAGTGGCAAGCGTTGCGTCGCCAAGGCCAAAACGACCACAGCCCGACGCACACTTGACCCGCTCTATCAGCAAACGCTTACCTTCAGGGAAAACTTTAAAGGATGTGTTTTACAAGTACGTTACAAAGCATTTTATTTAGTAAACATTAGCATACATATTATTTGCACAAATTCGATATACAATAAACAATACCGGGATCACATGTAACTAACTTACGTTACGTTTACCTTACGTTCTTATTTGTGTTGATCGCGGATCATCGGCGCTGATTGGCTAGCATAGTAAATGTTCATGTCGTAAATGAAGCCCGATGTCATAAATGAAGCTTGATGCCAACTTGAATATGGAAATTTCATGCTCTCTCAATTTGTGACGGCGAAAGAATTGCATTCGCCTATTACGCCCAACTATTAACGCCTCTAATTTTTAAAATAACAATCTTCAAAACTGGCAATCGGTTTATATTTTCATAATCGCGAATACTAACGGCCCTAAGGCCGTTGACATTTTTTTATTTTCTTATTTTAACCATAATTATAACTAATATTTATGTCGTGTAAGTGGTCCAATAGTTTTGATATAAATATTATATCTATATATACTATTATTTATTTATGAACAGGTAACAGTGTGGGGCGACTATGGGCGCATAGAAGGCAAGAAAGTCTTCATGGGTGTAGCCCAAATAATGCTCGATGACCTCAACCTCTCTAACATTGTCATTGGATGGTACAAGCTGTTCGGAACTACTTCTTTGGTAAGACTATTAAATGTCTCGATACTTATAAAGCCAGGCAGATGAGGCTCAGAGTCCAAGAAGGCGCATAACATTTTTTATTTATTACATCGTAAATATACGACCCGTCTTTACTGCTTTGCACTGTAGTCAGTTATAGAATTTTAAATTATTGAATTTGCTTTGTCTTCAAACACTAGGTCCGCTATTATCCATATTTAATGTAATACTGTAAATTTTAGACTTCTATTTTGTTGAACGAAAAAATAAACCTGAGGATTCTTTTCTGCGCGGCCTATTATGTAAAGTTTGTTATTATCGACCAACATAAGTATTTGCAATAAAAATTTGTTATTTTAATTTCAGTAACCGAGAATCAGCACTGTCCATGGATTGTTTGGAGAAATTATATCATCACAATAAATATTAAAACTTGTCCAAATAATAAATTTAGTGATACTGCTTTAATATCATGATAAAACGCAAAATATCTTGAATATAGGAAATTTTTCTATAAAACGAAAGGTATAATAATTTGTATTTTTATTTTCTTTTGGAATGCCTACCGGAGTTTTGAATAGATAGCATTTTATAGCAATGAAACAAATGTATAGTGTACTCAATAATATGTAATTAAGTATTAAAAGCCAAATGCGATTCGATATTTCTTTATTTTAATACCCTATTTTCTTTTTTTTTTTTTTAAGATCATTCATTTGGTTTTAATGAAACATTATATAAAAAATATTCAAATACATGAACATGAAAACAAATATAAAACTAAACCGAAGAAGTATATTAATATCGATCATAACCATGTGGCCAGATTACTTATTAATATTTTTATATTATAATTAGCTCTTAGAAAACGTCTATGATCAAGTATATTAACAGATCTTCGCGGCTTAGCACGCGCAGAAACCATTAATTTTATATACTTACTTAAGTTATATTTTATAAGGGATTCCTATACAAAATTTAGTTATTCTAGACGAGACCCAACAGTTTCTCAATTAAACAGTCGGTCAATTTCACGTATTATACAAATTTAACAGGTATTTTTATTAAAACAAATATACACCATGTATCAAAGAAAATATGTTATAACAGAAACATGCTGTAATCACTGCCTATCCCAAAAGTAAAAAGGCGTGAGCTATAGTCATGAATTACAATTACTACATTTAGTATTTATTTGACACCTTTAGAGTAACTGCACCCAGTCTATCTAATTGCATGCTTACATCTACTTTCAGTCAATCTTATTACCTTCCAATAGATTTAACATGAAGATACAAATCGGCACAACAGTCACGATATTAACATAATCTACAGCAAATATAATGGTTAACTATATTTCACACATAAAATATTTCATGAGAATAATTCACAAATTAAAGAGTTTATAAAAAAAATATTAACCGCACCTAAAGGCAAATACATTTCACTTAATCGTCTCATCTGTACATATAGCTAATGTATTATAATTATTCTACATAAAAGTCAAGGCTTTCTTAGTGGGTAAACACTTAGTGTAATATTTGTTTAGGTTGCTTGGAGGGTGAGGCGCCGGGTAATCGACCCTCACCCGCTCTCTTCACTCCTGTAGACTTTATATCTGAAAAAAAAAAATTCGTAATATTAATAAATAACAGTTGCTTCTCTATTTACAATAAAGATACATAAAGACGTAAGGTTGTAATAATTAGATCATAAATATTTATATCCGTACATATAAGAACTATGAATTTTTACCGCGTCATAGTTTTTCTGTACCTTTAATTTTGTAACTAGAAATTGTATGAAATCCGTACATTGAAAAAAAATAAAGCTGTGGAAATATAAATATTTAATATACGTTGTTAGGTTCAAAGAGATATTGGAGCAGATTCTGATGCGCCTTGAGATGCGCATTTATTTTATTAAAAATATGTTTGTTACAAAAGATGGACTTTATGTCTGTGTATTATATTTAGCTAATCAATCATCGAGAAAACATAAATATTTGTCTCGGTATTATTGAAACCCGGGCTCACCTTGCAGCCACCTGACTTGTGTGGCGGGCCCGTAGCCCTTCTCGTTGCGGGCGGCGATGCGGAATATGATAGCCGGTTTGGTGGAGGAGTCCACGTGGGCTGCACTGAGCGACGCTTGCGGTACCACGCACGTGTTCGCCTTACCGCAGTACACGCGCACGAATGCCAGTTGCGACTTCGACGCTTCCTGCATCGATAAATTCTCGTGTATCAATTTTCGTCTCAAACAACCCATTAATAATGTTTTCATACTGTGATGTTGATGAAAGTAGTAACAGGAACGGTACCAGAGGAAGACTTTGTACAAAAGTCGTTTGCTTGGGCACCCCTGTCCCATTCGTATTTCTACCGTGAAACAGTTATGTTTGCATGGCTGCGTTTCGGTTTGAAGGGTGGGCAGTGAATTTACAGGGTACAGAGGAATAACACCTGAGTCCTAAGGAATGACAACGCATGGGAGGTATCTTGGGCGAAACAGTATACTCTGTTATGTTCATGGTACTGCTCATATCTAGAGGCGACTTTCCATCAGGTGGACCGACATCTCAGCACTAATGCACAATTATTGTCGCTTTATTATCTTTTTATTTTATTTTTTTATGTATTTTCCTTCCTTCTCTTGATATTATTAAGATATGAGATATAATTGTCAGCATCATTGTAAATAAAAACTAATAAACAAAACATCATTTACCTTAGGTTGTGTATTAGATCGTACAGCGAGGTAAACAGAATACTCGAAAATTCCTTCAGCGGCCACTTGAGGCGGTTCCCATGACAAATGTGCGCCTTCGACAGACTTAGATATCTTGATAGCAGATGGCGCACCAGGAAACCCTGGGAGGCAAGTTTTGAACGCAGACTCCTAAAAATAAAATATATCATTATTGATAGTTCAATTTGTCATATTTATATGTAAAACGTATTGTATAGGTAATTATGTATGTATTATTATATACATTAATATCTTTTAGCAATGTTTTTTTATAATCTATCCAATATATACTGAAGTTATATTTCAAGGTCTAGATTATGGGCTCAGTTCAAATGCTATACACATTAAAATAGAAAATGTTAGCACTTTTAAAGGGGGATTGTTCTATTAGTGAAACTAAACATTATAATTAAAGAAACATGGGTCGAAAACAGACAAGAAATTTGCACCCTCTCATATTAACAGGACGGAATCAGCTGTTGAGTTAGTTTGTATAAGCTTTATTGTACATTTATATTCAATTTAGATATCAGATAAAAAAAAAATACAAAGTACACAAGCAAACTTATTCCTTGAAGAGATTTTTTCCAGTTAACCTTGAGAACCCAGAAGAAATAAGTATCCATAGGGTTTGTATGTAAAGCGTAACATATATGATGCTTAAATAAATATGATAAATAATAATTAATACCTATATAGTTAGTAACTGAATAATAATCAGTAATACCTAATGACTATTAAAAAATTTTCGTCGTATTTTAATTTTTGATTCATGATATTTCTGTGCTAATAATTTCTATAACACAGACACATAACCATTTTAATTTCACTCAGTTTATAAAACACGTAAATCCAAAACACGTTCGAATCAAAATAGATATTTGGATTTCGAATGATTGACATTTTACAAAGTTTATCCTACAAACATAATGGAAAATGATTATATTCATATTATTTCATTATTATTAATCACACAAGTAATACTGAACTTTTAAGTACAATAGCCTTGGTGCTATAGTTGCTTAACTAACAAAAAAGATATTTAAGCATGTATATATATCCCAACTTGCCCAAATAAAAAGTTACACAAATTAGAAGTTTTACTTGGAAATATATGACACTGTGTAATATTGTTTAAAATTATTTTTTATATATTTACAAATTAGCAAACAAAATAAATTCCTTACCTCACTAAACTCGCCACGACCACAAGAATTGATAGCAGCAATTCTAAATTTATATGCCGTACCATGTTCAAGGGGTGTTGTTGCTAAACCGGACAAATCGGGAACATTATCCAATGATAAGTTGGACAGATCTACATTTGGATCGGATATGTAGTTTTGCACCTGTAAGTAATTATATAAAAATTAGAACCTCACTCAGATAGTTTTAATGCTGGTGATAGTTTTATATGAAACTCATACCGTAAATGTAGTGCCCTTTACAATGCCAACAGTATACCACGCATCTTCATCATTTTGCTGCTTTGACTCTTCAGATTCGGCCTGTATAAAATAAATTACTGTAACTATAAAGTTATAACATACATATTAAATAATAATAATATTACAGTGGGCGTTACAAGTGACGACTTATGGAAACAAAACATGGTCCCACACGGTTGCCCATATGCTTGCATTTACTTGAAATTACTTAGCGAGCTATGAAGAGGGCTATGTTCAAAGTTTCTTTGCGTGACAGAATCCGAAACGAGGATATTCGCAAAGACAAACGCAGTGTAAGACATTTAATAACATTTGGTGCTTTCCAAAAGGGCACAAATTTTTTTTAATTTAATTATAATCTTAATCTCATTGATATAATAAAATTGTAAATAAATGATATCTAGGTCTGTACATGAGAGATGTTTAAAATAAATTAATATAAGAAATCTTATTAAGAGCAACAGAAGACTAAACAATAATTTTTAGAATTTTTGTTCCTAAATTTGTTATCTAGGTTCAGTATCAGCAAAAATTACTGCACCAAGTTGATGCGGTTTTTACAGTTGTGTTCCTGAAAGTCTAATTAAAAATCTAACTTAATTTAATATGTTATCGAAAATTTTGTCTATTTTATTGGTTTTCCTACTTCTAAAATCCACGCGTACGTAATAGCGGGCACAATAACTAGTAGTAAATATTTATATACTATTTTAAGTGAATCTATTTTAATATATAATGTCTTAATTGAAAGTACTCATTAACAAGCCGTTCTAATACTAACGTTGTTAACATTGAAGAAGATAAATTAAAAATCATACTATGTAACATATATAAAAATCGTTGACTTTGAAATTAAACGAACTTTGTATAGAATATAAAATAATATTAACATCTAGCATCTTATCCTTCAAGATTAATTTGCGATTTGTCGTACTAAACATTCTACTCGGCACTATAACCAAGTTTCTTATACTAACTAAATGTTCTTAATCATTAGGATTGATAGATGTGTGACGATAATAATTATTGCATTCCCATTAGCAATTTGTTATTGCATTCTAAGTATGCGAATTTCAGTTTTAATCGGTACATATGACGGGACTTAGGCTAAACTAATGCTGATAAGCAGGTGATAGAATTCTCGGAGCGTAAGGCAGAGTAGATTTTTAAACTTATTTTATTATCGAAACAAATTTTTTAATTGTGCAATCAATTAAAAAAAGTCTAAAATCTGATGTGTGTTTTCTGTAATGTGTCTCAAGCATTAATTTTCTAAACTGATGGGTTGTCAAATTAAACTATCAAATAAAAAAATAGTTTAATAGATATGTTAAACTAATGTTTTAATTTGATAGTTTTGAGAAGATACTGTTTTTGGTGAATGCCTCAAGTATTATGTATCGCACATTTTGAAGATTTTTGATCAATCAGTCATGCAGACATCATTATGAACATATGAGTTATGAGTTTTGCATATACAAAAGTATATGCAACTGACTACAGCATTATTATAATTAATTTTATTATTTCTAAGCTAAATTCAAATTATTTGATTCTTGTCGAGTCTCAGATTTGGTCAGCCAATCATAATTTGAAAAATTCATATAAACTTTAATAGAGAACTCTAAATATAAGACATATACAATGTGTATAAATAAATCCATGTCAAACAACATAAACCAAACCACAGAAAATGAAGTGTATGCAGTAAAGATTTTTGTATAACCTGTTTCTTTTTATAGACACCATATTGTTGGGAGAAAAGAACTAAATAAGATTTTCATCATAATAAATAGCTAACACTTTTCTGAGTTATCTTTTTAATACGTAACACACAATCAAGATATGACACGTATCCAATTTCAAGTGGATTGCCTACAAGTATAGCTAAAAAGAGTAATGACTGTGTCATTTAATTGGCATGACCTAGAAAATGAATCTGCAACCATCCAGAAGAATCAATAGAATAAAAAAAAATGTTGTATCACTATTTATAACTTGGTTCTATACAAAATATCGATAAGTATGACACATTTATCTACATTGTATCAGAATGTAGCTAGGTGCAATAGAAAAATGTTTTCAAATTTTATTATGCAGGTTGCATAAATTCCAAACATTGTTTTATTCGGCATGACATAGAAAATACACGCGACACTGAAAACGGCCAGAGCGTGTGCACCTGTTCGTGCTGGTGGTGAAGCGCGGCGCTGGCGAGCGTAGCAAGCGCGTGCGCAGCGTCGGTGGGCGGCAGCGGTGGCGCGCCGTTGCTCGCCGCCACCGAGCTGCTCACCGCGCCCTCGCTCTCCGCCGCGCCCGCCCCCGCCGCGCTCGCCACCACACCCACCCCCGCCCCCGCGCCGCCCTCCGCCGCCACTGACGACGACACGCCTCCCGCGCCGCCCTCCTCGCCTGTTGAGACAATTTTTTATGTTAATTAGAATAATAAACAAGCTAATGGTTTATGGTTAGTAAAAGAGCTAACACAATCATTTAGGTAAACTATCAAACAAATTTTGTTCCTATACTCAGGGTCTCTGCACATAACCTGACTGTATCTAATGATGTGGGACAATAAATGAAAAAAACTTCTGTTTCGGAAATGGCACGACACCATTACATCATCAGTTTTTAGATCAGGTGTGGTATATGTTATTTACCAAGATAATTTTGCTTACAAATTATACTGTACTGTACAAGTGCCAGAGTCGAGGCTATTCAGTTTGCTGACATTATTTTGATGTAATTATAATAACTTATAATTGTAATTCTGTGTAGAGAAATGTCAATTTACCTTGCAATATGGTGGGCGAGAGCAACGCGGACCCGTTAGCCGTCATGGTAAGTAGCGGCATAGACTCGCTTACTGTTGGCATTGTATCTGCAGTGCCTTCCATCTCAGAAGTATCAGCATCACTGAACCTAGTTGACAAAAAGTTCAAATACCTATTGAAATGTAATATTTATTATGTTACATGTATTTGTAATCAAAAGTATACCAACTCGTTGGCATGCTGTTGCTGAGGAGTTAAGGAAAATGAATGCAATACTGCTGGCCCATTGGCTGTTGAGGATATGAGAGTTGCTTCGGTTTGGCCACTGCTGGAAATATCGGCTCCTCCTTCAGCTGTACTTGAGCTGTGTAAAGATAAAAAGTCAATTACATTTATGTAATATCAAGGACTTAGTCACACTGAATGATTTTTTCAACACTTACCTAATACCTGTGCTGACAGACTCTTGTGCTGCACTACTTATATCATTGACATCATCACTACTGGCAACACCTTCCCCTCCACCCATATCTTCATCCATTGTACTTGATTCATCTAAAATAAAATGAACAATAATATATTGAATATTGTGAACAGTAATATATTGTATGTTACTTAACAACTTCAATCAAGTTTACTAGAAAATCCTGAGATTGTGCAATGTTCTTCATCAAACTCATTTTCATACTATCATGTTTTCATAGATAACCAGATAGGCAAAACATACTAAAGCATAGGGATAATTATAAAAATCTTTTATCTTAATTTACATAACCAAAAGTGTGACATTCAGCTTGATATTTAATAAAATACATAGTACAGTTTGTTTCTCATACCATCTTGTGCCATTGGTGCTCCATCTCCTTCACACACAGCACTGTCAATAGGCATAGCAGAGCTAATTGACTGGTCAGGAGATTCCTCAGCTATAGCATCCACACCTTCAGTTTCATCTAGGCCCTGCTCTTTTATTATTGGATCCAGCTGATGGTCAATCTCTTGAGGCGAATTATCTTCTGTAGCAGCCTATAGCAGAAAGAAAATAAAATACCAATAGCATACCATAATAAATATAGGCATAGAGAAAAAGCCAAGTTAGCTGTGCCCATCCCAGGGTACAAGCAAAGTTTTGCAACAACATGTCTAAGAGTTTCTGCTTCTTTTTATACAGCCAGGTGGGAACCGGGCCCCCATTAATAATCTTAAATAAGCCAGTGGTAAATATAAAATTTTTAAAGAAAATTTTATATGGTTACTTATTAAAAAATTAGTTCAGTTTTGTAAGTTCTTAATAACAAAAAAATCTATAATTTGAATAATATTGCATTTCTGAGTGCAAGCATAAAGAAAATATAAATTTTAGATAGATAAAATTTTACAATTAAATACATTTTGGATGATTGAATTGTGTAGACATTTTTTACTTATTATTATATATAATTAATATTAATATTTTAGTTCTTTTAATATCACAGTATGGAACTTGAGTATTAATAAAATTGCAAATTAGTCTTTTTACATCTATTTTGACAGAATTATTAAAATAAAAAAATTCTTACTGGTGTGGATAAACAATTATCTCCTATATAGGCAGATTCATCAGCAACTGTCCCTGTAGTGGTATCATCAATATCCATTTCTTCTTCAGGATTACCTGTAATATTTAGTAACAATAAATAATACAGCATACAACCTAACAAATAGTTTACAAATATATTGTTGCCATCTAAAAGCTTCAATGGTAGCTTAAGAATTTTATTGGATGGTATGTTTAATATGTTATCAAAAAGAAAACTAATTTTTGCCTTCTAACTCGAATGTTTTATACATGTGACATGATTTATTATCAACAAAACCACAAAAAATGTTAGACTTTCTAATCCAAATGAAACATGTGACATGCTTAATGTATTATCAATATGAGCATCAACAATTTGTAATTCTTCCCCAAATAAGACATGACATGTTACATTGTCATATGAAATTGCTTACATAAAGGGCATTTCCTGTACTCAAGTGTGTATGTAATAAAATACAATTTTAGATGACTTTACCGGAATCATACTAAAATTGATACTCATTCTCTTGATTGACATAAAACAAAATATTTACAATTTTTTTATGTTTGCTTTTATATTTAATACAAAAGTTTTCTATTTTACACTAAATAAGATTAAAAAATGTATATATAATTCATTTGCAAGCAATGTGTGTTATTCCTGTCTTGGCTTAGTACTAATTTTGACATGATCAAATAATTGTGAAACAAAATATTAAATTATTTAGATAAATTACTAATTTCTTATTACCAACCTTGTTCAGCAGCAGGTGGTTCATCAGTATCAGCTATTGGTGGGCCAGGTTCTACATCTAAAGCATCGCTGCTGCTGGTAGGACCACCCCCATTTGCAACTATAATATATTTTTTTAATTTTCATTAAAAACATATAAGGATCTAGATTACTATATTTCCTTACTCATAAATATTACTAGTATGAATATGACAATTTATATAAATGTTATTTTTTACTCTTTTATGCAAAAACAAATGATAGACTTGTATTAAATTTAGCACACAAATAAGTTATATCCTTATTTAACACAAGATACTTTATGTATTGATTAATGCTAATGAACTCGCACGAAAGTTAATATTCTAAATGTACAAGTAAGTTTGTTACTTTATAGCACCTTAATAGCTTATCAAAATTATATAATTTGTTGCATTTGTGATGGAGAACAAATTGGTCTTTTTATCCCGGTCAATCAATGTATCCCAGTTACAGACGAATTGGTGGGTAAAGTCTAGTTTACTGTTTACTATGAAAGTATGCAAAAATACAAATTTAATTAAAAATTCTTTAAGTAATAGAAATATTAGAAAAATAAAGTACATACAACAGAATTAAATCTATCAGAACCCAAATTTATATGGAAATATATAATGGAATGAATAGCAGTTCCTTTAAAAGTAATAATTTAAATTATATCAGTAATAATACAATATTCATACCAGACTGCTCATTGTTAGCAGCATCAGATTCATGACTGGATACATTATTTTCAGCTATTTCTGCAGTATCTGCAGCCTGGGTTTCGGCTAAGGGGGACACTTCCGCGCCATCGGGGACATCGCACTGAAGACCAGAATCCGATTCCATTTTGAAGAAAATAATAATGCACAGTTACACAATAATAATAAACATTGAATTTTAAAAAGTAATCAAACAGAAACAAACATCATTTTAATCACTAATAAAGAAAATTAAGAATCTTTTGACAAATTCGAATTACACTCGACCATAATGCCAACTTGGCGTCATGTTTTTTTTTTAATGGGAGCGGAATTTGTTTATGCTAACCATAGTTTTAGGTGCGTCCGGATAAGCTATAAACCGCCGTACACGGCTAAAAGAACACCATAGAAGAAAAATAGTTCTTATTGTCTTTAGAATGAAATTTAAGAACTTTTTTTACTAATGGAATTCCTTTTTTTTATACAACTTCGAATGCCAAACAAGCTGACGGTCCACCTGATGGAAAGTGGTAACCGTCGCCTATAAACATGTGCAATATCATGGACATAACAGGGTATACTGTTTCGCCCATGATACCCTCTATGCGTTGCCATTCCTGAGGACTCAGGTGTTATTCCTCTGTACCCTGTAAATTCACGCCATATCCCACCCTTCAAACCGAAACACAGCCATGCAAACACAACTGCTTTACGGTTGAAACATGAATAGGACTACAGATGGGCAAAGCACCGGGTTTAAACCCGGTGCTTTGGTAAAAACCCAATAAACACCCATAAACTCCCATAATCACCCAAAAAAATAGGTTTTTACGTATTTTTTTGAAAATATGTAAGTAATACCAATAAATTATTTTTATAAATTGCCAGGTAACCAAAAAGTCGTATGTTTTTGTGCGAATTACGATCATAATCTTTACGATCGTACATTAAAAAATAGACAAATAATAGTATGAGTACGATTTAAATCGTATATCTGTCAACCCTGCTAGCAAGACAGCGACAAAATCACGTTGCATAACAATGTAGCCCAAGCTTATATCTTATGAAATATACGGAAGAGATACGGACTTAGAAAAAACAGAAATGTTGTTCTTTGTGGAAGTCATTGATGAAATTCTATGTATTTTAGCCCGCAAACTTTCTTCAAACAAAAACAGCGCCATCTAGTATCGAGTTCTGTAATTATCTCTTTGTTTATGGATTTGAAGTAAGACCGCCACGCATGCAATACATTATGACTGGGGATTCCCCTATTCGTCGACGCTGAATATGAGGCGACGACAATCACTGTCAAACGTGTTCACTATTACTCTGACTCTGGTAACGTGACTTCCTGGTAACGTGTTAGGTAGGAAAAGCAGTAAAAAAGTGCATATTAAGGGAGCAGATTTGAAATAATATTTATACTTAACAAGAAATAATTAAAGGTAAGTGGATTTTTGAATGATACAATTATATCATGATCACTTAACAATTTTAACTTAAAATTAGATGTATTATTACAAGCTTTTATTTAGCTTGCGTTATGTAAATAAAAGTATGTAGGTATGTTCGTATGTTGATGCAATTATCCTCAATCCTCAACCGACTGGGATAAAATTTTCCATACACGTTTATTTTGGATGATAGTGCATAGTTAGCTGAGAGTCGTCATTGGATAATAATGGTGGATAGCCTAAGATGTGTACTAGATATTTATTTTTAACATAATATGCGTAAGTACCTAATCGAATTAAAGAAGTTGCTGAGAAAAATACAGAACAATACGATAATAAACTAGCGTCTGCGTTTAATCCTCCGAGGAGATGTAATTTTACAAAGGTTTTTTGTATTTATTTTATTATTTTTTTAATAAATTTATTGTAAATAACAAGAAATAATCATTGTAAAAAAATAGGCACTCTATTGTTGAATTTTCGTCAGACCAACTAATCATCGTTCATTTTTTTAGGTTCAATGGGGAGACCTAAAGATTTACGCATATGGGAGCACTACCGTACTTTACCAAACAAGTCTGTTTCTTGCAAGCTTTGTAATAAGGTCTACAAATTCAGTAATGCTGCCAAAATGCTTCAACATCTTATCACTTGTCCAAAATCTCCAGAAACATTAAAAGACTCTATGAAACTTATAAAAGATAGCTCGTCCAAAACCAAAATGTCTGGACTGTCAGAGATAGAGACAAATGATTCTTTTATAAGCCCCTCGTCGTCTGCTAACACTACAATAAATGCTGAGTTTCAAGACACCGATGATCATATAAAAACAGAATTAGCGAGAGCTATATTTGTAACAGGGACGCCATTATCGATGGTGCAACATCCTTTATGGATACAATTTTTCGAAAAATTGCAACCAAAATTTAAAATACCTTCACGTAAAGCTTTAGCGACAAAATACTTAGATAAAATATATAGAGAAATGCGTTTTGAGTTAAATGAGGAACTAAATGCTTGTAGTTACTTACACCTTCAGTGCGATGGCTGGTCTAATTTAAGAAATGAAGGAATAATAAACTTTCTTATATCAAAACCTCAACCTGCATACGTTAAAAGTTTGAATACAGAAAGTAATCCTCACACTAGTGAATACCTTAGCCAAGAAGTTGAAAAAGTAATGAAAGTGTATGGAGCAAATAAGTTTCTTGTACTTATTGGCGATAACGCTAGAAATATACAAAAGGCATTCGAATTAACAAAACTCAAATATCCACATGTTGTTCCTCTCGGTTGCTGTGCACATATCCTTAACTTGTTGTGCCAAGATATTGTAAAGATACAAGAAGTAACTGTGTTTATTATGCAAGCCATAAATATAATAAAAACTGTTAAAAGGAGTCAACGATTAAGTTCCTTGTTGATAAAATCAAGGCAGGGTGAAGATTCTACACAAACACTAAAATTGCCTTGTGCTACAAGATGGGGAAGTCATGTTACTTCGTTAAAAAGTTTGAAAGCAAATAAGATAGCTTTGCAAATATTAACAGTTAGAGAAGATGTGGTAATTTCAAGAGATATTAAAGATTTAATTCTAAGTGATGATTTCTGGACGAAGACAGGGGAATGTATAAGTATTTTGGAACCAGTCACTGAAAGCATATTTTACTTAGAGAGCGACCAGAATCGTTTGCATCGCACATACATTACATTTAGAGATGTACAAGCTAAGATACGTTTTGCATTAAATGAGATTTCGACATTGAGCGAAGAAAGCAAACAGCAGATTCTAACATCAGTATCTTCAAGATGCAATATGGCAATGAGGCCAATACATTTTGCAGCATATATTCTAGACCCCAGGACTCTAGGAGTCGAACTTACTCAAGAGGAAGAACTTAAGGGTATGGAGTTTATCTACAATTTAAGCCAACACTTAAGTTTGTCAAATGTAATGGCAGATTTGGCGTGTTATAAAGCTAAAGAAAACTTTTGGGCCAGAGGATTTGTATGGAGCTCATTAGATAGCATTGAGCCCCTAATATGGTGGAAAGGTATTTGTGGTTCCACTGAGTTAAGCAAAGTAGCGATTCGTATTCTATCAGCTCCCTGTACTTCGGCAGCCACTGAGCGTTCCTTTAGTATCCAAGGCTACATACATAATAACAAAAGAAATCGACTTACAACTGAAAGAACTGAAAAAATTTCATTCATTTGTTATAACTGGAATCTTAAACATAAAGCTGAATGCGAGGACATTCAGTTTAATGAAGAAAATACCTTAGAAGCTTTCATTGAGCAAGTAAATGAACATAACAGTTTAGACGAAATAGAGCCTATCGAACCTATACAATTCATCGCTTGTAATAACTCTGAATCTGACAGTGATTGACTGTAGTTTTACATTTTACTTTCATCTCTTTCTTAATAAACTCAAAATCAAATTAAAAGTTTTTTATTCTGTAGGCTGCATAATAATATTGTCTATGTCCAGTATAGTGGACGTCTTGCGGCTGAGATGACGATGATGAAGTACAAAATCATAAACACCCAAAAATTTGGGTGTTTATGGGGTTTAAACCCAATAAACCCAAAACACCCGGTTTTTACCCACCAGACTTTAAACCCACCCAGGTGGATTGCCCATCTCTAAATAGGACAGAGGTAACCAAATAAACGACTTTTGTACAAAGTCTCCCTCTGGTAAAAATTCGCGGAGTAAATAGAAAAAAAAAGTGGAAAAACTTCAAAATCTTTTTCTATATTTACCATGTTTCCTATATAGTACAAATGATCTTTTCAAATCGATCAAATACCAAATATATTTTGTCTATTTAAAAACGTACTTTAAATGTTATAGTACGAAAGTGTAAAATTTTCAAGTGTTGTAATTTGTTTTTCGCAGCATATATATTACGATGTGTATAAGTTTTTTTATAACATTGATACAAATGAGCATGCGGCTTACCTGATGGTAAGTGAACACCGCCGCCCATGATTACCCACAACACCAGAGCCATGCCGGCCTTTTAAAAAAGAATATGCTGTTTTATATAATATATTTGTATTCCAGAATATGTAAAAGGTAAGTTGTAATTATTATTTTAAAAAAAATTTAATAGATACCGTAATTTTTTTTTATGAAAAATAGAATGACTAATTGCTAAAGGGGTTGATAAAAACAAAGAAAGAGGGTAATGTAAACGCTAATGAGGTGAAATGAAAAAAAATTGTCATTTAGGGTTATCAAAACTGTTTTACCGACTTTTATTATATAGTTATGTCACTCAACAAACGAGAAAAATATTTTATGTATTAAGCTATAATTTTTATTTTAATGCCCAATATAAGATAAATAAATAAGAATACATAAACTTATTTTACAAAAGTGACAATTCCAACAATTTTTTCTAATGATCCGTCTCTAATTTCTATTAACCTAACCTCGGTGTGTATAGACAATAAACATATTTTGGGAGATTTCAAGGTAACCAGGCGTTTAAAAAAAATTTAAATGAAGCTTCAAATTATTTTTATTCGCCTGTTCTACGCTGTATATCTATTTACTTATTCAACGTCGCGTTTGATTATCAAATTAGCCATAAAAAATAAAAATGTCGACGAGCCCTGAAATGTCACTTCGACAATGGCATTTCTTTGTTTACATCGTTGCCACCTAATTCCGTTTTTGAATTTGAGGTTATAGGTATCTATCTGCATGAATTATCAATTGTTTTCTATATTATTACAATTTGTACTCATTTTTCATTCTTGTTTTATTTTGTATAGTAGGTAGGTACCATCGTATAATTTTGTTGTATATCAATATGTATCTTACACTAATTTCACTTTATTACATTACGTAATTTAATGATCCGGTGTAATTTTTACGGACTAATGCTTTTTATTTGCTATTGTCACTGAGTAAACTCAGTTTTTCAACTACTCTTTTTTTCTATGGCGAATTAATTAATATCAATACGGAATATTTACTGGATCCAACGGCATTTGATCAAAGAATATAATGGCTAACAACAACATCAGTAATGAGAAACCTGGAGACGGACTTAGATCTTTAAGATCTACTACAGCATTTAGAGTTATTAACTTCGAGCTGTATGCAAAACCTGTAAGATCTGTTTATATATTTATAAAAATAATATTTACAATTTATTTACAAGCTGACTTTGTCAGTTGTATTAGCATAATAAGTGCCTTATATATTATTTTTTAATATGGTTAATCAAATTACATTCAAATCTGTCTAAACAGAATTATAATAAACAAAGTTTTTAAAACTTGTATAGAACTAAATGTTAAGTTTAGCAAAATGCAAAAATTTAATGAGTAAACAATTTATCTGAATAAATAGTAAATTAAAGTTTCTATAGCAATGTTTTACTACAATGTCTCTGGGTGTATGTCAGTATATATACATTGCTGCATGGAACATTTGAAATCTGTAGTATATTATTGGCCCGAACTACCTTCACTTAACTGATAAATTTGTAATGGCTATATTTTGAACATGATATCTTAAAACAACCCACTAAACAACCTATTATTGGGCACAAGTACATGGCACAACTTTATCCATATGTTTTTTCATATTCTAACATAGACTTTTACTTTCTATATAAATGGTATATAGCAAGTACTTATTATTTTTAAATAAAATTTATAAACTTATTTCATGTGTTTTTGTTCTAGAATATTGTCATAATGGGTATTGGACTAACTTGTTTTGGTATAGCACTGGGATACATTGCCTATATGAGAAGCAAATATGAATCAATGGGATACTATGCAGCTGTAGATAAAGATGGCAAAGAAATATTTGAAAAAAGGAAATCCAAATGGGATTAGTGATAAAATAAATTTTAGTTAGGTATGTTTAATAAATGAATTTGCTCAAAATTTTGAGATACTTCTAGAGGAAGTATATATTTAGAATAAATATCACTTCATCTACTACTATTTATTGACTACACCCACCTTTGCTCTCTTTACCTCTGTGAGTAAAAACTGAATGCTTCAGTTATTCTATTTTATTTGTAACTATATTATTTGTAACATACTTTTTATTATTATTATTATTTGTAATATAAAAGTTATATTATTTGTAACACTATTTAAAAGAAATTTTTGTAAAACAATTGCCATTCTGTGGAAATTTATATATATGTTTAAATTATCATAATGATGAAATGTGACATTACATAGTGTAGCTAAATGAACTTACTAAGTGTAATTGATAATATTATTAGATACATTATATTAAATCTATATATAAGTTAGACTTTTTCTAATTAAGCATTATTTAAAATAATTTTAAAGTTAGATTACTGAGCATGTAACAACTTCATTTTGATTAGGATTTCATTGTGTTGGTGTTATAGTTACTGTATTAATAAATAAAAATGTCTATTTAACATGTGGTCCTGTTTTATTGAAACATCTTAAGTGATATATGGTCACTCTCTTCAGAAATCGCTGAAATTAAACAATTATCCCCATCAATACCTATTGTCTCTTTCAGTATACGATTAGGTATCAGTAAACATGCCATTTGCAATCTCGTGGTAAAAACAGAACTAATCTATTAATTTAAGTTAATAATTCACTCAACAGAGGCCCACTAAACATTAAAAATTTGTTCAGTAATTAGCAACAAGAAATCAAAGAATCATCCCTGTAGGATTGTTGGTTTAGGAATTTTGTTCAAAAATTCAAATGCTTGAATCGATTAAAATAGGACCATATAATTTATGAGAATACAGATTCTATAAATAAATTTGAAAAAAACAATAATTAACAAATATTTAATTTGTTATTGCAAAAAAAAATAACGACTCTCTGTATATTTTCATGCCAAGTCCCTTGTGAGGTAAGTAGAGAGAAGCGAGTGCCAAAGACCTTTATTCTTATATATCTCTTCCATAGGACTTAGTTTACTGTTTTTATATACGTTAGATGGTTTACTGATACCAAAGCTGTCAAAAAATTGCCAAATTTCTCCAAGCTCATTTCCTTTTTTTAACAAAAAATTCATTTTAAATTTTTTGGTGAAAACTGAACAATTTTTAACTGAAAAATTTTTATCAATAAAAGCGAAAAAGAAATCCAAACTGACAATGCTGAATCTGTCAGCTGTAGTGTCACTTTGATAGACCTGTCAGAAAGACAAGTCTTATCTATAGTGTCACGTAAACAAAATTAAAAACAACATAATACGATTAATGAACTCTCGGAATTGATACAGTTTATAACATTGTTTCAATTTAGAATTATAAATTATGTGCTAGGAAAATCTACAAAAATGTTTTCTGCTCTTAAAAAACTCGCAAAAGGCAACGATGACCGCTGTCCAGCTCCTATGCCTATGTCTTCCTCTTTGCAAAAGAAATTTTCCAGAGGAGTACATTTTAACAGTAAATAATTTAACTACTACTATAAATATAATATAATATAAATTACTACTGTTAAAATTTAAATAATTTTAACAGTAGTAATTTTTTTTCTTTGTTTATTTATTAGTTATTGAAACGAAAAAAATGTTTCAGTGAAAATATTAATCAAAGGCGATAGAAATGTTGGTAAATCTTGTCTTCTTCAGCGGCTTCAAGGTGGCCCTTTTATAGAAGAGTATGTACCTACAGATCAAATACAAGTGGCACCTATTCACTGGACATACAAAAATACGGATTATATTGTTAAAGTAAGCAGTTGATTGATATACTTTTTACTATAACACAATTAATGTATAAATAAATACTGATTTCATATTTTAGAGTAAAAGTTTATTAAAATTAATTTTAATATAAAAATACAAATTTTTACTATTTTAAATAGATACAATTTACCAAACTTTTAAAGTGCCAAGAGGTAAAGAAGAAATAAATAAATGAGTTCATATTTACATTTATAATATTAATAAAGATCTAATAAGTGTGTAAAACAGAAATATGTATTTTGTAGGTTGAAGTGTGGGAAGTAGTAGATAAAGCTCGAGCAAAGAAAAAAGCTCCTTTAGGACTAAAATTGGAAAATCAGTCTAAGCAAGCAATTGATGATGATGTCTATGAAACCCCAGTGCTGGATGCAACTTTTTTGGATGTCTATAAAAATGCTACAGGTGTAATTTTGATGTTGGACATTACAAAACCTTGGTATGCATTCTACACAGTCTAATTATATTTTATTCTAATATATTTTTTATACCTGCTTGAGAATATTTAATGCCAATAATGTTTAATATTACTGGCAATTTTTTTAATGCAACTCAGAATTAAAATCAACCTGATGGTCCACTTGATTATTTTTCTTTTACTATTTAGTAATTTAAGTATTCAATTATTAATTAATTTACAGGACTTTTGATTATGTGGTGAAAGAATTGTCTCATGTGCCTGCGGATCTGCCTGTAGTAATACTTGGAAATCACTGTGATATGCAACATCATCGTCAAGTTCATCCTCATCATATAGAACAAGCACTTTATCATGCTAGGCTCAACAGGTAAGATTTGGTAGACCCAGTAGAGCTAAGGTCTCCCCATGAGAAGTATATTATTCTGCTATTATTATTCTATGCTGGGTAGGTAGCTTTTGCCTCACCAGTATGTGCTGATAGCACAGGTGGATCACCATTATATGTTTACCCATTAAAAAAAAATCCACCTCTACTATTGATATATGCTGGTAAGACACCAGTGAGTGATCTTAGTTGAAAATAATGGCAGGTCAATTGCCCCATTATGACATTTTCATGGGGAATTAATTATGCTGGTTTCCAAGAGGGACTATGTGGAGGTCAACTTGACAGGATTTTTACAGTAATTTGTTTTTTTCATTTCCAACTTGTGAACCTTTTACAAAATTTAAAGGATATAATTAAAGATTGTGTTCCACAAAAAAAACTAGCTTCAATTGTGACAAAATCAGTTATTTTGATTTAAAAACTACTGAATCAATTTTGATAAAATTTCTATAATACTAAACTGTAAGTGTATCCTTTCAGATAAAAAAAAAAATTCTAAATAAAATTTTGAATTAACATAGTTATGAGATAACAAATATAAAAAAAGAATATACTAATTGAGAAACTCCTCCTTTTTGAGGTCAGTTAAAAAGATGGGCTCACATAATATTTTTTTGCACTATAACTAAATTACAGTTATTTTTGGCAATAGAAAATATTTTAATGACTATACATAATTGTAATTTAAAAGATTTTTCTTTAACAGGCCAGCACCTGTACGTTATGCAGAATCTTCAATGAGGAATGGCTTTGGATTACGTTTGCTGCACAAGTTCTTAAGTGTACCTTTTCTTAGACTTCAAAAAACAAGTTTATTAGAGCAGCTGCAAAGAAATCAAAAAGACATGGAAGAAATTGAAAAGGAACTTGATGATTTTCAAGTATGATGAATAAATTAATTCTTACATGAGTAAAATTTACTTCAATGTAAATGCAGCTTTAACTATGTGTCCAATGTCTGAATAATTAGTGCAAAAGTTATTTTTTGTATATAAGTAACATTATATCTGAAATTATTATAATAGTTTGTAATCTGATTTGAACCTAGACTATAATTATATGGATAATATCCTGTGAATCATTATTATTTCAACTATTTATTGTTCAGTACTTAACATCCCTAGACTGCTAGACTAAGAAACAGTTTTTGATCTAGTTTACAAATGTACAGACATATAAAAATAGGTACAATCTAAAATTACAGTTTGACTTCCTCCTTTTTAAAGTTGAAAAAATCAAAATCAGTAATGCTAAGCAAGTCCTTAAAAAGTAATCTCTAAAAATAAATGAAATTTTCACACGAAACAATTTGTTTTAGAATTCAGAGGAATCCCACTACAATTTGTTTGTAGATCGTTTGGCAAATAAGCGCAAACTAAGCAATGCACAGCCTGAACAACGACCAACTAATGATAGGTCACCAAGCATTGTGTTGGGAGCTGGTAAACCAATAGTGCCACCAAATGTCAATCCACTTGTAAGTATTTGTTTTCTTACTTTTATGTATACTTTTTTTTATACTTACACTTATTAATTATCTTCATTTTTTTTCTCAATTATACAGTTAGCACAAACCGTGAATCCTAGTAAACCACAATCTGAAAATTCACAAGTGCAACAAAATCAATATGTGAATCCTGAATTGTTACAATCCAAACATTTCATTGGTACGGATACGACGTCACCTCGGTCACTTTCTAACAAGTAAGTTATATTCTTACTTATCTATAATAAAATCGTAATAAAACCAAATTATTTTTAGAAACCAAATAAAAATTTCATAAATTTCTATCTATTTTCATGTCAGCATTTAACATATTTTTAAGTTTTTATCCTATCTAAGTGTATCAGGACCATTATACTCAATCGTTTTTCTAAATTACCATCAAACCATTTTCCTATCTTGGTATAATATTGCTATTTTGCACATAATATATTAACTATATTACAGTAGGAGAGTAATTATTGGGCATAAATAATTAAAATATCAAAAAAAAATTTACTTAGGATTAGAATATAGTTTGTTACACAAATTCTTTTTTTCCTCTTTCCTCTAAGCTTATACTAAGAATTGTGCATCATCTAAGGTGTTGTAGACTAGAAATATGGGTATATAAGAATTTGCCCATAATATATACATTTTTATAAGTTAATGGTAGAGGGATGGGCAGCAACGTCCCTCTTAAAACATCTCTAATAGCCTAACTGCGTTGCCAACCCGCCTGCCAAACATGGCAACTACTGGCAAAACTTCCCTTATGAGGAAGGTTCAGCAGTGGACAGTTAACGGCTGAAATGATGATGATAATATACATTTTTTGCTAAACTTTTAAGATTATATCTATTTACAAATATATTATTGACATGCTCTATTTTAAAAGTGTGGCATAATTGAGGTACTAATATTTGCAGTGATAAGAGCTCTTCGTCAGGTACCAACGCGCCGTCGATAGGTACTTTGGATGAGTTCTATGCTGGGACATTAGATAGCAGCTTTTTAGAAGATCTCACACCCTTGTCTAACGTCAGCCAAGACATCAAATACGAAAGTGACAGGTACAAATTATTAGAATTGGTTATAGGGAACAACGAATTATAAGAAATATTTTAATAAATTATTGATTCTTTTTTAGCGATGATGGGGCTATGACAAATCCTAGAGTAACGGTGGACGAAGATGATCTTGATATTGATACTAGTGCATCTGAAAGCGCCACGGGAACAAAACTTTCTAGTGATCTCACATTCGGTTCAAGATCTCTTAAAGAATCTAACATAGAAAAGTTAATGAGTCATACATCAATCAGTAAAGAGACGGATATTTCAATACAAACACCTGTCGCTCCAACAGATATTGATCTGAAACTGTCTATGCTTGATCATAGACACCATGACATGCAGTTGTCATTGGATAGTGACTATCCAATTTGGGCTGGTGACTCCAGCGCTAGAAGGTCTCCTGAAGGTGGGTCATCATATAGATTGGTAATGTAGAAAAAAGAAACCTTATGAGATATATCTTAAAGCAAAATAGAGAAGTAGGTCGTTGATTTAAACAATATAAGCTCGAAGCTGATTTGGCGGGAGTATGAACAAGTTCTAATTATTATGTTTTGAAGTGGATTCAGTGAATATAGTTGGTTAGAATTAAGTGTGGCCAGCACGCTTAAGTAATATACTTTAGTACGCACACTCTACTGCTAATGCAATTTGATCTTGTCCCCCCCCCCCCCCTCTCCACCCTTATTAGGTACGCATTAGCTAGGTGCTAGTCTAATGGATATCTCTAGTCTACGCATTAGCGGATACAATATTTAGGAGGTATTAAGAGAATAACTAGCTAGTCTCAATTTGGGTGGAAATCCAGTTATTAAGAAAATCTAAATAGACTTTTGTTGCATCGCATTAATTTTGTAATTTTGGAAGTGATCATTTAGACGATTAACAAATTAATAAAATACATTAGCCCAACTGATTAAAAATGATAAGTATATCTCAATATACATGTAAAGTACTAATGCCCCCTAGAATATATAATTATTACTGAGAACTAAGATGTTCTGCATGCGTATCCGGTATAGCACTTTTTTTTTTAATATTTATACTAGTGAACTACTCAGTATATCATTTTTTCTTAGTACAACACTATTTTCGATATTATCCAAAAATTTGATTAATCATTTTACAATGAAGGCTGCGCAGCTTTTTCAAAGCCACAGTTCAATCCAAATTATATAATACATTGAAGCGCGCGCTAACTACATCCGTATACGTTATCACATGTACAGTTGTGACAATCTCAGATCGTGGCGTCTTTATATGAAGTGATCAATTGGTCTGGGTATTTTCTATGTATAACATGTGTATATATTTAAAAACTACTATTTAAGTATGTTTATCAGCCGTTCAGTAAGTTAGTACATGCAAGCTCTGCTTAGTTTGAGATTACGTGGTGCTCTGTAATATGTCCAGTTGTATTTATTTATTTATTTTATAGGTGGAGAGGACCCGGATTTAGCTAAAGAACCTAACGTTAAGGTAATTTTATATTGGTATTTTAATAAAACATATAAATATATAATAAAGGCGTAATAATCGAAAAGCCTGTACATTGATTTTTTTTCACGATAACGAGGGAAGATATAGAAATGATATAGATATTGAAATATTAATACAACTTAATCGAGTTTTGTTGAAATTAATTTTCATATATATATACAAACCATACATTTGCTTTTTGTTTCTATTCATATGTTTAGATATTAATTATATTTATCACTGAGTTCTAATAAGTTTTACTTGCACAGAATTGGTAATACTGAACGTTTTAACGACACAGGTAGAGAAGAAACACAAGAAAAAGAAATCCAAGGATAAAGACAAAGAAAAAGGCGATTACAGCGACAAGTCAGATCGTAAGGAAAAGAAACATAAACATAAGAAATCTAAGGGTGAGAAACAGCCAAATCCACAACAAGATCTTCTGGCACCCGCATCGTACAACGAATTTAATTATGAAGAATATGACAGTATATAATTTACTTTTGTACTTATGCTATTTTGTGTTCGAGTCGGTTATTGACTCAACTGACTATGGAGACGGTTGCCACTTTCTATCAGGTGGGCTGTCAGCTTGTTTGGCATTCCAAGACGCATCACAAGAGTCGAGAATGAAGATTACTAGATCATTTTATTTTTTCATATAAGATTAGACAGATAAATATCAAGGTAAAAGCAAGAAAGTGAGATTATCCGTAATTACACCTTTTAAGGGTTCGGAAGCGTTTAGTATATTTTATAGGCTGCACGTCCGATATTGTTTATTCTCATATAAAATATGCTTATATAATTCTTACTAATATTATAATATTGTGAAAGTGAGTTTGTTACCTCTTAGCGCCTTGACGTCTCGGCTATGACCGTTAGTATACATAGTACATATTTGAAATGGAAAAGATCATATAATATTTTTATCCCAGTCACGCGAAGTTGCACGCACAGCTCATAATATTATGGAGATAAAAAAATACTTGCCTACCTAAAGTACGTTCAAAGATTTGTCTATTTTTCCATTTGCATTATGAACAGAGATTAGAGCATTTTCTTCCTATAAATTAAAGCTAATTAAATTTAAGCTGAAGCTATATTATGGTTAAGTATGCTACATACACACGATGTTCAAATTCCAAGTACTGTCTTGTTTAAATATATGCATATATTTGTGTTACTAAATCATTTATACAATCAGGTCTTTATGGGCCTGCCTAGATTTTGTCATAGAACCTAATTCCAACGATGATCAAAAGGGGTTAAAATGCCCTTTTCAGGCGAATCATATTTACGTGTTAATAGGCCTCTGGTGCTAAGAGCATAATATTAACATACTAGTTAATATTATGTTCTTAGTATTTACATTGGTGCATTATATAAAACAATTCCTATTATGATTCGTGTTCAGTGGTGTTTTTAATTCTTCAAGCACGAAATTTAATTAATGGTATATATGTCGGGATAAAAGTCGTTGGCGCTCTGTTTTATCTGTATCCAAAGACCAGATCAAATGTATATTATCTATTCTTATATATACTTTGCATGCTCAGTAGAGAATGTTTATATGCCTTAATATTAAAATAACAATACATAACAGACTAACAGCTAAAATGAAAAGATTTTGGGATGAATTGATTGTGTTATTGCACATTATTATTATTTTTGTTTGTCCTATATATATATATATATATATATATATATATATATATATATATATATATATATATATATATATATATATATATATATATATATGATCAATTGAGATAAGACATACAAAGATTGTTTACTAAATGAAGATAGTTATCTAGAACAAATAATCTTTTCTGAATATCCCATATGAAAAGGCCATTTTCTGTATAACTAGATCCAAACATGCCAAGGATTATTCTTCTTTGATATTAACCTAAGAAATTAGTGGCATCCACCTTATGTTTATGCGTATGTTTGTCGAATTTATGAAAATACTGTTTTATTAAGAGTCAAAACAGCGCAATCTATTGAATTGTACACTTAATCATTATTTTGTACATAATGACATTATTTAAGTTTGCTAAATACATTTTTAGTTTGGTTGATTTTTGATTACACATTTTGACCTAAGATCGTAAAAGCATAATTCTTTCTAACAAAGCCCTCGACCTTTAGGGCCACAATGCCGGTGATCTAGAATTTTACAGAAAATTTTATACAATTATAATTATTATTATTATTTTACAAAATTTTTATGCAATATCCTCATTGTATGTTTGTGTCTGCTTTGATAAATATATTGTGCAATTATACATGTTTAACATATTAGTCTTAATACATATATATCTGTTATCTCAATGGAATATTATTGTTGTAAATGTTTAAGCTTGTTGTAGAAATATAATATTTTTACTGGTCTAAATGTTGTTTTTTTTTTTTTTTTTATTAGGCGGTTTGGTGGAAAATAGAAATAAAAATTAACAGCAAATATTAGGGTTATGTGCGTTTCAACAAAAGAAGTTTAATAAATAGAGTACAATTCTATTCAAAATGTAAATGTACAACCACATCGATATTTTATTGGTTAGATTATAAAAATTGGACCACATGTGAGAAGTCCATGCAGTAGTGTAACAATATTACAAACAAAAATCTCTACATAACAGAACTTACAGATATTAGTCAACTTTATTTTATACATACTATAGTACACGATTATTTTAACATAATATTCGCCTAATATTATAGGTATTTTATACATTCTATGTATAGTAGATAATATTTTTCATTTTGTAATAAGTTAATAAAACTATAAAATATTCTCTTCAGTTAAACATTAGGCATTTTTATAAGGCTAATGTAGTTATTGGAAACAATATTTGGTGGTTTTCTCTGGGCTCATCAAATACAACGTGAAGTATATATGTAACATAACAATTTATACAAAGCATTTTGTACTTCGCTTTTATAAAATGAAATTCGTGAATAGTTATCATGAGTTCAAATAATATTTATCACATTTAAAAATGTATGCAAATTTTAAAACTAGTTTTGTTGCATGGGATATTTAATATTCACTTTAAGAGTTCGATTTAAATGTATAATTTTAATATACATGTTTAATATTATTTTCTGCAACTAATTTGATGTAATCGTTTCAATCAGTTGAAAATAGTATTGATTTGAGTTCTTTAGTTGTAGTTATGTAGCAGAATTTGCATTATAATTTGAAAACTTGAACTCATGATTTTCAGATGAAATTAATTTCATATGTACAAGTAGAAAGTTTGAATCCATATGAAAACTAAAATGGCAATCTGGTATACATAGACATAATGTATAGAAAAAAAAAAGTTATGATAAAGTAACGAATCGCACCCCGTTCTACTTTTTTTTTTTATCAACATGTAAATTTAAATATAATTTATTAATAAGTTTGAAAGTTCTACTGTGACATTTTGTTTTTTACCAAAATACATGATGTATGTTTGATGGAGACATGTCATTAAGGTTTAAACATTACAAATTATAATTTTAATACTATTTAACAGTTTGCATATATAATGAAAAGAAATTGAGAAAGCTCGGAGATTATTATACTATCACTTCATTTTAACATAAATTCACGTTCATATAGTTTCGTAAATTCTCTTCAATATCGTATAAATAAAATTACAACAAAACATCATTTTTAGGTGGGTGATCTGCTTATTGTCGTGCTGTTTTCTTCAGTTATCGGATAAAAAAATATAATACATTATAATATCGCGGTTTTTAATATGGACGGCTTTTTATGAAAAGAAAACTGAAGATGGAAGTTATTTTATCCAAATTAAAGAAAACGATTTATCGCTAAACTGATTTGACAATAGTAAATTAGAACGGGGTTGAATCGTCGCTTGACTCTATGCAACTCATTATTATAGTAGTAGTATTTATTAAACTACAAATAAATATATTTCATCAGAAATTGGTCGGCGTTCTGACAAGTTGATCACAGAATAGTTAACTTAAAAAGAATTTCTTTGTGATGTAAATGTTGAAATAGTGTGATGTAACTTTTTTTCAGTTGACACTTAATCAAGTAATCATTATAGTGAAATTGATCAATGAGTGACTCATTTTCTTTTGGGATAAGTTAATCTAAATTCAAAAATATTTCCTATGAGCAATCTCAAGGAAGAATATTTCCCATAAACCCATCGGATACAGCATCGCCCGTAATCCGTGTCATAAACAATTAATTATTGCCATCGTGTAAAGATTCATTTCAAAATTATATGAAAACATTAAATAATAATAAAATCAGGTAAAGTAAAAGCTGCCGCAAAAAATGCTGGTACATCTAAATATAGGTGCTATACTAAAATATTACCAACATTATTTCATTGCTGTCATATAATTCATTTTTTACTTCAAAGAAGAACTACATTAGCTTATTGTTGAATGTTATTTTGTAATAATACGTCGCGATTAACATATCGAGATGTATAATAACATTACATTTAATTAAGTATTATTATCTTATCGAAATCAAGCAAGACAAAAAATAACATATTGACTACTATTTATATATAATAATTACAGAAAACGATATACTAGTCTACAAAAAATATATATCATAGCAATTGACATTTGCTCAAATGTAGTTATGAAAGAAGCTACCTATATTTAGCCTTATAATATTCAAATCCAACTTGGCAGGGGGCAAGCTTACAGCTGATTCTCAGAATAAGTTAGTTGACATTAAAACACAAAAGAAATAGAAATTTGTAAAATGAAAAATGTATCCTGCAGAAGAGCTCTATATTATTATTATCGAGACATCTAATATTTAACAACTGTTTTTGAGAATTATAGGCAATGTAGGCATTGATCCTTTTATTAACACCATTTTTATGTATAAAATCTACTATATGAATATATGACGAGTTTTGATAATTTCTTTAATGTGAATTAAATCTAAGAATTACTAATTGCTCCCTTATAGATATAATTATGATTTTTATGATTTGCTTTATGATTAAACATTACATTTCGTGGTTTGCATACAAATAATTAACAAAACTGCCTCGTTTGGAGGCGAAACACTTAGCAACAAAATAACACTCAACAACAACTTGCTAACAACATAGTTAACAATCTATAGTGCATCTAACAAACAATACGCAAACATCCCACACATTAGCACTTCATAATCTGAAAACCACTGTTATCCCGATTTGTAAAATGTATAAAAAGGAATGTTCATTTACTGCACATTATAACAAAGAAGCAAGATATTATATAAAGAAGAAGAAAGAAATGATATTGTTATAAACACAAAAGTGTAAAGATGTATTACAAAAAAATAAATTACAAGTCAATATTAACAAATAAAAATGAAATAAATATTCATTTTGGCCTCAGTTTATGTAAACAGATTTTGGCATTCAAATAAAGACTCACTCTAAAATCTAACTCATGAGTATAATTCAACAATATCTAACTTCATCGATGAATTCACTAGTGTCTAATATAATTTGCTCTTATCGTCTGTAGACTACATTGCAAAATAAATTTAATGCATTTCTAGCTTCATTACTCTTAAATCTACCTAGACAATCTTATTTACAATCTCTACAGCTTAATTGTTCAATTTGCAATAATTACAAGTTCACCCTAACCTTCTACAGGGGACAAATTGCATCCGTAACGTCAAGATCGGTCTTTCGCCGTAATATCGGAAGTCAGCTGAGAGGTGTGACGGCGAATATGCGCGGGGACGTCAGTCCACGCGTGACGTCTCTGTATAATTATCGTCCAAATAGCTCTGTAACACATGAGCTTGGTGTCCTATATGGTGTGTGCTTAACGAGTCGAAATTAACGTTCTGATCCACATATGTATTGTGCACTTGGTGAGGCGGTTCTACACGAAATTGACCTAAAGTCCACGCGTCACTAATGTCTTCGTTGGGTTTTCTCACTCCACTATCAAAAACAGGCATATTGTTCCAAGACTGCGCTGGGGGAGTGTTGAGCATGGTGGGAATGTTGTCAACGCGCGGTGGGATTTGATGTTCGACGTTATACGACGGAGTCCCCCATACCATTGACTCTATATTAGATGTAGGAGCGGACAAATTATATCTGTCCATACTCCATGAGTTAGTAACATCAGGATTCGCCACATTATTATGCACTATTTCTGGCACTTTAGCAACTGATCGATTGTACATATCTTGTGTCCTTCCACTTACAGTGGTTCTAGACGCTGGAACAGTATCTGGGCTTGGCAAATGGCAATCTGGACGTTTCATAGGGCTGTAACCACCAACGCCTGGGCTCTTTTTATTAGAATAAGCCACATTATCAACACTAGGCCTTGGTGAATAAGGACTATGATGATGTCGATCTTGTCTCGACATAGGGCTATATTGACCGGGTGTTTTATTCGGAGTGTTTCTAATATCACTTTTTACATTAAGGCCTGGATCAGGACTTGTATGGGTGGAAGGGTGAGGGGAAAATGGGGCATGATGTTTTGGCATAGGACTATAATTACCAGTGTTCCATGCACCGGTTTTTTGGAGGTCTGTTTTGACTATTTGACTTGTATCAGGACTTGGTTGTGCAGAGTATGGACTAGGTTGTGATGAATATGGACTAGGCTGAGTAGAGTACGGGCTGGGCTGAGTTGAGTATGGACTAGGTTGAGCGGGACTTGGTTGAGCAGAGTAAGGGCTTCTCTGAGAGGAAAACTGATTTTCCTGTCTGGGCATTGGACTGCCATAATTCCAATTATTAGGATTTTTTATGTCTTGTTTGAGAGCAATAGTTTCTGGACTAGGTTTATTTTCGAGTGAAGTAGTTGGACTACACTGTTCTATCATTTTGCCTTGCCTTATTTTACTATGGTTCTCTAATCTATTTAAGGGGCTTGCCTCTGATTTATTTGTAGGCGTAGTTTTGAATTGTCCTAAATTCCAAGAACTATTGCTTTTTATTGATTCAGTTTGCACTTCGGGACTATTCTGAACTTGGCTGTCTGGCTTTGAGACAGGACTAAAATAAGGACTGCCCAGATCTGCTTTAATCGGTTCTGATCGAGGAGTAGAAGATGAGTCAGGTCTGGATTGTGCCATAGGACTAAGTAATTTTGGAGTAGAATCACCAGGAGAGTGTTTAGACACAGCTGATGTTACAGTGTCTGTTACTTCTTTGCTTGCTAATATTTCACTGGTTTTACTATCTGGAGATTTTGTACTTTCCTGGGTTGGTTGTTTAGAATATGAATCTGACAAACTCTTGGGTTCCTGAAACACAGGTGAAGAAGACTGATCTTGAGATTTTGTCTCTTCTTTATCATCAGAACTATGAGAAATGCCATGCTTCGGAGATCCCTTCAGTTCACTGTCTGATTCTGATTCAGCTTCTGTTTTCTTTACGTCTTTCTTCTTCATTCCTTTCTCAGAATTATTATCTTTGGTTTTCGCCTTTTCAGGATCTAAGCTGTCCTTAAGGTCCTGTAATTCTTTGCCAGTAAATAATCGCTTCATTCCCCTTGGTAGAGCTCGACACGAACTAAGATTGATTGATTCTACAAGGGGGCACTTAAGAAGGACTTTCTTTACTGCTTCCCAAGATACTGATGACCCACAAAGATTCAATGTTCTGTAATAAATATATAACAAATTAAAATGAATATGATCCACATGGAAAATAGCAATGGCAGGTATTTTTCACGATTTACGATGGTAGATGGTAGATAGATGGTAGGATCACTTAATAGAGAGTGATCTCTTTTGTTTGTAGATTGAATATCATAGAACACACAGCATTCTATATTGCTATTTCTGAGGATAAGTGTCTCGATTCCTAGTAATTTTACTGCTAATTCCAGCTCTTAATCTGAATCACAGACAATCATATCCACTTGGTGGTAGAAACATAACAGTGACAGAGATATTATGTAATGTAAAGTTATTAATTTAAAAATATTATAGAAGTTTATTATAGAAATTAGCAAAAGAAAAGGAGATAACCCAACTAATGGAAAGAATGTTAACACTATAGACATGTATTGTAAAAATCATTGATTACATTGTGACATTCATAATAACCCTCACGTGTTACCATTTCAGTTACTTTATTGCCATATTCCAATTTTTCGAATCAACATAAAGCCATAGACAAATTCAATATTTACCTTAGTTTACTATCAGATGAATCCGCAAGTGCGGAAACTGCAGCGTCGAGCACTTGTGTAGCAGACGCCCAAGATAGGTCGAGCTCTATTAAACTATGCGACCACTTTTCACAGATCAGCTCTAAGCACGCATTGCTTTGACGCGTCACGTTGCAACCTAGAGACAAATGAGTCAAGTCAGGAACTATTTTTGTATATTACATTTTCTTGTAATTGTTATGAAATTAATAGAAAAAAGGTACATTTTTTAAATATTGTGCTCTGTGATAATTTTTGAATACCTACCATTAAAAATAATGAGTAATCAAAAATAAAACATTTATGTTGGAATCCAATCCATAAACATTTGAAGTCGAGTTCACCACTAGGGTATTCAACTATGAGTAGCATGAATTTCATATATAGCCACAATAACAACAAATACAGAAACAATAATTCTGCCTGCGCTATTATTTTATATTGGCGAGGTATTACTGAACGATCAAGTCAACTGCATAATATTTTAATTGATGATAATAAATGGCAACTCCGCCTGCGCTATCGGTATACGCGGGCGGACCAGTAGTTTGGTTACCTCCAAGGAAAAGATGCTGCAGGTCCCAGGCAGGCACGCGGACCAGGCCGGAGTCGGAGAGACGCTGCAGGCCGCGCAGGTCGAGTAGCCGCAGACGAGTGGCGCCGCGCACCAGCCGCGACAGTGCCTCGTCCCCGAGGCGGTATTCACCTACGCCCACCCGCTCCGTCGCCGCCGACCCCGCGATCGACAGCTCCTCCAGTTGCGACCACCCGCCCGCCTCCATCTGACACGGAATCACCGCGAATTTATATAATAACTTTGTGATTTTTTTTATTCTATATTAATTGTTTCTCATAGCTTTAATTTGCATAATTTGCAAATAGCATTTGAATTGAAACAATAAAAATGGTATCCAAGGTATGTACCCAAGAAATTTAAATGCATTCAACCATTGAAGTGTTAATGAATAATAGCAAACATCAAAGCACCTTTTTAAACTTTCACATTTATAGTATTAGTAGGCAGACCTTATGTTATGGGTGCTAAAACAAGTAATTAGTAAATACGAGCAATGATTTTATTCAAAAATTTATTAATTGTGTAACAGTTACTTCTTGATATTTTACATGAAAATGAAATAAGAAACGTCATCTCTTTCAGCGATGCCACTACCTATTCGATAATACAAAGTCACAGCAGAGAGTATTCTTTCTAAGGTTCTCATTAGTTTGTAAAAGCAGATATTTCCTATCATATATCATAAAATACATGGCTTGAAGTTATTTGAATAGGAATAAATATTACCTGTTGTGATGTAGTAGCTGAAGCCAGTACGAGCTGCGAGTTTGCTGCTCTAAACACTCGTAATTTTGGACAACCTTTCTGTAGTGCTTCAAGCGGCACAGAGGCAGGGTGTGATGTGGCGAGGGCACCAGATATGTCCAACACTTCGAGATTCAGACAATGCGTCTGCAAATATACATTTATGGTAATTAGGCAATATTATTATAATATTAGAAATTGCTAACGGGCTAAATAGAAAGGGGTAATGAAAGACAGAAAATAGCAATTGAGATATATAATTATCATAGGCGTATTTGAGGAGAGCACTAGGTGGGCCATGCCCAACCCAAAAATGTTTGGTAACGTCCCCAAATTTGTCTAATAATAGAGAACAAGTACGCAATAAGATAAATGCGATTTTTTTAGGAACCAGGTTCCCCCTGGAAAATAATCTTAAATACACCAATGGTAATTATTTCTACAAACTAGTTTTAAAACTTCTTCAACATATGATCTTGTTAACAAGGAAGACACGACAGGAACTGCTATAAATAATGACCATTCATTTACCTTCGATTTATCTACTGTCCTTTAAGTGATAAAAGTTAGTGTAACTTATCTACAAGGAATAATAGTATACTATAAAAATATAAGTGATATTTAAATATACTTAAGACTGGAGCTAAATCTCACTAATTTAATAAAATTATAATTAGACGATGCCCGTTCATGGGAAATATTTAAGGGACACTAATATGAGGGGTTCTCATAAAACCAACAGATGCTAAAATAATAATATTTAAATTTTCTTTTATCCGTTTGTTCTGGCATCACGCAAAAATTACAGCACCAAATTAGAAGAAGGTCTAACTTAAAATATGGTATATGGGTTATCCTAATATTCTATGTACGAAATGGTATATTTTCCTATTTCTGAAATTAATGCATACAAAGTAGCGAGTGAAAAGCTAGAACATTCTATAAATTTAAATCCTGTTATATTTAATGAAAACATTTAATTAAATTAATTTAATATATTGTGCTAATTATGTACGAAGGAAGTAAATTATTAATCCATACCGCAACAGATGAGAGTATCTGCGTCAATGCTGTGAACTTGTTATTCGCGAGATTTAGGTGCGTAAGACGTGATCCAAAATTCTCCGCTATTCTAGCCATAGAGGCGGCCGATAGGCAAGAGCTTGAACTTGTCTCAGACTGTAAAAATAAATAAAACATTTTTTAATTCACTCTTAACTAAAAATAGTAAAATGTTGTAATTTCAATACTGGCAATTAAACTTAATATAAATAATGTTTGCTCCTTGGTATGGTAACTCTATTCTCTCTCTCAATTTTTCGAATCTGTCGAGGATTAACATCCAAAAGTTGCTTTCGTAAATTAGAAGTTCATCTATTATTTATTAATATTTAAGTAAATGTATCATCATCATCATCGACATATTAAACGTCAACTGTCCACTGCTGAACACAGCCCTTCTCCATACGGGGGGCTATTGCCAGTAGTTGCCACGTTTTGTAGTCAGGTTGGCAACCGCAGTTAGGATTTGGTGATGTTTTAACCCTTAAATACCTGAAGTTTCAAATTTTATACCGGGGTTATAAATCACATTGGACGCCTACAATCGATTTTATTTTAATATTTGGCTGTTTACATGTTACCAAATGTCTTTTTTCAAAATAAATATATAAAAATATAGTTTGGATTTTTTTACTATTTTTCCCCATTAGTAAACACAGTAAAGGGTACACTTATATATTTTTTTATTTGATTTAAAAAATCAGGCTTTTAAGGGTTAAGAGGGATGCTACTGCTAATTCCTCGATCATTAAGTTACCTTAGTCGCCTTTTACGACACCCACGAAAAAAGATGGCCCATTCTATACACGGCGATAAAAGATTAAATAAAATATATTTAACATATATTTAAACTGTATAGTATATGGTAGAACAGATTTTAGACATGAGTAATACTACATTACGACGCGAAATTGCGCCACCTCACTTCTCTGCGCTGGACAACTTACCTCTTCAAAACGAGTTGGAGAATAGCGCATTACTGAGAGACGTGATATATGTAATGGATTATAACATAATTAAAGATTATCTGCCACAAAAAAAAAATTACATCAATTGTGGCAAAACCAGTTATTTTGATTTGAAACCTAAATATTGAACTGATTTTAATAAACTTTCTATGGACTCAATCTGAAAGTATATAGTTACCCATAAAAAAACAGTTCCAAATCGGTTTATAAATCAAGTAGTGCAAAGGTAACAAACATAAAAAAAAAACAAATTGAGAATCTCCTCCTTTTTTAAAGTTGGTTGATAAAAAGATTCGAAGCAGACAGAATTGATTTCCAAAATACTTTATTAACGACATTATTTTTGACTTAATTATACTCTGAAGAGATATTAATACAGAATTAGATGTATAAATGTTGAACTTTAGATGTTAAAGTAAAAAAGTAAAAAAATATTACCGTAAGCGAGAGGTCAAGTCGTTGAAGTTTGGGTAGTCCCTGAACAAGTTCAAACAGTTGTTCAGGTGTGATGCGACTCCATCCCGCCACGCTCAACTCAATTAGTTCAGGGCAATAGTCAGCCACGCAAGCTAGCACCCATGTTACATTGCACACTTTCCATTGAGCTGAAGTATCAAATTTTAATATATCAAAAGTTATAATTTAAACTTATTACAAAGTAAAAAGTATTATTTCTGCTGTATATTACATAAGTTTGTAAAATGGTTTATTGGTTTAAAGTGTAGTCACAGAATTTAATGTTTATATTGTTTGAAGTAAAATTTTCTATAGTGTGGGAATTACTATTAAAGTATTATAAACAAATAAAAGTACCACTTCCTTCTATATCAGGATATCACACTCATCTAAAGGAAATATTAACAATTGTAGTTGATGAGAGCATAGCTCAAGTTTTTGCGTGAATTAATAATAAATATCCATCAATACATCTATCCTCACAAACTTTTACAATAATAGTGTAATTTATCAGCAGATTGAATTATAACGTAATTAAATTGGGATCGATTCAAAATCACATGAAATCATACTTACCAATATTTAAACTTTGACATTGTGACAGTCGGTTCTCCAGAAGCCATACCAGTTTGTAGTCTGTTTTGCATTTCTCAGTTGTATACTGTGCAAGATCTACATTCTTCCACAGTTGTGGCTTACAACTTACACTGTGCCATTTTTTACACACTCTTCCCAATCTATTGTACAAAAAAAAATGTTGAGATGTAAGTACACTCAGTAGTTTCACATTTTAAATTTTCATTAAGCATTAGTACAAACAAATAACTTAGTAATGAATTATCAGTCATTATCAATTATCGAGTGGTTTCTATATTCTCTCATTGTTAAAAGATATTAAATTGATGAAACTATATGGTGGCGGAAATTTCGCGCGTGTTTCTTAAATTATAAGTAAAAATTATAAGTAATTTTCCTTTTTCATTTTTATTTATTATACTGACAAACTTTTTACCTGATAACTGTCGGGAGAGTGCCCTGCGATGACACAACATAGGCAAATATCTTTTCCAGAATTTCTTCAGGAATAGAGCTTGCCCATGGACTTTGTGGTCCAGATTCCTTACTTGTGGCGTCACTAACTCTATTTCTTTCAGTCTTATCACTTTTATCTGAAAAATATAGAGTAATACAAATGAATAAACATATTTAATTATTATCCAGGTTGGATAATGAAGCGTTTATGACGTAATAGTATTTTACTTTTTAACTAACAAGTACTTTCTTTAGTTTACGAGGAAAAGATAAATTAATTTAGGAATTCAAAAAAACAGCTAGAGAAGAACAATTTAACATATTTGGCTGATAAAATCTTATTCTTCTTATGTTAAATCATAAAAAGTAAAAATTTAAATTTGTGATACGAAAACTATCCACAAACAACATAGTATGAGTCAGATACTATATTATGTGTGAATGTTTTCATACACAACATAGAAAAATACTTCCTACGCTACCGAATTTCCAATCGCGTAGTTTGACCTTACGTGTTTCATTTAATAAAGAAATGTACATCTACTGCTACAGTAATATAAATATTAAGTGTATATAATAAAATGCAAAGTATCCTAAGGGCTATGAGATTCTTTAGTGTGGTGTAGTGTCACTCCTGTGTATGTTCTCCATTTCTTGTTACAAGCTCGCATTGGTCTGTTTTTTTTTTAGACCAAAACACAAGTAGTGAATTGTTGATACGTACCCTTACTTTTACTTGTATTAGATTTACGGGCTTTAGACGTTTTGGGTCGTGTAGCCCGTGGTTTTGGTGCAGCGACACTCATGGTAGCCATATTGTCGCCGCGGGGATCGTACTCCTCGCCTGAACTTTCGCTTACTACGGGTGACGTAGCTTGCTTCTTCTTAGATTTTCTTTGTCCAAGGTCAGATATTGACGTTGGTGTAGGAGTCATCTAGAAATACGACAATAATAATATTAGTATCTTAACTACACACGACTAGCAACCCGCCCCGGCTTCGCACGGGTGTAATTCTGTAAGAAGCATTTTTAATTTAATTTCACTTGAATTATTTATATGTCATTGTTTATTTTTATGTTTCTTGTTTAATAAGGGGTTAAATAAATATTTTTTATTATTTAGAACTTCTCTGTAAACGACGTTTTGTGTTTTATTATTATGTTGTAGTAAAATCTTTTCTTAAATCTATCCATACTAAGTCGAGACTTTGGCCTTGGAACTTATTAATTATTAAAGCGAATGATGTTTTCACAGGAAATTGAAAAATGTTTGAAAGGTATTGACAAATAGGTAGGAATCATAGGTATTCGGGGTATGTGCGCTAACTAACCGGCTGCAGGCCCAGTGATTATGTTCGCTGCAATGATATTGTCCCTCAATTCATTTATAAGAATTCTAGTGCTATTGCAAACGTTAGGAGGGTTTAAATTTCGTAATAGTATTATAAGTGTTCCATTTTTTAGCGTTATTTCATGTGGCGGAAGTCCAGACAAATACGGAGCATTTAAAAATTGCTATGGGTAATTTACTGTGTCTTCGATATTAGTAACAGTGTCTATCGATTTGTATGTTTTGACCGGGCCGGTGACTTTCTGTAAAATTCAATTATTTATTTCGTCGACAGTGTCATCTCACTATTACTCTAGAACACAGCCAATGAAAATCCCTTTTGTATAAATTTTTGATTCATGGTGGCAAGCAACACGAATAAGCACGGTGGCGTTCGCAAGACAGTGCGTTTTCTGTATTTTACTTAATAAAGCATTTTTAATAAAAAAAAACTTAACAATTAAAGTTTCTAATTTAAAAACTATTATTTAAAATAAATACTTAAATTAGTATTGTATTAATAGACTAAACGTAGGTCAGTTTGTTTAAACCGTGACATTATTCTCTAAGAATATTTATACCCGTCAAAACTTCTAAACAAAAAGTCCCATCTGAATACTTTAAAGTGCAATTTACACGTACATAATTAGTCATAATTTTCAAACAATTTAAATGGATAAGGATTAATATTATGATACCAATATCAGCACTATTTGATTTCACCCGTACTTGAACTTAATAATTTAAACGAAAACTGTTTATGTGACTTAACTATAATAGTTAGGTCAATACTGTCTCGGATTTTTTGTGAGTAATCATGAATACTATTAATATATAGAACACTATTTTATATATCGTCAATAGTTTTTGCAGCGGACGCAAAATAATAATTAATAAAGGTAACATTTTCATACCTTGGGTTACATTGTTCCAAATTAGGTAGAAATCTCTAATTTTATAGCGAATTAGCAGTAGATTACTTATAAATAATTAAACATAAATTTGATTTTACAGATCGAAGTAAGAAACAGTAGATTTTTTTATAATACTTAAAATGGACACGCTAAGAGTCTGGAAAATAGTAACCGTCGCCTATAGACATGAACAGCACCATCGTCGTTAAGAATACACAGTGATGGTTATGGTACTTCTCATGTATTGTTTATGTATGTATCATTCTTGTAGCTTATTGTGCAAAATTTCATTTAAATCGGTCTAACAGTTTTGAAGACTAGTCCATACAAACAGAGGAACAAAACATTTGAAAAAATCTGGATATGTTCTATTTCACTTCTAACATACCCCTGACTCCGTTTTTATCGTTTTTTTTTATGCCCAGATATTCGACCTTTACAGTTTAATTTATGTATAGATACGACGAATAATATATACATTATTCGTAGGATTTTCAATAGCTATTACAACTTTAATACTAAACAATAACATCTTTACATTGCATTTTAAAAATTTTAAAGTGAGTTCGTTTGTTACGTTTTGGCGCTTTAATGGCTCAACAAATCATTATAAAACTTAGCATACTATATACAAGGAAGAATGCGTAATGGCAACTTTTTATCCCGGTCAATCAATATATACTGATCATGCGGATGTAATCGCGGGTAAAGACCACTGTTATTGTAATTTATGCCTGTGGGAGAAAGGAATTCTTAGTAAGGGGGGGGGGGGGTACAACAGTCCCATTGTTAGCAAAATATATATTATCCCATAGTGGTTAATTATTGTTGAATTCACCACGAGGGACCAACTGACCTACTTCATTCTCATTTACCTCATTGGTGCCCTGCCAATTTATAGTGACAAAGAAGGAGTTTCTATTTCATTTTCATCCATTAAAAATAATATGCGTGTGAAGCCATAGGCGTATTAGAGATTATTTTCTAAGGTGGGCTTGAGCCCTTACAAAAGGCGCATTATATACTTTCAGATCTGCCTTTGCGTACAGCATAGAAAGTTCCTCTTGCAACTTAGGGTGGGCACGTTTATCCAGCGCCCGTTTTAAATGTCTACGTTTGAAGGCTTCGTCTTCGGCGTGGGTATCATTTTCGTTTTTAGGTGAACAATTTAGTAACTTTTTACTAAATTAGTTTTACTCGCTATTTAGATTTGTTGATTAACTAGAATAAATAGTAGCTTATCTTAGATACACAATCTTGACTTAACTTGACGTAATTGTAGGTAAATAACACCTACGTAGCTGATTTTTATGTCTAACTCAATTCTAAATAAAATAGTACACGACGATTGGTTGAGATATTAAGGCATCAAGAGGTAACAAACAAACTTACTTCCACATTTATAATTTGTATTACATAGTATAATAATACAAAAAAAAAAAAATAGCATACCTACTTTTTTAGACAAAAAAAAACAATAAGAGATTTTTTAAAATAATATTTAAATAAAAACTATCTGTGTATATATATAATGAAACTAAGTGTTATTAAGATATTTATTGTGGACAAGCAAATTTTTTAAAGATCTACGAGATGAAGTAGAGTATCTACTTTCATTGCATTAGTTTTTTCATCAATAATGTATTGTTGATTTATAGTTTTTCTGTAAAATTGCATATTAACTGTAATAATTTTTAAAACATTACCTGATGTTCTTTATATTTTTAATGCATTTTATTGCATATAATATACAATTGTATATACAGAAAAGAATAGGACCTAAATTTGATCCTTGTGGTACTCCTAAATTAGTAAATTTGAATTTTATTTTAGAAAATAATCAATCAAATTTTCTACTTAAGAGATAATTAATTGTCTGAGAATATATACCTATAAATATTATACATTCTAACATTTTCAGTAATAATGAATGACTGGCTTTATCTGAGGCTTTATTAAAATCAATACAAATTTTAAATATTGAAGCCCTCTGTCCAATGTTTTAGATATGTCTAGCAGAGCCAGTTAAATTTGTCTTCACAGAGTAACCCACCTTACAACTAACATAAGGAAGCTTAAATGACAAAATAGTATACAATAAGTTAAAAATTCAATTTTCAAAAACCTAATAAAACAGAAATTGCCCTATATTTTCTCTTAATCATCATATATATTTATACAGTCTTACAGTTTATAACAAACTATAAAAGTATTGAAGAAGAGAAATGCTCATCATTAAAGGAAATAGTAATAAGAGTGTCTCTTTTACATATGTAATTTCCATAAACATTTTGTTTATGGAAATTAAATAGGTCATGTGATATTGGTGCAATAAAGTGTTTAATAATGTGCCACTGGTGAGCACTCTACAATAATTATTGCTAAAGATGAACCTTCTCATAGCATATTCAGGTCATAAGGAAAGATTTTTTTTCCAAGTTATTATTATATATCATTATTAATAGATAAATAAACATAATTAACAATTACATAAATTATAAATTATAGTCTACCTATATATTAAAATAATTATAAATATTAAAATAAAATGAAAAAGCTAAAAAAAAGTAATATTTTAATTTTTTCAATCAATCCTTACAAGGGTACAGGTGAAAATAAATATAGGATAAGAGTAAAGGAACAATAGCTGATAGAAAATGCAAAAAACAAATACTGCACCAATTATAAATAACGGTATAAAAAGATTTAATCTATCTGTCATATTATTATGTCTAAAATACTGACTAAATTAAAGGTTAATGAAAAGCAAGATTGAAATCCAAGGATGGATAAGATATTGTAAGTCATCAAAAATTTCAGACTTATAGTCCATTTCAATAGAATCTAATGAAAGTATTAACAAACTAATAATTGATTTAAACATAAAACAGTCAGGTAATGTCTAATTGTAGTACAAATAAAAAAAAGACTAATTCATCAAATGTTTGAATTTGTTACTGATATGATTTACATATTGATAATAGTTACACATTTCTATGATATTTTCAACAAAACTTGATTACTTTTTCAAGTTCTATTAATACACTATACTTGTTTATTATATAGTTATGACGATATTGTGATGAATTTTTGTAACATAAATAAAAGTAAAGTTTTTATCATGTAATGAATATAAAAATATCATCATCAAAATTTTAATGTACTCTAATTGATAAAACATTATCTATATATTTTCACATCAGGCCTTTAGGTATAATGAAATATAGTAAAAACCCAATGACATTAAAACAATAAAGTAAATAAGACTTATTCTAAAAGATAATTTCTTTAACCTAACTCAAAAATTTAGAAATTTTCAGCATATAATAAGATTCAGAATTTAAAACGCTGTGTTGTTTACTAAAATTGCTTCCTAATTAATTTTACGACTCTAGAAAGGGTAGGTTTGAAAATGTAATCAAGAAATAAAAGCTAATATGTACTGAAAGTAAATAACTGTCTATCTAGATTACAAACTAGCTCAGCCCTTAACTCCTCTGTATGGCAGCTGATTATAGGATATTTAATAAAGACTGTTCTAAACAATTTCATAAAATAGAGTGACTAGAACATATGTTATGACCTGTTCTATTTAATATACCATTTAAGAAGAGCTAATAACAATTTCATTACAAAATTATTTAGTGGTTTATATTTAATTTTTCCATTTTTTCATGATAGATAGATGTAGATCAAATTGGAAAATGGTTCTTTTGCTTATTTGCAGCCTACTTAGCCAATTTATGAAAAAAAATATCAATATATAGAATTTTCATATCTCATAAGCTTATACTAGACATTAAGTTAAAATAAGAAAAATTGTACTTACGGTTTCATTCAGGCTGGTTCTTTTAATTTTTATCTTTATATTATTAGTGTCCATATCCACTATTTGACTTCGATATGTGGGTACACATTCAGACTTCTTTTTCTTTTTGCTACGAGAACTAGAAATACCCAACATAGAACGAGGTTTACCACTACAAGGAATTACACCATGAGTTCTTCGCTCTTTTGAAGAGTTCTTTTTACTCTTCTTTGTTGATAATTGACTAAGTTCATGACTGTACGGTTTACCACTTTGTCGTGGTACATTTATTATTGGTAACTTCACACTACACTTGAGCACTTCATCCTCAGAACTGTCACTTTCTTCAGTTTGTTCCCCTTCATCCCACTGTTCATCTTCATCATCTTGACACTCACTACTACTAACTAAATTTAAGTTTTTACCACCTTTCACTTGAGAGTGCATTTTAATATTTGGTGGAGATATCCTAACATTTGAATTGCGAGGTGAACTTCTTCTCCTTTTAGTTTCAGGAGAAAGACATCCATTTGCAATGGAGCGCTCAGAATGTCGTCTAGAGTGTTGTTTGTGCTTTCTGTGTCGAGGTTTTGTGGTAGAGGGCATTGCTCCATTTGCTATCTGCAGTTTTTGGCTGGCGATTTCGTCAATACTCTGCTCGAAGTCTGTTTCGAGTTTAACGAAGGAGACGCCTTCGATGTCTTCCTGTGTCATGATCGCGTCAGGGACCACAGGTGTCAACTTGGGTAGGCGCACATCAGGGAATAGGTCCTTGCGGACGGTGAGTCTCATCGCTGGCTCCGAGTTCGCGGCCTCGTAACTGCCGTTCACGGGACTCGAACGACCCGACATGCCGCCCGCCTCCCGCCGCCCTCGCGTACCACTTCTACAAACCGCTCACCTGTCCGCGAGGTAAACAATCGGTTTGACACATCACATTTTCACTTTTGTGATCAAGCGATTCACTGATCGTTATGCCAAAATAGGATTATGTCTATGATTGCAGATAATTGATGCACTAAACATTATAATATCTTCACTTTATACCTCTTGTGACAGTCCAAGGGATCTTTTTTCTTTACGTATTCGCATTTTAGGTCATCCATGTTCATGTAACGTTGTGATTGCGAAAAACAAAGTACGGATCATTTTCGCGGACACTTACGCTTGTATCTTTGGTAACTACTGATAACATGTACAATCTTTGAAAGTATAGACATAATACACACTGAATCTTAATTATTTTCGTCGACAGCGAGTTGATGAAAACTGTTGACCTTGTTTAGAAGCTTATTATGTTTCAAATTTTAATCAACAGATGCAGACATTGTCACAAAAAAGTTGTTCAATGTATACGGTCTAACTTCGCATAGAGGTTCATAGCGTAGTATAAAAAAATATAATATTACTATTATCGGTATGTAGGTATCTAAAATTTTTATTATATCCCTCATATAGTATATTCAATCTGTTTTTAATAAAAAGTAAATATTTAACTACGAGATTATAAAAGAAAATAATTTTTAAAATACGGTTATACGCCATTACAAGCATAACAAAGATAGCAAGTCATGATGTTTCTTTTAAATGTAATAGTGTTATTTCATAATTTTAACAGATGGCGTTACTTGGTTGATTTACAGAAATTCAATAGTCGAGAAATAGTACATTTGGCTTTGTTTCTCTTTCTCTCACTTCTCTCGAATCAAGCTCGAAACAAATCCTCCCGAAGAAAATCACTTGTCAAAATGACATTGTGAACTTGAAGATTTAAATGAATTGTAAGATAAACAATAATGTTTTTTCATAATTTTAGTGAACATGTTGAAGTGGTGTCGTTTGTGACGTGCCTAATGAATGTATTGTATGACGTTCATGGTAGTGATAATGATAACCTACACGGTCTTTCTGTAGCCGAGTACAAAGCGGTGAGTCATATTTATATTTATTACATTTGTTGTCTATTGATGATCTCATAACGCAGTAGGTGCTTTGCCACTAGTAGGTATGTATGATTATCATTATTGCAAGTTGATACTTCTTGATTAGAACCTGGGTTTTGAAACTATAGATTTTTTATTGGCGAAAATGGAATGGTAACCCCCTTGCGTTATCGATGTACACTGACATTAATAAGAGTTGATACGTGAGCGGGTTTAAATGATTAGCGGGAATAATAATTATAATTTTCTTACTACATTACGTTAGCTGGAAGAGATTTCTTTCAAAGATAAGCCCACCCTTAATAACAAGTTGTTAAACTAATCGTTGTATGTTTTTTTTTTTTTTTTTATTTTATATATGTAATAACGGGGACTATAAATGTTGATAGGTAATAATTTATGTTTTTACATGTAACAATTTTTTTTAGTGAATGACCTACGATGCGTGTGTTGGCATTTTTAAGGGTACTTTTTTAGGGTCCTAGGGGTATTACTAGCAATGGGACTGTTTTTTTTAATGCATGATAGGTAATGAAATGGTAAGGCTGACGGGACCCCAGTGAGAGATCAATCGAATTCGTCGGTTAGTCCATTTTGACGAATTTTATTAGAATTAACTACGATGGTTTCCAGGGAGAGACGCGAGGAGGTCGACCTGATAGAATAATTGGTAGTAATAGGTTTATATGGCCCCATTATTAACACTGTCTTCCCCCTTCCCTTGGGGAAGGGGGGGGGGCTTCCCCGCAATGGGACTGTTAAACCTTCATTTCCCCTGAAACGATAGCGGCAAACAGTACTTATCGATTGCAATTATCTAGGTCTACCTAACTCTTCATAAATATAGGTAGATTGGTAATGATAATATTTATTTACCTAATAAGTAAACTAACATAGGTAAGTAATGTCAATTAAATTTGTAATCTATATGTATCAATGCATTCTATGTAGACGTAGGGGTCTACCAATTTTTTTATGAATGAAAGTCGAATAGTGTATCCACCTATGTTAACGGTATATATACAAGACACTAGCGAAGAATGAAACAATGAGTATGTAGTCAGGTCAGTGGCCCATCATAAAATTTATAGGTATTACCCACAGGAGTTTTCAGGAGGAACCGCGTGGAGGCTTACTTGACAGGGTAGGCTGCTAGCAATGGATCTGCTACTCGTTACTAACTCTTCCCCACTATAAGGGGAAAGGGATTGATAGTAATGGAGACTGAGAATCCTATTGCTAGCAATATACCCAACCAGGTCGACCTCCTCGCGGTTCTCCCTGGAAACTATCATGGTTAATTCCTGATGAATTCATTATGTTGGGCTAACTGGCCTATTTTCGTTCTCATCTATCACCCTTCACTGGTGCTCCGCTAGCGTATCCCGTTAGCGCAGGCGAGGTTACCATACCATTTTCACCCATAAAAAAACCACTTCCCCACCTTCCCTTATCTTATTCTACCTATTGTGTTTTATCGTACCTAAGTATTCTCTTTATATGTATTTACCCTAATCAGGAATTTCCAAAGTTTTGTTGGTCATGTCCGTAACAGTCGTTTTTTGGGTGCCTGACGCAGGCACCTCGATATTTATATGAAATCTAATCGGTCATAATCTTGTACGTTGGGGGTAAAATAATTGTTAGTAATGATATTTGACAGACTCATTACTAACAATATATTTTAACAGGTCGATCTCCACAGGATTCCCCCGCCGGTGTATACCGATAGTGCGGGTGGGGTTACCATTCCATTATCACCCATTAAAAACAGGATTCCCCCTGGAAACCATTGTGGTTAATTTTTGATGAAGTCGTCATGATGAGCCAACTGACTTGCTTTCGTTCTCACCTATAATTCCTCACAGTCATTATTAATCACCGACCGCCATTCCGTTCGAATGGTTAACAATAGACTCCGACCAGTGATATTAATTTGCTTAAAGATGCTTCATTTCGTGGCGAGAAGACACGTGCATGGATGGAATGGTGGTCGGAGATTTCTGGCTAATGTGTAAAGTTGTACAACTTCTAGTAATCCGTTTATCCCTTTAGCTATATGCTAAATTTTAAAATTCTAGTTGAACCGATTTCGGCTGCACGTTGATGTACATATGGGTCAATTAGTTAGTATCGCAACAGCACTTAATTTGTGGCCGTAGCACACTAATACATAAACGAACTCCTTTGGAAAATGACTTGTATCCTGAGGAAACAAAAAGCATCGCTACAAAACATCTTAAAAATAGAGATTAGCAGTGAACATTAGAAAAAGGGCGAATATAAAAGATCAAGAAAAGGTCGAAGTGTCACAAGTTTTTTTGTCTGAAAAAGGCCGTCTTTCAATAATAATAAAAAATGGGTCAGTCAGTCAATCAGTTACTTAACATACACTTTTATATATATAGATATAGACTTTTTTAAGGATTTTTTCTTTATGTTTAGACAGATATCGTCTAATTATAATTCTATATATATATATATATATATATATATATATAAAGCTGTATATATGTAAATATAAATATTCACTAGCAAGTAACAAGAACTCATTTTTATTCATCTCGTAGATATTCGATTGGGTTTAAATACGAGTTTCCCGCGGGCACACTCCATTTTACGACTTTAAACTACCGATAACTACACCAATACGAATCGTGCAATATGAGGACTTGCAATGTTGTGCGTAAAAAGTAAAGAAAATGTTAGGTACCCTTTAATTTTTAATGTAGGTACCCTTTTGGCATTCCGTGGTTTGCCGTCCGAGATTTGTCGTCATAATGAAGTATATATTTTTTTAAACTTAATTTTTTTTAATGGAATATCCCGTCGCTTTATCACGTTAATTATAACTTCAATAATTTTGGCTCATTAATAGTATATATAATTAAACAGGATTATCTGTTATAACATACATACAAACTTATTGTATATTTAAAAAAAATACTATGTATTTTCAAAAGGTTTATTTTAAGAATTTAAACAATGTACATAAATTTCTTTTTAAAATATGAACAAGTATTCGTCTCAATTATTTTTTATAGCAATGAACTTACGTACTGAAAACTCTAGCAACATTATAATAACCGCTGGAAAAAAAAATATTATAAAGGTAACGTTATTTGTCTACACACTTCTGTAACGTGTTGGTTACTCAGCTCGTTAAATAAGTAATCTGCTACGTGGTAGATGATTGAATTTTCAAACCAGATTCATATCCTTCTAATTGTTCTAACTTGTTAGCAAATTTGATGTTTCAAATAATTCCAAAAACAATACATATAAGTTGGTGAATTTTTTACCACGTTTTTCACAAACACATAGTGTGGTTTGCACTTGGCCGTTTTTTATTTAATGGCATACCTACCTACTTCGAATAAATTCGATTCTTGTGAATAACATGATTGGAATTTTAAATCATGCAAAATTCCGTTAATTTCCAAGAAATAATTTTGTGAATGAGCAGAAGACAACCAATTTTTATCAATTTGCACTTCAGTTCAGGTACATATATGTGTTTTTACTTGAATTCGCGTCTTTCAACCAAGCATTTACTATATCTAATTTATTTTTACGAGTAAACACGATGCAATTTCGGGCAAATAGTATTGACATCTCGGCGTAGATTGTATTGCGTCGTAGTTCTGCTTACTTCAAAATGCCATCGTATTTTGTCATGAAAATAAATATTTATTATTTCGTTTAAGAGGTTCTAATTAATTTTATAGATGAACTCCATAATTAATATACATCTGAAATCATCACATCAGCCGTTAACTGTCCATTGCTGAAAATAGGCCTCCCCCATAAAGGGGGGTTTGCCAATAGTTTCCACGTTTGGCAGACGGTTTGGCTAGGCTTCGGTAATGTAAGAGGGATACATCAGCAATATTACGAACTAAATCCGTGATAGCAAATTACTAATATATGTATAAAATACGTGGTTGTAAGTTTTGTAAGTTGTAACATTTTTTTTGTTTCAGATTCCGTTGCCGAATTGACTGTTATAAAATACAATATATAGTTCTCGTATTATCGGTGCATGATTTGAAGCTGTTTGGTACAAAGGATACTTTGTAACCGCAGACGCGGTGGTGTCGCCTAACAACCACAAGTGATCAGGTGTCGAACACTGCGGCTGGAGTTCGTCTGTACGTACATGGTGATGTCATTGTGGTAGTGGCGTAGTGGTGGTGGTGAGGTCACGGGGTGAGGTGGCGACTCGCGAGTGATGCTCGTCGCGGTGATGCAGAGGCATGGTGGACGCGGCTGCGGAGCGCCGGGCCGATGCCGACGCGGTCTGCGATGCTACCTCCAGCCTCATGAAGTAAGTACTGCTAATAAACGACTATATATATAAATATTGTAGTAATTAATTATTTCAAAATACAATATTGACTTTTAAAACCT